AAACTTCTCAGCCTGCAACAAAATAACAAAGCAAACCCTCATTTGTTTGAGGCACTGGCTGTGATTTATGAATGTGATGCCAACACCAGGCCCACTTGCCCTGTATCCCCTCACTCCAGTCTCCCAGTGGCATGCACTCACTCTGCTCCAGACTCAAACAGGCCTTAACACAATCGCCCACGTCATAAAAAAGACACATGGCTCTCCTTCTTCATATAATGTCCTGAGCTTGCAAGAAGTGCAGCCTCAGAGTCAGCACAGTGTAAAACAACACAACATGTCTGCAACCTCACTGATGCAAGAGTACCATGCTCATGTAGGAAGGAGCCGTCACATGAGTCAGACATCGTGGATTTTGGGGGGGTGAAATGTACTAAGTACTAAATGTACTAAGCTTTTTTTTTAGTGTAGTTTTAGAAAATCACAACTCTAACACTAGTGCTGCATTCAAGGTGTACTCAGAAGTTGGGATTTCCGAGCTTAGAGTTGGAAATTTATCTGGAACGCCCCCCTGAAGTCAGATTTCGGACTCAGAAAGTCAGGTGATCCTTATCAACCCTGACTTGACCACAACGTCATAATCCAAGATGGCAGTGTAGTGCATCAACAGTAAAGACTAACAGTGAAGGCTCTTCTAATGTATTATTTATAAGCACCTCTGTTTGGGTTTTGTGAAATTAAATAAGCAGTATATGTTGTACTGCCCAACGTCTAACTATGAACACGGTGCTACGGTGTTTGTAAGAGTAAAATACTGTGTTATGCGTTGTTTACAACTGGTATAGCTAACAACAACTAACAACTGCTGACAACGGCTAACAACAGCTGAAAATTGTAAACAACAACTAACAACGGCTAACTGTCCGCGTCCATCTTGATTTTCCGACCCAAGTTGACTGGAATGCCATCAACTTGGGTGTAACATCATTCCCAGCTCCAGCATCCAACTTTCGAGGTATCTGGAATGCAGCAAAAGAATTACAGACTCTGTATTCTCAGCGAGTCCAATGCCCCAAACTCTCATCCACAGTCGTGACCTGATACTGGTCTGATCCACACTTATTCTTCACTGTTCGGACAGACTCTGTTCAACCATTTCTGAATTACGTCTTTGTTTTTGAATGATTACATAATCTAAACCCAACACTGCAGACCCTCACATGTCGCTCCCCCCATCTCTTCCTGAGAGTGCGGTTCAGAGTACGGCCCCTCTGGGATCTGGACTTATCTGCAGGCCTTGGATAATGGATAATGGAAATCAGGCTCCATCATGGCCAACAATCTGCTCCATTGAGAGCTCCTGGCTCTGCACACTGGCCGACCCCGAATGATTCTCTCAGCGCCAGCACATACTGATGGTTGCTTACTAACCCTGGGGTCCAGATGCCGAGGCATCTGCCTGCAAATACAATGTAATGCTGGAGCCCCAAGGGACTGGATAGATTCCAGCAGACTGGAACCACCGAAGGCTGGTCCTCAGTCTGTCCCTGCAGATTATAGATGTGTCCTCTAAAGACCTGAGATTGCAGGAACACATTCAGGACAGATGAAACAATTAGCAGTGAGATAGACGAGTGTTTAGGTTGATTTAAATGACACAAGAGAAACTTTTCAATTTATGCAAACTCTTAACATCTACACTCTTCGTTTTGTTGCACTAGTCCAGGTCGTAAACTTAATATAAACAAATATGTGGAGGTTGATCTGTGGGCCTTTCCTACAGAGGACAAGCTAAACTAACCACCTCTGAAGCTTATAGTAAGAACTTATCATACAGCAGGAGAGACACAGTTGGTTATTATGGCTCAGTGCCATTTAAATGCTGCAGTACTCGGTGCAAATAAGAAAGGGTGAACCTTACAAGAGGCAACGTCAGCAAGGTGCAGCTTGTACCTTGATTTGAGAGACCATTTGAAGCCCAACAGTGCTGACCACAGAGACTGCATGCTTGCGTAAATAAAGTTCAGACAGAATAAATCAGCAGATGCAGATTTATTTTACGCATTGATGTCTGCAGAGGTCAGTTTCTGGGTTTTGTGCAACAATTTTTGCATCAGAGAGAATGTTGTTTGTTTGTGCTGCTCTTATTTAATAGTCAAAATGGAACTGTAAAATCACTACAAGTCCCCTGGAGTTACACTGCCTTTTTTCTTTTTTTAATTAAACTTATTTTTGAGCAATTTTGATCAATATGTGTCCTGTTTTTTGATTCAGAGCTGACTAGATGATGCAAAGTCTTTGTTCAGCCTGTTAAAATAAATCTGTGTTTGAGCACCCCTCCTGCAGTGCAGCTCTGACTGTGATCTTTGAATCTATTTGACATCATGCTGCTTCGAACCTCACAAAGAAAAGATGATGCTTATCGGATTTATCTTAATATTTACACATGCAACTTATCGGTAGTATAAGAAGAATTTAAAGGTAACAAATCTGCCTGCTTTGTTTCTGTTCTGGATGTCATTTCCACTCCTGTCCTGCGTGCAGCTTTTGTGTTTCCCTCCACAGCGCTGTTGTCTCTGCAGTGGAAGGGGAGTTCAAGGATTCATCAAAAAAACAGCAGGCCTCAGTCTCTGCAGAAACCTGCTCAGTTGGCCGGATCAGGTCCACACATCAGGACGCAGCTAATGAGAAGGGCCTCGTTTGGTCAGTTTGTGTGTGTGTGTGTGAAAATGAAGTATGGCTCTCTGCCAACACAAACCCATCCAGGTGGTTTGATTAAACACTTCACTAACACATTGTCTGTGGGTAAAGCAAAGGCCCTGAGAATAGCAGTGAAGGGTAAAGAAGAGCAGAGCTGGAGCTAATTCTAGAAAGAACTAATTCTGTTAGAAGGAAGTTAAAACACTACATTATTCTGATTGTTATAACAGAAAGAAATTGAAATATTTGAGTTCTCTAAACTGTCTAGTTTCTAAGATCATGGGGCGTAAAAATGATTAACTGCTCCTGCTGGTTGAAGCCGTGTGTGAATGGACCCTGCTGGTTCAAACTGTACATCACACTACCTCAGGGCATTACAAACCTTAAAGGGATACATCTTTTTAGCTTTGCCTGATTTCTTTGGCAAAGAGACTCACCTACTCTCTCAGCAGCCGCTTGAGCAGTGCGGAAACCTGCTGCGGGGTGACGCAGCTCAAGGAAGAACATTAATGACCATCATTTCCTTGAAGTAATAATCATCATATTAATCATTTTGCACTGCAGACGCGGTAGTTCTTCTGCCTTAGCATCTTGGTCTGATTGCATTTCCATGAAGAAATTATCATAAATGTTCTTCTTTGAGCTGTGTCACCCTGCTGCAGTCGATGGACTCGGCCTGAGTGGCTGCTGGAAGAGAGTAGGTGAGTTGTGTTTAGTCTCTTTGCTAAAGAAATTAGGCAAAGCTGAAAAGACGTTTGGTGTGTTTGACCCTAACTTAATTTTATGCCAGAATATCCCTTTAAGTACAAGTATAATGATGCACCTTTACCAGGTACTATTTGACATATCTCATGCAAAAAAACATTTATATTTTCCAATCTTTTTTTCTTAACTTTGAAATCCATTTAAAATTAAAAAGTTATAATAATAATAAAAAATATTTTATATGCAGTCAAGGATTTTCATAGATCTAGATTCAGGGCATCATAAACTAAATGCACACACATCATGTAATACTTTTACTGTATACTTCTTGAGTAATAATTCATCAAAGATTATTACATTGGTTTTCGACTCCTTTTCCTGAACTTTGACCTTCATTTAAAACCAAATTTTCAGTTGGTAGTTAATGATTTTCATATATTTAGGCTCAATTTGATACTAATTTCTTAATCAGTAGTCAAGGATTTTCTTACATCTAGACTCAGAACATAACATCTCACATGCAGACTAACAGAACTTCTAGCATTAGTGGCATTTTTGATCATCTGATTGCCTCTTCTTCTGAAATAAAACTTACTAATAAAACTTTTAAGATCCCTGAGGTCAGTACCGTCCACATCAGAGCAGGTTCTTGTGTCAGTTTGAAGCAGATACTCCAGGTTATTGAAAGTTCAAGACTCTTATGATAATGTTGATGTGTCTTGTCATCATTACTCCTCTACTCTGCTAATCCGGTGTACACAGCGCCTCAGGATCCACATTAGTCAACAGAGCTGTCAATTGAGGCATTTTACCTCTTCTTAGAGCATCAAAAAACTAATTAAAACTCATAAAAATGCATGCTCAGCCATCATGCATTAACTCAAATTAGGGAGGACTATGCTTATAAGATGACCTCACTCTTCACAAGTGAGTAACATAAGACTTTTTGAAGATCAGCGCTTTTTTAATTTATGAGAAAGATGACATGATGGAGGAAAATGACCAAAATGTGACTAAAACTGAAGTAATTTTCATTTAAAACCAGGGCTAAAATCTAAATTGGCTGCCAAAATTAACACTGCAGTGAACATACTGGTGTAATATTATTTAATGTGTATTCTAATTTTATTATTTGACTCATGTCCCATCTGTAAACATGGAGGAAGTGTGCTTTGAGACCCATACTGTTGTCAGCCAGCAGGGAGAGCTCTGTATTATTTAGCTTAATTTTTGGTGGAACTGTCATGACTTCTTGTTTTTCTATTCTTTTTTTTCAGTGCAGATTATGAATCTGTTTGGTGAGGTGATGGTCAGAGATCATTTGCTCATCAAAGATGAAACCAAGGTTTTAGCAATGGGTTTGATATTTATTGTAAATTACCCATAAACTGTTGAACAGTAGTAGTGAAGGTGTCTGGGCCTATTGCCTTTATATAAGTTTTATCAGAGTTTAGATGTAGGAAATCTTACAAACTTCATTCATGGACAACAGAAAGAACGTTTTGGATCGATGATAGTGGATTATGGGTATCTGGGTATCGTCTGTGTAACAGTGATATAAAATGTTGGCTGAAAGGCTGACAAAGAGGAAGCATAAAGGGAGAACACAATAGGTCCAAGGATCAAACCCTGGGGAACTCCGCACAGCGGGGGAGCAGAGGAGGATATATCGTTGTTGAGAGTGACCTTTAAACACCTGTTGCAAAGGTAGAACCATATAAATCCGACAAAGAGGCAACAGTCCCAGTTGAACTGGTTGTAGGATCCACTTTGTTGCATATCATGCCCCCTCTCCCCTTCTTTCCTCTCTTAAACTGTCCTGTTGGGAAGGTGAACATTAATAAACTGAAGCCTCTTCTTCACAACCACAGCTCCTTTTCTTATGTTACAACTGTATTGCATAATATACAGCAATGACTCCTCTTTTCTTTAAGCATGAGAGCAATCTGACCACAATGAAAACAGTCTTGATACCTGGGACACTATGAAACATGATACAGAATGAAAATTTCTCTGAAGCACAGCTGTTTGTCTCAAAATGGATGGGATAAAATCGAAAATAATACATTTGTAAAGATAAGAGAAAACTTGAGGAAGTGTTTGGTGCTTGGTACTTTGGGATCAAATCATTAAGTGACCCTTACCTTACTCAGTTGAAAATAATAAATTATAGGCTAAAGGTGGAAAACTTTATATTGATTAAGCTGTTTTTCTTTTTTTACTTCAAAATGTTCGCAAAGTTTTTCATGCTCACTGCATCCCGACAGTAAGGAGGGGTCTGTTTTGTTGCTTGCAGAGTTGATCATTTTATCGGCTCCCAGTGTGGACACCTAACTTTGATTTATTTCTTTATTTTCAACAAGCAGAACAAACCAAGAGTGAAACCTTTTCATGAGCCAAAGCTTGATATAACTCAGTCTCGTATTTATCCGTTAAATCTCAAAACGAATTGTCCTGCACGTCTCATTTTTCTTTGCTTCCTTTCTGTGAATTCATACATTTCTAAGAGGAATGAGAGAGAGAATGAGTTAGTCACATTACCACGCACACAGACCACAGAATATTATCATTAATTACTGAGTGAAATGAATGAATATTAGTCTGCTTATTGAGCAAAGAGAAAGAGTTAATATGTTGGTCCAGAGAGATTTACAGTGAGCATCCAGGGATGGGTTTATTCAGCCATGAGTCAGTTCTCACACTTATTAAGGGCTAATCTCTCATGTCAAATTAACATCTATGTTTCTATATGATTATAGGCTTCAATGCAAAGAGCTCATCTCTCTGTATCATCAGTAAGAGGCTCCACTTTAAAAGTGCATCACATTGGGATAGAGCTATATGACCTTTTAACACCAGGAGATCCTCGGATTAAATACAGTCAGCTTTTCCTGGGTAGATTTAACAAAGAAAATACAACTCCAAATCCAAAAATGTCAAGATTTGCCAGAAAACCTTGCCTGTCGAGAGTTTATCTCTACATCCACAAATGCAAGTAAAACATGAACCATGCAAAGAGGAAACCAGATATAAATCCAATCCAGACACACTTCTACACCACAACTTCACAGGGCCTGATCCAATTTGAGATAGACTGAGGTGAAGTGGAAAACTGTGAAAACTGTCCCGTGGTCTGCTACAAAAATCTTACTTACTACATGAGAAACAAGTCCAGGGACAGATAGAGTGTGTGACACTCAGAGGGAGGGGTTATAAAGTTTGATGGCTACAGGCAAGAATGACTTCCTGTGACGCTCTGTGGTGCATTTAGGGGGAATAAGTCTGGCACTGAATTTGCTCCTGTGTTCAATCAGCACGTTATGGAGTGGGCGGCGGATGCTGTCCAAGATACCATGTAACTTTGACAACAGCCTACTCTCTGTCACCACCGTCAGAGAGTCCAGCTCTACCCCCACAATGTCACAAGCCTTGTGGAAGAGTTTGTTGAGTCTGTTGATATCTGCTGCCCCAGCACACAACAGCAAACAGGATCACACTGGCCACCACAGACTCATATAACATCCTCAGCATGGTCCTGCAGATGTTAAAGGACCTGAGCCTCCCGAGGCCCTTCTTTTAGACAGCTTCAGTGTTTTTAGACTAGTCCATTTTGTTATCCAAGTACACCCCCAGGTACGTGTTATCCTCCACAATGTTCACACTGACCCCCCTGGATGGAAACAGGGACCACTGCTGCCTCTGTCCTTCTCAGATCCACTTCTCTCTGTAGGGATCCCTCTTGTCATGCAGTTATACTCTTCAAATAACAGTCTGACCCTCTCATATAACGATATTAGGCTACGATTAGGTAAAGGTTTTGGATTGAACAGAATTCCTCTTAAAACTCTACTCCTTTTACTGCATAACTGCTCATAATTTATTCATTTCACACATCAGTTGCATTCCTGGTTAAATTATTTCTGAATATTAACAAATGGGGCCGCTCGTGAGTTTTTTTCACTGTAAGATTTGCCCCTGATGGAAGCTCTAACTCGCCTGCTAATGTGAAATAATGATCAAGGTTAATAGCTTTACTCTCCGGTGTGGTGCCAGGAGTGTCAGAGAGCTATGTTTTTTAAATGGCCTCAATAATTCCAGCAGTATGCAGTCCAGATCTACAGCAGCATGTGTGTGTGTGTCCGTGGATATTTTGGACATCCCAAATGGCTGATGATATTTTATCTGCATGTATGGGATCATTTATCATCTGCACTGCAATCAGCCAGCCCCGCCATCAATTCTGCAGCTTCTAGAGAGGAGTGCAGAATACATAAATGCTTCATCGCTGCATCATTATTTCTCTGTTTGTCTCTGGGCAAACCTGAAAAAACATGAGTCCAGAGCCTAAGAGGCACGAGAGGTGTGAGGAAAGAGTTTACCAGCTGTATGGATCACTTATAAACATTCTTACATTTATGGTTTTACTATCTATGACCTTTCAAACCCATATTCTGTGAATCTGCTTGTTTGCTTTGAGTTTATTCCCAAGACAAGACGAGTTTAAAGCTGCTACGTCTGGGTTAAATGTAAGTTTCTCCTTCTCTACAGGCTGAGGATTAAAAACAGGAGTTTGGATCACAGCCCTCTTCAAACGCCGGCATTAATAGTTTCAAGGAGACAATGTCAGAGGGAGAGTAATCTTTTATTTATTATCAGGGTTTTAAAGAGTTCACACGCAGGTGAAACCAAGATAATGACAGACTGCTGTGGATTTTCTTAATGATTTCATCAGCATTTCTGTATTTTTTAACCTTTGCTTCAACTTTTAATGTTGTTTACCTTATTGACAAACAGGTCAGTAAGCAAGTACGTCATGATGTTTCACTCAGAGATGTACTTTTAGCTACGCTGCACATCCACAAGCTTTTTCATGTGTTTTTATTTGAGCAGCCTTTACATGCAGGGTTTTAGCTCTAACTCACAAACTAAGGCAGTCTCCTCTCGACCCATTGGCTGCTTCACTGTCACATGAGTCTACATCCCAGTTGGGCATCTGGATCAAGCTCACCTGGGTTTTTTAAAGGCTTCTAGGCTCCACCCACTTCTTGTAGTTTGTTAGCATGTTGCTCATGTAGCATTATGTACTCACTCTCTCATACTTTTGTGTTTGTTTATGCTACTGTTGGCCTGCTGCTCCTAATTCATCAAATTTCCATGGTTATGCCGTTGAGAAACATGCCGCTACCAGAAATGAACTCTGTTTTCCTCCAACAAGGTAAGTGTCTACTGCCTTTGCTAATGTGTTTGCTAGCTCTCTGTTTAGCATCTGTTTATATCTGCTGCTCCATCTCTGGCTGTCCTGCTGCTTGTGTTTTATGCTTTTTGGGTTTTTATGAAGCAAACACTTGCTCTAGTGGCTCTGTTGTAGATCAATATGCAGCTGTTTTGTAGATATGCTTTGGATTGTGTGCATTGTATTTCTGGGGATGCTTTTCACTAACTTAGTCAAATGCTGACTGTTGCATTTCAAATCTTATGAACCAAACTTGTGAGGTTATGGTTTTGATTTCCTCTAAGCCTGCTGTAACCAGTCCTCAAGTTGAGGGTTATACTATATGTTGCTTAAGTAGCTTATTTTTATTGTATTTTGAGAAGAAGACCATCCAGATATTTGCTTTTTATTTAGGTAAAAGCTTGTATTATCTCTCAGGTGACAGCAAAGTGTCTGCTGCTCATACTACTGGTAGTGTGGAGAACTTTTTGCCGCACATTTTTTGTGTTGATGCAAAATGTCCATGCTGACAATTATTGGTAAAATCTAAGTTTCTGGACTGTTTTCTAAACTCAAAACCTCTTGGTGTTTTATGATGCGGTTGTCTTGTATATTGTGCAGTAGAGGTTGTGCTAACTTGCTTGTTTGTGTGCTACACCCTGAACTCCAACAAGGTTCGTAGAAAGCTGGGTTCACTTGAGTTTGACTCTTATCAAAGGATCTTTACCAAGAATTTACAACCCAACAACAGCAGACTTACCATCAGTAACTGTCCACACTTTGTGACAATATTCACGGTCTGTTACAGGAAACATTTAGCGTAGCAGTGGGGTGAGCACTCCTGGTGCACTCGAAATGTAACTTTGTGTTTTTCTGCATCCATCTGCACCACTCTGCAACCCCTTCAAACAACATTTGGACATCCAGTCAGCCCTGTGCCTCATTATCATAACATTTCTGCTTTCTCCACATAACTCAATAATGAGGTGAGAAACCAAGTGGCTGCAGAGGTAGAATGCTTTTTGCAATAGAATTTAATATCTTACTTGAAATACAACCAGGACATGGTGCACACTGCTAAAAATACTTTTGTATGAGACCACTGACAGCACCATGAAGTTCTTGAAAAATGAAGGAAATAATATTTTTTAAAGTTTAGAGTTGACTTTAAAGTCTAACTTATTTATTTCTATGCACTGGCCTCTTAAAGTATAAAATTGATGATGCATACTGTATGCTGTGAAATTGTTGTAAGGAATTGAGACACAATCTTGGCTCTATTCTGAGTTAATGTGCTTGTAAATATGTCTGCTGACACTGATGGTTGTTTATGTAGCTGATCTTTTACTGCTTCTTTATACTGCTGTTGTACAGATCTGCAGTTATACCAATTCAGCTTTAATTTGTTGTTGTGAGAAAGCTGTCCTTCAGGGTGTGGCATTGGTATGGTGATACTCTAATATTGTTAAAGATTAACTGTTTGTGTGTTGTATGCTGAATATGATAATTTATGATCGATAGTTTCTGATGAGGGCAGCTTTGATTTGTGTTTCCCTCTAGTTTAAACAGTCTTGTTGCTAGAACTGGTACTTAGTGTTGGCTGTAGAGAAGTAAATATCTGTATTCTGTGTATAGAGTTTACATTGTAATCAGTTGTTTTTCAGCTTTATTCAAAATTTTAGAATACTCCAAAGCTGTTTTCTCGTCTGTGCAGCTTGAAATGCGTTGCCTTTGAGTAGTTGTCTCTTTGCTACATGTAAAAGCTTGACCTGCCATGATGTTTTAAATGTGCAGTGATGGAAGAAGAACTAAGCTAACACTTTACGTAATAAGTTAGTGTGGCATTTGTTTCTCACTGAATTGATCAATCACAACATATCAGTAGAGCGCTTATTATGATTTCTCAGAAACCAAATTAAAGCTTCTGTTGGTGTTGGTTTTGGCACCCTCTATGACAAAGAGACACCTCCTTATTCTCATGCTAATTGACACTCAAATGTATTATAAACCAGGAAACCCGTATAAAATGTATAAAAGGCTGTTTTGGCAGCTTGTGGTTCATCAGTTTGACTGACACCTACTCCCCCACCAGCAGTTTCATACATGTCACATATAATATTATCATGGTTATCATTCTTCAGAAGTTCTTGTTTGCTCTTGTAGGTCACAAAATGTTATTTGTTTTAATATTGTTCTGTTTTTTTAGTGACCAAGTAAAAAACACCCACAGGAGCTTAAAAGTCTTAAACTGCTACCTTTGTCCAACAGTCATTTAGAGACTCTGTGACAAAAAAAAAACCTCTAAGTACAGTTTTCAGCACTAATAAAGTTTAGTCATATCATTCCTGAAAAACTAACAATGTAAATTCTGCACAACACAAAAGAACATCATACTTGTTGATATTTTCTCCTCTTTAAAGTGACTTACTGATGGCGTTTTGTGGTTTACTGCCAGGTGATTAATGAAACAGCCTCATAAATACTTCCTTCTAGCTAGGGAGCTAATCGAGAGGCTGCATTGTAATCATTACTGTCCAGTTGCTGCAGCAAGAAAATAAAAATTAATTATAAATAATGAGCTTCATGAATATCTTTACATAAAAAGTATTGGCCAATGCATCTGGTCTGATGATTGAATACAGATGTAAATTGATTAACATAACTAGCATAGAATAATGTCACATTACATGGCACTTTATCACGAATATATGGAGGATAATTTTCTTTTCTGTATCTCAAAATGTGACCTGGCAGTTGTTGTAACCCATGTCTAATAAGATAACTGTTAATAATGGAAACTATCATGTGATTAGGTTGCCTCCATCAACAGCAGTCTGATGTTTTTAATCCAGCTATCGCTCCTGTTATCACAGTCTGCAGGCGGTAGCACAGGCTGAGCTGCTTTTGCAGTAATGGATGCTACTCAAGATGCCAACGTACAGGAATAACTCACCAGATTTGTCTGTAGAAGTGCATTAATGTTGTAGCTGCATGTTGGCGCCACCCTAATTTAGCTCTGTTGTGTCATGAAATAAGGAAAGCATTTTTATATAGAAATCTATCAGTATGATTTTGCAATTTTTTTAGAACAGATTTCTATTTTTGGTCATAATTTTGTGAAATAAGATTTATTTGTGGATTTAGTGGCTCAAATAAGTGTGATTAAATGTCTAGTTATGAATCAAATAAACCATGTCAGATTGGAGTTTTTTACAGAATTAATTGGGTTCAGTTTGAGTTGCACTTGCTAAACTTTTCTTACAAAGAATTCAAATCTTTCTAAAAGGTACAGGATCACGGGTAAAACATTATTACCCGAGTTAAAGCAGAATCAGATTCTCATTTTAAACATTATCATAAGCCCCGAAGTGAATTCATAGATAGAATCCCATTATGGCTTAGCCTTAAGAGTTTAATCTTTCCATTTAATTCAACTGTAGACTGGTTAGAGGCTGTTTGGTTCCCAAAGCTGGATCCATACTGTGTCAACTTTAAACATATACTCCGCTTACAAAGTCATCTGCTGTTTTAAAGAGGCAGTATGTGGAAAAGAGAGAAAAGCACAGTCACATTCGTCTTCTCCCTGTTCCCAATGTGTTTAAGATACAAAATCAAGATGACAGATTGTTTCAAAAGGCCTTTAAGATGACCTTATTCTTTATTAAAGGGTACTGTAACAATGGAAATACATATGATACTTTCTATAGTTTCCCTTTATAAGATCCCACTCAAATTACATTTAAGACCGATGGAGCAGGAAGCTGTGATGCTTCTCTGCACACCCAAGGTTATAGACCTAGAAAAGATACTTAAGATATGTCAATGTTTGGTAGTGAAAATAATCTGAATTTATCTCTCTTCTGACATGTCGGGTGCTGAAATGATTTGGAGAGTAATGAGAAAAAAAATCTCAAGTTGAATCAGATTGAGAGGCTACAGTATATTGTCTCCCATAATTCTTTCATATAGCAACACAGCATTTAAAAATCCTTTAAATAACAATCAACAGGTTAAATTCTTATATTAAATACTTTCAACATTTCCGTTTCTTTTATAACTACTTTAAGTTTGGCTTAGAAAGTCCCAGCAGTAATTTGCTCCTCCTGTTTATTCTCATATACATCTCGCTGCCCAAGATATTATTGCACTGATAATTGAGAGTCAGCACTCTCAAATACACTGTCGGTGTAGAGTTTACTTTTTGCTTGAACCAGAGGCTGAGGAGGGGTCCCCCAGGCATGCCTCTTCTCGAAGGAGCTCTGTTTGAGAGCCCAGCAGAGGTCCAGTAAGGATGGGGGCTCAGACCTCAGACTCCAGGCTGGATACTCGGCCCCAGGGTTTTGGCACATAGGGACTGTTGACTCTGCGCGCCACCAACACCTGCCTCCGCTCCCTGCCTCCAGAGCCCGGCTCCTCTCTCTTCCCTGTGCCATCATAGGGTCCAAACATGTTGTTGTGATAGACCACCTGCCTGTCGCTTGTTCGAGGCAGCATCACCGCGTTATCTGGGCAGTGGCTTGTGCAGGGAAACAAGTGGCACACGTCCTTAGAGCCGTCATAGTACTGGGCCGGCCCCTGGGCCAGCGGCCCCACATACACAGGTAAGTCTGTGTATGAGTTCAGGTAGGTGGAGTAGTGTCTGTGCACCACAGTGGAGGAGGAGCGGCGCAGGGCAGCGGCGTTCTGCAGGATGGCTTCCCTGTACGAGGGCAGCCGGGTGGACTCAGAGTACTTGAGCTTTTGTTTGTAGGGGTAGGAGCCCATGTGGGCTGGGTCCAAGTAGGCGGGCTCAGCAGCCAAGGGGTAGCAGGACAGATTGTGGCCCAGACTGCCGTAGAGCTTGTGAGGCTTGGGGTTTGCTACCACAACCCGTGGGAAAAGGTCAGGCATGTCTGAGCGGTTGGGCTGACCCGTGGACGTGCTGGGTTTTGTTTCGTCTACCTGATGGATCCGATCGTTGCCCCATGTGGCTTTGAGGAATGAGGCGCGGCGGTTGAGTTTGTCCTTCCCCAGAAGTGGGATGTCGTCCATCTCAGGCTCCAGATAGGACTTCATGCAGGAGTTGCAGCTGGTGCTGGCACCCGGGTAGTGTCCTGAAGGGGAGGCCATGGCAGCAGCAACAGGGGCGTGGTTGTTCAGGAGGTGATTGGCTCTCAGCTCAGCAAGGCAGGATCGAGGTTCATCATAGTCTGCTCTCACTCTGGGGTCTGCAGCATCAAACATGTAACTGTGGGACCTCCTTCTGCGGCTCACGCAGTCAGGGGGGTAACTAAACTTTCTCCTTAGAGGTCCTTTGTGCTCCACGTAGATATCAGGAACCTGGAACTCCCGATAGGGAACGAAAGGGGACGTTGGGTGCCGAGGCTGGCTCTCCACATACAGCCTGCTGCTGTGGTGGGGGTTGGGAGTACCGGAGGGGGATGTGTCCCGCATCGCGATGTGAGGGCTGCTGAGGCTGGAGATGGGCAGAGTCCTCTCTAAGACATGCTGACTGCCACGGGCGGGCAGTGTGTAACGGAGAGGGGTAGGTCTTGTCACCACACGGGGCTTTTCTAGGAGAGGCTGGGTGACACTGTCTGCGTAATGAATGGGGAAAGTGGGTGTGAGGGCTCTCTGAGGGTATGGTGAGTGGTTGTCAGTGATGCTGGAGATGTAGGGCAGACGGCCGTGGGTCATCTCAGTGGTCACTCTTGGCGGCAAACCCACCCGCACATTTTCTGCTCCCCGCCTGCTCCAGTTCTCTATGGTTTTGGTGGCGTTGTCCAGAGAGTTCTCCACTCTGGCAGAGGAAACCATGTCCTTGGCTGTCTGCAGCATCTTCAGCATGTTGGCTTGTGTGTAGTTAGTCGTGACGTCTGGACTCTGCATGCTACCATTTCGGTCAGTTTGCTCCACCCCATTGAAGCAGCTATAGATACCCTAGAGAAACAGAAGGGTAAAATCAGGACACCAGAAAAATCTACTTAACTTCTCAAGTCATGCTTCTGTTCAGTCATTGTGATTAATTTCTGTCAATTTCTGCAGAATTTGTGTTGTCTTACTGAGCAAATGAGTCAAAAACAACGGTTTAAGAACCTGCCATTGCAGAGAGAGATTTATTGTTGTCTCTGATCGCTGTCTGCAGGCGGCTTCATCTTAAAAACAGCTCAGGCATTTAAATGAGCAAGTTGCTGATCATGCACTTACTGTATTAGTTTCTCAGTTTTTCCCCCAGCAGCTTCATTTTACTTTTAAATTGTGGATCTGTTTGGAATATTAAACTCACCTCTGACTAGCGATGACAGACAGATGAAGGTTTTTTTTAATAGGACAATTTAAATTCAATTTCTCAAGGATCAGACTGTTTCACCAGGTATCCCTGTAGTTCTTTTATTGCTTTAATCTTGTTTTATTTTCCTGCGTATTTTTAATATTGTTAATTCCCCTCAACTACTGTGGGTGTGTAGTCATTTAACGTAGTTCATTTAAAGTTATCCTCAAACAGCAGTGGTGTCAGCTAAGCAAGGCTGAAACAAATTACTTAAACCACAACTTCTGTCTGGAAAGAGTCCTTCACACGTTTGGCATTTCAATAACTTCAACACCACTCACTACATTAAGAAAGGAGATTCAGTCTTCCCACTGCATTGATTATACGCACACTTGAGAGCCGGGGCTGTTATTTTTGGAAAATATAAATCAATACTGTCATTAACCGCTCACTGCTGTTTGCACTGTTTCAAACTCACTCTGCTGATAGCCAGGAGGAAATCCAGGCGGTCAGATTTTCGGACTGAATGTCGAAGTTTCCAGTAGAGCAGATGTTCCCAGGCGAAAACCAGCAGGCTCAGGCCCATGGCTACCAGCAGCATATAAAAGACCCCCGCCATGTTGTCGATGTCCAGCTTACTGCTCATCACCTCTTTCTTCTCATTACGGCAGATTCCTGTGAGCCAGACGGTCTGCAGCTTCTGTGTGTCGCCTGTGTGTAAGCACAGCACATTAAAGGCTCATTTGCATAATATCACATTTATTTTGAGGGATTTGAAGGGAGTAATGAAACACCATCACACCCTTCATGAAACGCATTTGCGTGGAATCTTTTGTGTCTCTCAAATACCCGGATTAATATTTTTTTCTTGTTAATACAAATCCTTTCTTGTCACTTATTAGATTTTTAATTCGTAATTATTTGTTCCAATAGATGAAAAGCTGTGTAATGATAAATAAAAACAGCTACTGGAACATCTTCTAACTACAACTGGAAGATAGGAAGAGGTTCACCACTCTGTGAGATAGGGCTGGGCGATATGGCTTCAAATCATTATCACGATACATTGAGCAGTTCACCTCAATAACGATAAATGGATGACAACTACTCCACAAGCTGCTCACCCCCTCCCACATTAACTTTGTCTACTACAACTTTTGAACCATCCTCCATCTCCTCACCTGTCTTTCCCTCTTCCCTCTATGTCTCCGACGTAGGACAGCATCTTAAACGGATATGAGACCATAGCCAAATTCAACTTGTATATATTTATTTATTTTATTTTGACATTGGATATATTGACATGGGCAAAATGATGTCGGTTATTGTCGTAAATTTCGGTAACGGTACATTTTTAGTTTATCGCCCAGCCCTACTGTGAGAGACTGTGTGAGCAAATTGTTCAACAATTACAGAATAATTTTCCCCAGGGTAAAACATTTAGTGGATTTCATCGTCTACATGTCACAATTTAATTTAAGAGAAATCTCTGTAAAAGAAAGACAGGGACCAATACTGAATGGCCCTGATATTCAGTCCCTCAGGCAGTACAGCATTAAATACAGACAGGACTCTGTAGTGGAAATCCCTGCATGGGCTCAAAATCACTCTCCAAAACAAAATCCAGAAGTCATGTAAAAACTTTCTCTGTTTCTGAGCCCTTTTGAGATAGCCTGAGACAAAGAGGAAAACTGTTTATATATAATGAGCATATATTTTTCATTATTCAGCAAGATTTTTTCAGTTTCATCATTTAATTGGTTGCTTTTTCTTTCACTTTGATCAAGCAAAGAGTTGAAATGATTTGCCTCGCTAGGATAATAAAGATATCATCCAAAATACACTGAATAATAACACAATGAAGGCTGTAATTAGTTTTGCTATTAAAATCTATCTAGGAAAAGTAATTGGCATAATAGATTGAGGTTAATTCCTAAAGATTGTGTTGTTTTTCTCTATTTCCTAATCCTGTTTAACTCCCTCTGACCCTGCGGACCCTTCAGATCTCAGCAGACCTGATCTCAGTGTTGAATAAGCGTTATCAGAGACTTTACACAGACTGTTAATTTCTACAACTGGAAACCATCATTATATTCTCACTCACAACAAAGATAACTAATTAACTGCTCAGGTATTAACCTCTGGATATCCTCCAAAAATGAGCTCCATGAATATTAAATACCCTGTCTGTTATACTTTTGTTTTGTTTTATACATTTCTGCTATTTTTAATCATTCCAGTCTAATCATACTCGACGCACAGTACTGCTTTATTCCTCTTTCTGTCTCTTGCATACGTCTGCCAAAGGTGATCCGACTCTCGCCTCAGACTTCGAATTCTTCCCCCCGAGGAGCTTGGTTAAGCAGAATAAGTGCCACATTTAAAATCACCTCTTGAAAGTTATTTTTATTGACATGAATAAATGATGTGCTTCTCACTCTCATAAATTTTATTGTAATAATATTTTGTACCTTATTTACATCCCTGTGTCACTTTTGCAGCTTTTATTGTGTCATTACAGAATATTATGAGCTCTTATGAAACAATAAAGGTGTCTTCATTTCCATTTACTCCCTCTCAGGTTTATGAAAACTTGCAAACACAGTTTTTAAAGCATAGCTGCTGAATATCCGGTGACTTTCAGCTTCCTGTATAAGTATTTACCATCAGCTAGGAACTGAAGCAGAGCCAGGTCAATGGGCCGTTTCCAGCGTGAATCCTTCTGCAGGGCGATGCCATAACCAGTGGTAGCAAACACTTTCCCACTGCCAATGGTCACCAGCTTGCAGCCCTCATCTTTGCCAGCCATGTAATTTAGCACAGCAGCATCATAGATAAAGGCGTCCAGTTTCCTAACAGGATTACAGAAAGACACGTTTTGGCTGTCAGAAAACATGTTCGGCTTCTTTTTGGCTCCATCTTCTGCTGTAAATGTTTGTTTTACCACACTTGGCAGACACTTACCCGGTTTTGAGGCTGTTCAGGGCATCCTCCACTCCCTTCTGGTTGTATTTGACCATGTGGGAGTGCATCTCGGGGTAGTTGCTCCTTATGTTACGCTCTGTGCTGCCATTTGGGACCGTACCAAAGCGGAACGGAGGGTACTGCTCCTGCGGCTTTTGAAACTGTCAAGGGAGATAGAACAAGAGTCAGTGACAAAAACAGTAGTGGATGTTTGGTGAACCGACATTAGAAATATTTTGTTCTGCAAAAACACTTGTTGTAAATTGATAAAAAGAGACAAGAAGAGCAGAAAGAACAAAACTATTGATTTTCTACTCCAGTTTTTTGACAGTTTAATAGTCCTACTACTACCATGCTTAGTTATTGGGGGTTACAGGTTGTCTGGTGACTTTACCACATCCCATATTTCTGTCTTTAAAAAGTGCTGCATCACTGATAGAAAAGTCTTGGAAGCTATTGCAGTGACATTCACCTTCTTGGCTTTTTTCTCAACGTCTAAGTGCTATTGTGCTTCTCATCCTCCTGGCGCTTTATCTCTTAATTTACACATCCAAGCATTCAAAGACCCAGCAATCAGACACTGTCTGCAAAGACGTCCAAACTTCCTTTATCCTTTTCTTGTCTGCTGTTAAAGATGAACTTCTCATTTTATCTTTTTTGCTCTTGGCAGCTCTATATACCTTTAATTAGCTGTGAAGACGAGATGTGGAATGGGGCAGAAATGCAATCGACAATATTGCACTTTTTCATTAACCTTATTCAAATATGTTCTTAGTACATTAGCTGAGGGACAGTTTGTACTGGAATTTTTTTGCATGAGAAAATAGGTAATATGATGTCAGGACGTTTTGAAAATGGAGCATAGCCCTGCTGCAATCTGATAGCAAACCTTGAGCTGTCTGACAAGGTCAAGTTTATATGTAGAACCCCAAATCACGACTGTATCCCCCTGAGGGCTTTACCACTCTGTATAACATGCCTTCCATTTTTAAACCTTCAATTCTGGGTGGATTCAAAGATGGAGACAACTCATCCAAGATATACAAATCCAAGGTACAAATCAAAATACCTGATCTTGAAAAAACATGAAATCCCTCGATATTTTTTCTCGTCCTTGCAACTTACACTGCGCACACTGCGAGTGGCTTGTATTATTCATGGTCTTAATGTTGCTTAGGGGGTTGAAGACAGACATTCAGAACCGGCCTGTTTTCATCCCCACATCATCAAAGTTTGACACTTCATAAAGATGACCTCTGCATAAGACACACTAAGCTTTAATCTAACTCCTATTTAAATCCATCTGTGCCATTATTACATGCTCAAACTAACTATCCTGGTTAATATAATGCCCCTCAGGTGGGGATGGATGTTACCCAAAAGACCAGGGTGAAGTATCTTGTAAAAATATTGATTGTGTTTTGTATTAATGTGGGGTATTTGGTTGTTGCAATGCCGTAAAACAATTGTGTTTTCGTATTAATGTAGTCATTTTTCAGGCCTCAGTCATTGTCCAGTGATGTGAAGCTCTCTGTCAGGCAGTATATAGGAAACATACAGACATCATGTATATTTCTGTCTCTCTCCTCTACTCTCTGTCTGAACATCAGTGTGTACTGACCGGTGATCGGGAGATTCAGTGGTTTGTGGTTGTGATGGTGGGTAAAGCAGAGACACACACATTAAAGACAGAAAACTGTGCAACCTCAGCTGCAAACAAACTAAATCCAGCGCCTTCCTGCCGGTTTGTGGATGTGCCTATTGGTCTTTGGAGAGCCAGGCAGTTTTGCCATATTTTTGTCTTTACTGGTGTTCTGTCTCTTTACTTTATCTCTGTTTGATTGAACACTACTGTAAGCTCTCTCACTTCCATTTACTTGGAGCAGCTTATGGTGAGAAATGTGGATCTTTTTTTTTTTTTTTTTTCAGAGGTTTGGTCCATTTGGTGTCATTTTAAGCAGTCAGTATGAAAATATCTAGTGTAAAGTAACAGTTACTATATCACTTTAGGCAGTCCTTATGAAAAAAGTATCACATTACCAACTAGAGAAGCACTCGGAGCACGCAGACCTCCGCCAAGCAGCTCATATCCCCCCTTATATTGTGATTCACACCAACATTTTTACTGTTACGTGTCTTTTATTAACTTTTATTTGTGTTTAAACTGGTATGTTCACTGTTCATAATGTTCCTAAAACAAGAAATGCCCTGACCGGGATTCAACACAGGACCTTCTGGTTGTGAGGCGACAGTGCTAACCACTACACCACTGTGCCGCCAATCTACACCACTGTGCTGCCCATTGGTTATCTTTCAGCATTGAAAATTCCAACAACACCCTTATTTTTGTGTGTTCTGGATCACAGTAACCAGAATTTTGTCCGGATCACCACCAAAATTTAATGGGATCCTCCTGGGGCTGAGACGCACCTCAGGTGAAAATTTCAGGTCAATCCGTCTGTTACTTTCTCTGTAAAGTTGCTAACAGACAAACATTGTAAAGCATCATTATCATACTGTAAATGTTGTGTAGTTTTGTATTGGCTACTTTTGTCTTGTTGTGTTGTACTATCCAGCACTACATAGTATAGACTTGGAATGTTTTTGTTATTCCAACAAACAATACCCCCACACATAGTACAGTTGTGTTCTTGTGTTTGACTCTCTGTTTGAGGACTCTGCATGCATTAATATCCTAAGGACCAGACCTTAGTTCAGTTTGCAGTTTGAGTACAACTTTTCAGTCGTCTGTGGACTTCGTCTGTATACAGTGAACACTCCATGTGGGGAACAATAGGAGCGAAACACAATCCACTAATGCAGTCTTGTACCCTCTGGCAGTCATAACGGAGATGCTTCAGTTAATGTCTATAACTTCAGACCTGAATGCAAATGAAACAAACTTTCCACTCTCAGGCGCCGTCTCACAACTCTGACTCCATTATTGCTCTGGAAGTTGTCTGTAAACAAAGGCTCGTCCTATAATGTTTCTCTTTCTATAGTAGGAAAAGTTGACAGATACTCACAGAGGATGCATTCATGTCTGATGATTATCAGTACAATGTAAGGTGAGCATTTGCCATAACCTTTCTCCTGAAAGGTTTTACAGCTCTCAAACAACAGTCATCTACTTTAGTCTCGTGAGAACAGGTTATGTACAAGACTAAGAGATGTCTCTGCTTTGGATAATGACAAACAAAACTGATTTAACCATTTAATCCAACAAATAATGTGCTCATTTTTATAATAAGTGCAGTGCTTACTGCCCTTGAGATTAAATTACGCCTCATATCTTGATTGGATGCTGCTGATACACACCTGACCGGTCCGTCTTATAGTGTGTTAGACAAAAATGAATTAAAGGAGGTTGGTCTATGACAGAGTTAACATGATGTGTTACCCCATCACAAGGACTTCTCTTAAGTGTTGTGAAGGTAATCATCTACCTTAACGTCATGCCGTGTCCTTCCTGCCGCTTTTTTCGTCTTCATCGCCCCCTCTTCTGATACAAGGTCACTTTGTGCACCTTCATCTTGTTCCTGATTTACATTTACTTAACCTGTGGGCTTTTGCACAGCTGGACAAACAGCAGTTCAACCCTCCACACCGCCTCACAGAGCTCCTCAATAATCTATGGACTTGCTGTCAAACGGCTCTGTTGCTTTCCCCTGCCTCGCAGACTTAATGTATAATGAGAGCGGAGTTGTAAATGACTTTGCCAGAATGGTAATGAGCATTGGACAGCTTGGTCTTTTCCTCAAATGCCTCTTTAATCCCCTCAGATGCCTGTGAGCAAAAAAGTCTACAAACCATTTCTTGTGCTGACGGTTTAACATGGATTTCCTTGTCAATACTCCATAAAACAGATCCTCAGGCCAGACAAATATGCATAAGATGACACCAGAAATTATAATCACTGTGTGCCCAGAAAATCCACTGATGTATTACATTTCATGAGCTTTTCACAGACATCCCGATCTAAAGAGTCTGGGGATGTAATTCAATTTCACCACTTAGTCTCTAAACCCTTTTTGTGGAGAGTGAAAAGTCACAGCCCTGACATTGTCTCTTCTGGATGTTTGCCTTCATAGCTGGACCACACGCTGTTTACACATCCCTAAAAATAACCACTTTGTGTTTTTCCTAAGCTGTACATCAAACATAACAACACGCTCCAACTACACACGCAGGACTGTCAATGACAGTGACAGGGCTCTGTACCTTTTTGTCACTCAGTCCAGAGACAGTGTCGATGTACTGCTCCTGGATCATGAAGGCTGCGAGGTTGGCCGTGTAGGAAGCCAGGAAGATGACGGCGAAGAACGCCCACACCAGGACCATGATCTTACTGGTGGTGCCCTTTGGATTCTCAATGGGGACTGAGTTGTTGAAGACAATCCCCCACAGCAGCCACACTGACTTTCCAATGGTGAAGGTGGGGCCTCCGGGATCTACGAGGAGACAGGCCTCAGCACAGATAGATATACAGAAGACTGCGCTGTAGCAGCCTGCTAAGTGGGGGCAACTTTCCCATTAAAAGCATTAGTTGTACATGGGCAATAAATCATATCTTGTTCATTTCTCAACCACTTTTCATGTGATTTATTTTCAATCCCACTGAGCAATAGACAGCTATTAAAAGTCTAGTTTTTTTTTAGACCTAATTTCAATCGTCTTGATTCTGTATATTTTTAGACGGAATTTGGACGTTGCGCTTTAACCCTTTTATTCAATAATTATTTATTTCAAAAAGCAACTGTGAGTTGCATAACTGATCTCCAAGTACTCAACCAAAATAATTATGATAGCCATTGAGCAATATACAGATATAGCTCTGTTAGCCAGCTAGTCTGAACTGGGTCTAAATTAAGATGTCTAAAAAACTTTCATTTTTAGACCTGTGGTAGCCTGATTTTAGACCAGCCATCTAGGCTACATTTAGACATCTATTAGACCTCTTTTAGAGAAATGCTCAGTGGGATGCGAACACATGCAATTAATACAGAATATTTGATTTTTTAAACATTTTTAAGTCAATGTTCTGTATTAGTAGCACATGTTTTGGCAATGACAATAAAGTAAACTGCATGGAAATCGGTTGAGAAAGAGCAAGTTATGAATTTTTTTTTCATTGTGCATGCATTGCCTTAAATGGGAACAATGCCCACGCCAAGATGGCTGCCATGTAGGCATGCAGCTCAAAGGGACATGTCATATCTACTATTTATGTCTATGGACCTCAGTATCAGCCACAGGAAGTCATGGACATTTTAAGAGGACATATGCTCATCACTTTACAACAACTATGATTCCTGAACAACAAAAGAAGCAGACATTAGCTCCATATTTTCACTTTTGGTGTATTTTTAAATCCACCACCTCAATAAAGAAATTTAAACTCTATGCCAATACAATACACATTTTTTAAAGTCTCCTCTGGTGATTTACCAAATTTAAAGTGGAATAAATGATCGGCCTTGGAAGAGTTAATTTTAGAAAAAGGCTGTAGGAATGGCAAAAATTAGCTCTTTTATTCACCAAAAATTCAAACTTGCAGATATCCAGTTAGTTTAGTAATATGGGTCAAAAAGTCAGAAGGAACAGTTTCTAAACTGGTGGAACAAAGCTGCAAATGTATGTTAAATGTACAGGTTTGTCTCAGTCACATCACTTTATCTATTGTCATCATAAAAACTGAAGCTGAATGTTTTAATCAGAGTAATTAGAATCATTTTAAAGAAAAAACAGGACATGTAATTGTAGTGATATAGCAGATATTGCAGGACTGTTAAAGAAAGACTATCAGCATCATCATTCTTCTTATGTCCTCAGTTTCATGCAAAAATGGTGCCAAACACATTCTTTTCAGTTTTGCACAGAAATAGACGCAGATGAATCTGTGGATTTGTTTTTTTTTTGTATGTCGTATTTTAGTGCACTCTGGGATATGCCAGTGTCAGTCTGATTTTATATCATACTCAGTCTGACACATTTAATATGAAACTCAGTGCTGTAAGTTTGCAGACTGACTTATTGATCTTGCCAGCAGTGAGGCAGCTGGCTGGTGATTGTTTGACATTCATCTCAGGAAGAAGTCGCTGAAATATTCTTAAAAAATAAAAAGGAAAAAGAAACACAAAGAATAAAAGTCAAAGTCTTTTCTATGCAACAGGAACAAGTCCAGTGTGACCTTGATTTAATTCTGACATCATGTAAGTGATTTACTCTAAAGTGCATAAAAACAAAGATATGGAGCAGAGCCATGAGTGCAGCCCCTTTGGTCTGTCTTCATCCATTATAAGAAGTTTTATAGAGCCAAAAGCTCAGAGATGAAACGGCACTATCTCAATTTTCTAGGCATTGATCCAATATGTGACCACTGTAAATAGGCTCAGATTTCTTCTGTTCTCCAAAAACCCCTGAAAACCTAAAGACTTCACTTTTTCTCTCCTCTGTGTGGAAGAACAGTGAAGTACAGTGTGCTTAGAAAATGAGTTAATCTGAGCAAATATACAGTAGTCTTTAACGGGTGACAAAGCAAACTGGTAAATCTAATATTGGGTCTGGATCTGCACATTAATTTAAAAGCAAGCTCCCTTTTTAGAGCCTTGTTAGATCTTTGTTGTTGTTTTGGCTCTGAAAAGAGGATCGGCAAACTCACCCTTGGCGCTGACCAGGCTGCGGTTGTAGCCAACAGGGCTGCAGTATTCAAAGACGAAGACGGTGATGGCCACAACGGTCAGACACATGACGAACATCATCACCCAGACAGCTGGACTGTAAGGCTCTACAATGACAGAAAAACAGTCCGGCCGGAGAAATTAATTTAGAGATCACTGAAAAATTCACAACCTTTCTATTAAAAAACCCACAACAAGTAAACAAGATATATGAAACCCTTATATGTAAAGATGGACATATTATCCTGGCCACTGCGATTTTGAGTGACCAAAATTTTTAAATATTGAAAAACTGTTAAACATAATCTCTAAAACGAAAAAAAAAAAAAAAAAAACGAGCTACTAGTTATTAAGAATGAAAGGAAAACAGTGAAATGCAAATATATTTGTTTTACATTATATCTCCTATATAGACTAATATTTAGTGGAATACAAAATTCTTACTTTTTACCTCAGTATTAGTCAATTTAAAATCAATGTATGAAAACCAAAATTACAGAACCAGAATCAGCGTTGCTCTTGACTTTATGCTATCTCAATCACTTTGCCACCCACCACTTTGCACCAATGATGCAGTTTTTCGAATGAAAGGTGTTAACATCTATACTATCAGGTATTCGTGCAGGCAGAGGTGTTTCTCACCTAAAAAGGCTGATGGTGAGACCGTCCCGTTGCTCCTGGCCACCATCACACTGATCCCCGTCTCCACGAATGGCACCGAGAAGTCAATAATCTCTGAGCGCTCTTCATTGATGGTCAGCGAGCCGATGGCCATGTCTGCCCGCTTGTAGAACACCTGTGGCGAGAGGACAGAGAGATTTCTATGAGATTAAAACGCTAATGGATGGTGGATGTTCTTCTGCCAGTGACCTTGTGCGGTTGTGTTTGTCGTCAACCGCTGACCTCTGACATAAATCTCATCCCCCAGTGATGTCAACAAACTCAGCCTCTGTCCCTCAAGTGATCGACTGTCTGCTTCCTCCAGATGGACGCAATACAAAAGCCCATCCCAGTGTTATCTTGCTTTCACCAATGTATTGTAAAGCCAATCTAATCCACCTCTAATCCTTGGCATAGTATCGGAGAATATAGCATAATGCCTGTTACATAAGACGTCTGCTGACAAATATAACTAGCAGGAAGTGGAGCGAGATGCTGTGGAGTTAAGGTCACTGGGGCTGAGGTGGAGTGTCGTGTTTATGGAAACACTTGCACTGGAGCTTGACAGATATACAGTATACACCCATATGTTTGTTTTGCTAATGTTGCTAGGTGATAAAGCATCTGTGAAAGCTTCTGTTGACAGAAAAAACACAGATTACAGATGTTGGATGCTCTGACTGAAACTTTTCAGTACCCTCTGCATTGTTTGCAGGACTTGCATCATGTAGATGATGTACTGGGATGTTGTTGGAGGTAGGGTGACCATATGTCATCTTTTACCAGGACATGTCCTCTTTTTGGGGGCTGTCCGGCCTGTCTGGGGGGAGTTTATAAAATCCTTCAAATGATCAGAGTTTTGTATGAAAGTTTTTAGTTTGTGTATCGTGGACTAGAAGCATGCAAAAAACACTCGACCCGACCCGAAAACTCCTCAAAATTTTGTGTGCGATTTCGCTCCGCGTAGTAGTGTCCTCTTTTTGGGGGATTAAGAATATTGTCACCCTATTGGAGTATTATAACAGTGTGTGAGCTTTCAATCATGACTTGCAATGTCAGTAAAATTGACAGACGACACATTAGTAGGGAGAGTAGGAAGATTTTTCTCAAAAATTCATTGATTGTATAAATGGATTTGGTCTCAGAGGGCTCACCTTTGGGTTTCTGTATTGACAGTTTGATGCCAAAAGATTGTGATCACCATTTTTTGAAATGCTGACTCACTCTAACTTCCAGATACCGATGAAACTAGCAACACATGAAGCCAAAGAAATCGGTTACATGCCCAAGAAGTTGCCTTTTGCATAAAATGACATTGGTGTCCAAACTCCATATTGGTAAGACCCGAGTTGGATTCTCTCAGGGTCCACCTGTACAGTTTAAACAAGCCCATCTGTCTTTTTTCCAGCTCTGTGTGCCACTCCACTGTTCATCATACTGATGGAGAGCTGGTAGATTCACAGTCCGCACACTCTACCTCATGCACGCCATTAGCTCTCCTATGGAGGTTGATGCCTCATTGAGCACAACAGCCTTCCTGGTTTGGGGAAAAAAAAGAAAAATAAGAAAGGCCAACTAATGTTGTATCCTCCAATTCCTCAAGAGGATGGCCGGCTGGGGGAAAGCGGCTGTGGAGATTATTCACAAGGACACCTACTCCTCCTTTTTTGTACAACAGTCCCTCCCTCACCCACCACGGTGACCTTGGTACCTGCTCATGTACTCATTAATCATGACTTTAGATTGCTTTTCATCTATTTTTTTTTTAATTCAAGAAGAAAAAATGTTCAATATAATTTATCATCGCAGCAAAGTCAGACTATGTTTCCATAAAAAACCAAGAGATTGATAGAGCTTTATTTCTTGAATGTTTTTAATAACAAAACAGGTTGAGTCAAAAGTTAAAGTAATAAGTCAGATTCTGTCTTAGATTTGCAGTCAAACGGCCTGTCTGTTGATTTTTTTTAGCATGAACAGAAAAAACATCCATTTTGACACATAAATATCTTATTTCTAAATCTGTTCATGTTCAACAGAAACCGAAACAGAATTACTTTTTTTCTGCAGGAGTGAATTGATTTTATCCAAGCCTAGAAAAGACTGTTCAGTCATTCTCTAAACCCACCAGACACAACTGACAAAAACAACATTTTTACTTTCTGAAAACAGGTGCTCCCTGACCAGTTCTACCTAGATTGGTAAATTTTACAAGTTCATGTTACACGACTGTTATATCTAACCCAAATTAAAAGTCATTAATTTTATTCATTAAAGGGCACATTTACATGCAGGAGTTGATCTATAGATCTTTAATCTCAAGGTAGGCCTTGCATCTCGCCTCCATCCCAACTCCTCTTTTTACTGTTCTCCCTGCCAGATTCCTTTGAAATGGCCACCGTCTGTCTTTAGTTAGTCTATGAATAGTGTATCATCAGGCTTTATTATATGTAGAAAAACAGTCCATATGAAGTGCAATGGTAGGCAGAACACAATCCTCAGTTATATCAAGTCATCTGAAGTTGGTGTGTTTATCAGTTTGAAGGATATCTGTACGCACCCAATCTGGCTCAAGCATTTCAACTTAATCTTCATGAAGCTGTGTTGCAAAGCAAATCATCTATAAGCTTTCCCAAGTACCTAGAATCTCTTAGAAATGATTGATCTGACCTTCATGCGAGAGGAACATCTTGACAGATCTACAACTGTATCCATGGATCAAACCCTAATACAATGCTCTCCTCCAAAAATGTTGATACTTCTTGTAGGTTTTTTGCTGAGAACATTTGAAATCCATTAAAAACACCTCAAAAGAACATACAGCACAATCCCACTCTTTTTTCTGTCACTGCGTTACTAAATGATGATAAATGAAGTAGCAGCTGGTCGGTCTTACCTCTCCGATCATCCCGTTCCAAATCCCTCGCACCAGCTTGCCGTGTTTGCCGTTGGTGACCAGGTAGAGGTCGTAGGAAAACTTGATGTTTCGGGATAACTTCTTCAGGATGTCTATGCAGAAGCCTTTACAGCACAGTTTCGTGTACGGCTCAGTGTGACCCACGATACTGAAAAATAAGAAGACCAAAACACGGCGTGTGACGATTATTCTGAAATCGCTTGTAACATTAGTATTTTATACCTCAAGGCTCTTCGAAAGTCAAACTCTCTAATCTGAAGGTTTTGTTGATCAGGCTGCAGAGATCTCATTGTTATAGATGATGCTATTAAACTCTCATTATATGTTACCAATTGAAGAAACCACCTATTATATTTCCCCGTAATTAATATTGAATATATTGAAATACCAATTTGACCCGGGCTCTCCTTCAAAATAACACGATACAGAATATTGACCAGTTTGTCAGGTTAATATCTTTGCAGATCTCCTCAGTGCTTTTAATGCTGGCCAAGGCATTTTAATGCTTTCATGTGATGTATAAAGTTGAAATATACTTGGATTATGAATGAATAAGAACCCACACAGCATATTTGCGGTTCTTACGGAGTTCAGGTGCACTCTAGTAATCTTCATTGTTGACTTTATCAATGAAATCAAACCGGTTTGGCTTTGACTCAACAGAAGATAGATATGAACATACAGTACATAATTAGACTGTGAAGGCATGAGGTAGGAGCTTCTGCAAACCACTGAGAGTTTGAAGCAAAGTAGAAAAAAAAAACAGTTGCCTCCTGACCTCCTAAAAGCTTGGGCAGCTAATTCTGTAGCTTGTAGTGGAAAGAAAGAGATGGACACTCCGATAGAAAGACATTTTAGGGGCAGTAAACGTAAAGATCTTATATTTGAGAGCTTCTTTTGTTTAAATTGCAAATGAAATGAAACTTTTCAAATCAGGTGAAGAAAAAACAGCTTTTTATGAGCACTTTTTCTCTGGTGGGGTCAGCAGGGATTAGTGGGAAGTTGAACAGTTCAACAAGGGATTACAAGACAATGCTACTTTACAAAGCCGTGCATCCTCCAAAAATAAAAGGGTACCACAAGTTCACTGCACAGCTGCAAAAAAGGGAAATGCACTTGATGCAGTCAAGCAGTAAGCATTTATTCAAGGTATAATGCTGATATAACTTAGGTTTTTCTCATAAAATGTTTAAGCTTTCCATCACTTATAAACAGCGCTGCACCATCTAAAGTTAACATCAAATATAACAGAAGTGTAGTAATGTTGAAACACAAGTATGTGCCTGAACCACACCGCTGATTCACTTCAAATAGAGCTCATCATTACTGCTCATTTCCAAAGATAGAACAGCTGAGGTAAACTTGAAAACCAGTGATGTAGCTTTTTTAAATCAGGAGCAGAGCAGATATCTCCTTGACATGAAAGCCGGGCCACTGATGTCAGGAAATTAGGGAGCTGGCGGAGGGGGGTGTTGCAGGAGGTAGAAGAAGAGCTACTCGGCAGGCTGGCACATTGTGTCACGGCCTCGGCAGATGGACGGACAGCTGGGCCCACCAAAACAAATCCGACACAAATTAATCACAAGCAAACAATGGCAGACAAGAGTGAAACTCAGCGCTAGATAATGTGGAGCAACTTAAATGAAACTGCAAAACTAGAATGTTACCTGATGAGAAGCAAAGGAGCACTTGACGACATTTGTACATAAGCATTTCTGCTGAGCTAGAAACTCAGTCTGAACTTTTTCTTATGTTTAAAAAGCAGAAATGCATTTAAAGGAGGCGGTAATTTTGCAGTGATAAAAGTGCATGTCCATGTTTTTGCTTTGAGTGCACCATCCTTTACCCTTTTACCTTATTTTACCTGATTCTTGTACATTTTCAAAAGACCTAACATATCTGCAAAAAAATACATGCATGTATGCTTCACAGTGCTTTTTGTTTGATTGATCTTGGACATTTACATGTCTGTTCTTATTCGCCACAATTACTACATGAATTCCACAGTTTATGATGATTTCATTCCTTGGTTAATCAGTCAGAAAGCATCATAAATGTTTGGATGATTTCTCTTATCCTGAAATTTGAAAATCAAATCAGAAATTTTCTGCAAATGACAAGAAAATTAGCTTCAAAATGTCCCTGTAGTGTTAATGCAGAGTTATGGCGTATAATTACTCCGTTATCAGCAGGATTGTGTGATGACCTGTGCAAATATAAACTACATTTTCACACATGAACACTGCAAAGGGTCCCTCAGCAGCAGCCTCATCTTAAACTGATTTATTTGCTGCTACAAATCTATTACTGCTGCATTTCTGCACAGATCATGCCATTAAAATGCTGCATATTACGCAAATAAAGTACTTTATGAGACTGTCCCGTCCTCACTGTGTCCTCACATCCCCCTCTCTTCCAAAGACAGCTTATCTTTCAAACCGCTGTCTTTGATATTGCGTGTACTACAGCATGCTAAACTGTGTTAATTAGGACACTGGCCTGAGTAATACCTACTGCATGCCAAACTGCCCCACTGACCCTGACTAACAGACTCCGCGTGCCTGCTTCCACACAGCTCTGATCTTCAGACGGAGTACTCAGCAGCACAAGCTTAGCTGACGGTCTGAGGCACGGCATACGGCGTCAAAGAAGCTGACGTAAGGGTAGAAATCAATTCCCCTTACTTATCAGCAGGATTTCCAAGAACACAGGGATAAAAATGTCCTTCAGTCTCACATTAACGGGATGACAGCCAAGATGTCAGTCAGAAACTAGTGCTTTGTAAAACACCCTTTACTCTGAGCTGATTTAGGGGGAGAAGGGCCAAAAGGAGTCTGGATTGTTTTGTGAGTGTGTGCTCCATCTGCCAATGTCACTCAACACATCGTAAAAATGGTCAAACTGACCGCTGATTTGGCTGCTCTCCACTGTCTCAAACAAGCATTGTCTATGCCTCGGGTCTGTTTTGTGACTCTTTTGTTTTGGCCCTCTCTGAGTGTGAATTGTGTAGTTTCACTCTGAATTGTTCGAGTTAACAACAGTTGATAATTCTTCTAAAGCCTCTGAAAACAGTCCAAATTGTTGGCGTAGCATTATAGCGTTATGGGAGTCATCATTAGCAAGAGCTACAGCAAATGGAGTTGGACTGTGCTTCAGCTCAGAAACAACATGTTCAAATGAAAATATCAATAACTCATTTTACGTATATCTTCAAGAAGTGGTGTAACAGCGATACAAACAATCAGAGAGCCACAGGTGGAGAGAGAAGTGCATGAAGAAGATGAGGAGGAGAGAGCAGTGGGTGTATCAGTGTGTGTCTGAAAAGCCAAGGGACTGAATCAGGAGCATGAGAGAGACAGAGTGCTAACAAGCTGGTGACTGCCAGGCTCAAAATTGAGAGACATCATCCATAATCTTTATCAAATACAAGCGCAAGTCTCGATGTAATGAGAGAAGATATGTCAGTGGATTCACGCACAGATGCATGGATAACTTTTGTCTTAAAACATCTCAGATAATGTCACATTTTTGAGCATTTTCTTAGACTTCTGCAAGACTTCTGGGGCAACATACCCTGACCATGATGAACTCTTTGCACTGTGATAATACAGCCCCTGAACTTCAGAGCTTCCTGCAGCTTGAAATGATAATTCAGAGAGCATGTCTGTTGTTGTCAGAGATGTTGAAGTGTAAAGCACTCATACAGTGCTCCGGCAGAAACTCATCGCTACCTTTTTTTCTGGTTTTGTTTAAATACAAACAAGTTCTGGAGGTGAATGTGGAACCGAATGTTCATTCACCTCCAGAAGAACCAGAACTAATGCTGCGTTCCAGTTACCTCGGAAGTCGGGTGTCGGAGCTGGGAATGACACCACACCTGAGTTGTTACAGTTAACAAGTCGGAAAACCAAGATGGATGCCTAATGTTATCCGTTGTTGGCTGTTGTTAACAATTGTCAGCTGTCGTTGGCCATTGTCAGTTGTTGTAAGTTGCTGTTAGCTTTACCAGTTGCAAACAACTCATAACACAGTATTTTACTCTTACAAACACCATAGCACCGTGTTCACAGTTAGATGTTGGGCAGTAAGACATATACCACTTATTTAATCTCACAAAAACAAAACAGAAGTGCTAATATATAAAACATTACGAGAGCTTTCACTGTTACTCTTTACTGTTGATGCACTGCGCTGCCATCTTGGATTATGACGTTGATATCAAGTCGGGGTTGGCAAGGATCATCCGACTTTACGAGTCAGAAATCAGACTTCAGGAGGGTGTTCCAGATGCATTTTTGACTCGGCGCTCGGAAATTCTGACTTCCGAGTACAGCATACAAAGTGATCTGTGCGAAGAGATGTGGAGGTGAACCAGTGAGCCATGGGCGCAATGCAGAGTGCACTAATGACACCTCACCCCTAACCCCCTCCTTCTCCAAACCTTCAGTCTAATGGACTCTGCACCCTCACATCAGGATTGAGAGGAAATGAGACGAGCAGACCGAGCCCGACCACAACAAGCTGAAACAAATGAACACTTTGGAGGAAAAGAGGCTGCCACAGCAGAGCGGGAGTAAACACAGCAGTCCCAGAATCCCCCGTCTCACCAGCTGCCAGGGTTCGAGCCTGAGCTTCAAGATGACCGTATTTTACTGAAAGTGGCTCTTTGGGAACAGTCACAACTGTTAGTTTATGTTATTTATCCAAGAGCGGATATTCTCATAATGTTTTAAAGCTGCTGTTTGAATGGTGACATGCAGCATGATGCATCACCTGTTTAAAAGTCTGTAAAGCTCCACCAGGTGAGCTTTACACCCAGAGAAAATGTGTAATTTCATCACCACATCTGCAAGCTACAGATTCAAAGTCAGTGAAATACAAACTGTCCCATCTGTTCAGAGCAGAAGGATCAGACAATAAAGTTGAGGATGGTTTCATTAGAATAAGGACGAGGCAAAAATATTTGTGCTATAAAACTTAACGATATGATGTTGGTTCTCTAAATGGTGTTACCCTGAGGTGATGACAAACTTTAACTCAAGATCATTGTGACCAAAATGTTAATATCTTCATCACTTTTCTAAAGGTGCTGAAACACACTGTAGCGACCTGGAGGTGAGTGACTGGACTTTGGACAAACAGCAGAGACTCGGAAGGCCGTTCATGTTGATACTTATGTGTTAGCTACGTGAAAATCTTTGCACCATTCTTCAGTTGTTAACCATTGGTGGTTTTGCATGATAAACAACACTTTCTGAGTGTTATGGAGAGTAAGGTCAGTTGATGAATTTGACACCATGAGTGTCTGCAGAGAGCTTGGAGAAGAGCTACTGGGCATTCACATTAAAAGGAGTCTGTTGAGGTAGTTTGTGTACTTGACGGGAATGCCTCCTGGACGACTCATCTCAGGAGTTCAGTGTGTGAAAAAACACTAAGATAAGGTGATGGTGTTAAATAATGATAATGAAATAATCAACTTCAAAATAGGCAAATTTATCAGTAATCTTTTATTGTACAGGTGAGGAGTAAGATTTCTGCTTGAGGTAAACGGCAGCAGGATCCTGATTGAAGTCCTCATACTTTTTGATGGATGTAATATACCCCTGAGGACACATTGTTGACACACTTCTGCTGGTTAATTTGTCTGCTTTTTCTCATCCTCCATATCATCCCATCTTTCAAATCAATGTGCCATAACAACCAATATGTTATGGAAGACTTTACACCGCTTGTACCAGCTAGATTTAACACTAACAGGTGGTGCAACCCAATGCAGATCAGAAGCCTTTATGTGAATGATGTATTACACTCGAAGTTTTGCTAAGTATTAAAAGTAATTTTATAAGTACTTCATTATATCCTCATCAAATTTGGAGGAAAAATCAATAAGACCTTGATCTCTCTCTCTTTGTGACCGTGCTGCAAATTTGTGTTCAACCGTGATGTCTCCAAAAAGAGTAAACTGCTGTAACTCTGGTACGTTTTCAAAATCCACTTCACATTTCATAACAAACAAGAACAGCCTGCAATAAACTTTAACTACCAAACCTACTGCAACCTAAAGCTCAGCAAGATTCACACCCTGCTGACTTTTTTTTGCTCGCACTCTAAACCACAGTCACAACTTATGGCGTGTGCTCGGAGGGCTTACTGCATTTCATCAAAACTTGAAAGTTAGAAGTTTCTTAGCACAGTTTTTTGTTGTTTTCTGTTCCTGTTGCTCCGAGGCTTATCGTAACTCCTCTTTCGCTGCATTCAGCCTTGGCTTTAATTAAATCTACTTATGATCTAACCTCCTTTGAAAGCAGCTAATCTACGATGACATTATCTCCCTGGGTCAATACCAGCGTTCATCAGGGCATCACCTCTGAATTGATCTACACCAATGTGCTCTGAAGGAGAAGAGTATTCCCCCAACACAAAACAAATAAGGACGCTCTGGATGTTTCTGATTCCACTGGAGAAACATGTGTGACTCAAAGGAAATTTCTGGTGTTAACTGCTTTAGTCTGAGCTCTGCTTGGTGTCAGACCTCTCTGTGGACCAATGAGGGAGCTACACAGATGGTCCTCCTAGCAGGTTGAATATACAGGAATGAAGGAGGTTGAGGGATTGAAATGGACAAACCTGCATCACCAATGACTCGCTGATGTGGATCAGATTTATTTGTGATTTTCAAGCAGCTTCTGGCTGTTTATGAGGAGGGTGAAATCTTTGGTGCAGACTGAAATTAACACCTACAGGTGTTTGCAGTCTGCTGAGGGTTGGTGTTTATTTCACCACAGTATTTATGAAGGGATGTCATGCTCACATTTTTTGATGCCAATTATTCTACAAAAGTAATTTACCTCGACATTAAGTCTGTCATATTGTGTTGATGTCACTGTCTTGGGTTGTTGTGGCTCAGCCCCTGCATATGATGATTTTTCTGAATGCATATAAGCAGCTCTTAGCTAACTGTCTACAAGAAGTAAGCTGGATGTAAACTGTGGCGTTTTCTTTATTTATTTCTGTGCAGCAGTGAGTAGTGATGCTGACAGCTCATCTCCACGACTGATGCAAAACAAGAGCAAACTGCAAAATTCAATGGGCATGTTTGCACTTCATTTAAGTGGAAATGTTTTTGTGAGTTCAACCTTAAGATTAGGAAGATAATAGGGAGAATATGAAGCAATTTTAGATGTATTGCTTACGATTTACCCCTCTGTGTGAATCTCCCCAGTCCATTTCTGATATATTCAAGATTAAGAAACAGTATTTAGTTGCAAAAAAAACCCCAAGTGATTAATAATTAAAAGGCTTAGTTAACAGAAGTGGTCCTTATCTCACTTTATGTAAATGCTTATCTTTAATTTGACTGCTGGGTGTGCTGGCAAGCACTTCTTCAACCTGAAGTGCTTTGTACACTGGTCAATATTAAGGTAACCTGCATGCAGACTGCTTCATTGAACTTCCTATTGACCTGATCTGCTTTAAATTTTTTACACCGTTTCCATCAGAGGGGATTGAACACCTTGTGCTCTGGCAGGATGATTTAGTTAGCATGAGTAATAAAGCGCTTCAAAGCCTCATGACACTGAGAGGACATGATCTTCATCTTCTGTCCCTCTCATCCTGTTAACACTATTGTCAGTAATGGGTAATGGCCGCTGCTCCTCTCCTCCTCTAATGAACACCAGTATCGGTCTGTAGGTGTTGAGGATTGATGACATGGCCTAATCGCCCCATCTAATTGATACCTCAGCATGCAGCACATATATTTTCCTGATTGGGTCACAGGTGATCCCTGGGATATTGCACTCTGGCCGAGCGGTCTAATGAGTATCTCACCTCATTGAGTGATAAGAAGCCATGCTGGGGCTAATGGCAGGGGAAGAGCCTCTTAATCTCACACCTAATGGCACTCTGAGGTTGGATACGAAATCAATTAAGCTGAGTGTGTTAATATGTAAGAATGCTTATGGGACTGCTAAGACATTAAATGGGTTAGCATAAGCACAATTTTTCTACAGTAGGTAAGTCAGGTATACTGATGTAGTGCTGGTCTGGTTCATTTCCTATCTGTCAGACAGATCTCTTTATGCAACTTTTGGAAGTTCTGTTCTCCCCTCTAAAGTGGGGTCCCCCAGGGATCTATTTTAGGTCCCCTCTTGTTCAGTGTTTACGTGCTCACTGCTACACAAATGAAACTCCGTTATATACCCGGTTACAGCCCAGCACCTCTGATGTTTTTGTGCACCCTATCTAATTGCAGTAGCAGAAGGAGGAGCTAACTACCTAGCCTCTCTGAGGTGTTGTTTATCAGCCTAACTAGAAAAAAACACCAATAAAGGGAGGTGCCTTCTTCATAAACACAGTAATGTATTGGCTCCCTCTGCTCATCCATCTTCATGCTTGGGCCATATGGTGGGTTATCAGAAGATCATAGTTATTGGTCCAGGACATGATGGGACAGGTTTCTTTACTGTCTGGTAATCGTTTTAATTAGTGTGCTTTTTATTTATAGGAAATAAATGACATCTTACCTTGGGGGGCATAAAATGCGCCACATCTCATTTTTTGTGGTTTCATTTTAAATATAAACATTAGGCAGATCCTAATGTGACAGTTCTACCCTTGTAATAATGGCAAATTGAACATTAATAGTATAAAGATATACAATACAAATGTCATTACTACGTCATCCTTCGACTCTGACCAGTTGAACCATGAAGAATTATCAGCATTCAAATCTTCCTGGTAAAAATTAAAAGTACTTGAAAATGTACTTGTTATTTATGTATTAAATGTACTCAGTACCTTCTTTTAATGAGGAGTAAAAAGGGTTGAAAGCAAGATGAATGTATGAGTAATTGGTACTACTGTGTTTAGAGTGAAGTGGAGTACAATAACTCCCACAAAAAAGACCAATTTCAAAAATTACTTAAGATACAATTGCATTAACAAAAAAAAAAAAAACCACTCAGTCACAGTAATTTAAGTAACAGCAATACGTTCTTTTTCACTGCAGGCTATAATCAAGCCCAACAGATTGACTGAACAACACAAGAAGGCAAATCTAGAGGGGATACCAGTATGGAATTTGGTAAATATCAGCAGGTATAAAAACCACATCAAAAAGCCAGTTTATTTATTCACCTGCTATTCTTGCTGTGGTAGGAGATATGTTCAAGGTGTTTACACATACCTGACTTCATTAGCATTTTAGCTGTAAGTTTTATATTGATTCACATTGGGTTTGACTGACATGATCAAGCTGACAACATGCTAACTGACAACTGGTGCACTGACATGCCTTTAAAGAAAAACACCTGCTTTGAACCAATTTTGTTCAGCACACACAGGGGAGTGAATATAGCCAATTTAGAGCACTGGGCATACCCACCAAGGCTGTTGCACCTTTAACTGAATATATGTACCTGAGAGGCTTGTAGAGCAGAATGTTGTTTCGCTCCTGAAATCCTGTCTTTTTCGGCTTTATTCAGAGGGGAAAAACATGAAATAGTCTTGAACTTTGGCCTACCCCAGTTTGGAGGTATTGGCTTCAAATTGTGACATATGTCTGTCTCACCTGGTTGGTGATGGCTGAGTCTTTGGGTTCTGATTGTATTTGTTTTCCTCTGGGTGTTTTAGTCAGGGTGTGACTGTTTCTGAGCATCAGTATCACTTACGCCTCTGTCTTGTTGGACTGCCTTCTGCAGGGCACAGTGTTGCTGACACATGTTCCAGTCACAGGGTCCACCGCCTCTACAATGACAAAGGGCCTCTCCTCCAGCGTGGCCACCGTAAGATGCCTGTAATCTGACACCGGCTCTAGGTAGGTGCCATATCGAGGCCACACAGGGTATCTCATCTGCAGGATGCCTGACTCGTAATTCCCCACCTGTAGGTGTGTAAGAGCAGAGGAGAGGCAACATGAGACAGTGAAAAATCTCTGCACCAAACTTCAGATGGTCATCATTATGTATGATACTGATGTGTGAAGCAAAAATACAGGAAAGTAATGATTCTTTAAAAGGGTTACTCAGACATAGTAAGTCAGAACTAAAGGCAAGACATATCAGCCTTGATTCATCTCTGACAACAACACCAACTATCACAACCTCAAATCTTAATCCAGCTGCCTCCAATCCTCTTAATGCATATGCTGTTATCACACCTCTTTGTGAGAGGTGCACCTGGACCTTCTGCGGCAAGGAGCTCTTTAGTTCATCAACAGTTCACAGGAAATTGATTTTGGGTCACTTGAGATGTCAAGTGTGCAATTACACATCTAAAGCAATGAAAGCAATTCCACCCCCCTATAACCAGTTAGCTTATTTTAATTGGATGTAGTGGGGGAAATGAGCGTTCAAGCAAACCGAATGCATAATCAAGACCTGATTTAAACATTTCAAGCTCACTTATTTGAAGAAGCCGTGACCTGGTAAGTAGAACATTGTGCATATTTGACTTGGTGACTCCTGCTGTTTAAATCAGGGAGAGAAATAAAGTTATGCAGGTCACGGAGGACCAGCTGGACCAATTACCAAAACACCAACAGTGAATGCTAACGATATGTTGTGCTATTAGTTGATGCTATAATACAAAGACTAAATTACAAATGGATTAAAACGTAGTTTGGGGCTTACAAATGAGGGGAACAATCTACAGAGGGTCTTAAGAAATTTTTACTTTAAATTTTTTTACTTTTTTCTGTCTTCTAAACAATGTATCTGTCCATGACTCAATAGGAGAAGTTGATAACCTGTTTATTTTAGGAAATCTCAGTAATTGAAGATTTGTAAGTGAAGTTAAGAGGCTCTGCCAAAAGATAATCTTAGTGCAGTCAAAGCAAAATGATAGTTCATTTTTTGGACCATGAACATACACTCACCGGCCACTTTATTAGGTACACCATGCTAGTAACGGGTTGGACCCCCTTTTGCCTTCAGAACTGCCTCAATTCTTCGTGGCATAGATTCAACAAGGTGCTGGAAGCATTCCTCAGAGAGCTTGGTCCATATTGACATGATGGCATCACACAGTTGCCGCAGATTTGTCGGCTGCACATCCATGATGCGAATCTCCCGTTCCACCACATCCCAAAGATGCTCTATTGGATTGAGATCTGGTGACTGTGGAGGCCATTTGAGTACAGTGAACTCATTGTCATGTTCAAGAAACCAGTCTGAGATGATTCCAGCTTTATGACATGGCGCATTATCCTGCTGAAAGTAGCCATCAGAAGTTGGGTACATTGTGGTCACAAAGGGATGGACATGGTCAGCAACAATACTCAGGTAGGCTGTGGCGTTGCAACGATGCTCAATTGGTACCAAGGGGCCCAAAGAGTGCCAAGAAAATATTCCCCACACCATGACACCACCACCACCAGCCTGAACCGTTGATACAAGGCAGGATGGATCCATGCTTTCATGTTGTTGACGCCAAATTCTGACCCTACCATCCGAATGTCGCAGCAGAAATCGAGACTCATCAGACCAGGCAACGTTTTTCCAATCTTCTATTGTCCAATTTCGATGAGCTTGTGCAAATTGTAGCCTCAGTTTCCTGTTCTTAGCTGAAAGGAGTGGCACCCGGTGTGGTCTTCTGCTGCTGTAGCCCATCTGCCTCAAAGTTCGACGTACTGTGCGTTCAGAGATGCTCTTCTGCCTACCTTGGTTGTAACGGGTGGTTATTTGAGTCACTGTTGCCTTTCTATCAGCTCGAACCAGTCTGGCCATTCTCCTCTGACCTCTGGCATCAACAAGGCATTTCCGCCCACAGAACTGCCGCTCACTGGATATTTTTTCTTTTTCGGACCATTCTCTGTAAACCCTAGAGATGGTTGTGCGTGAAAATCCCAGTAGATCAGCAGTTTCTGAAATACTCAGACCAGCCCTTCTGGCACCAACAACCATGCCATGTTCAAAGTCACTCAAATCACCTTTCTTCCCCATACTGATGCTCGGTTTGAACTGCAGAGATTGTCTTGACCATGTCTACATGCCTAAATGCACTAAGTTGCCGCCATGTGATTGGCTGATTAGAAATTAAGTGTTAACGAGCAGTTGGACAGGTGTACCTAATAAAGTGGCCGGTGAGTGTAGATCACAGTTTTAACTAATGAATTTTTAATGTGAACTTGTTTGTTTCAATATGATTTGATACCAAGAGATACTATAGAATATGAAATGTCAGGATACAGTTCAATCTGATGCAATAATACATGAGACAGTGAAGTATGAGATATTCACTACAAAGTGATATACAGTAGGATAAGATACAAAACAACATCATAAAATAAGATAAAAGTTACAATAAGATACAATATGATTCTGTACAGTCTGATAGGGAATTATAGTATTAGATACAGTACAACACAATACAATTTGATACAATACAATACAATTTGGTACAATGTGACTAAGTTTGATACAGTTTTATATTGGGATAGACTGATTAATCTGTTGGCCAGTCAATATGGCCGGTTATTGGCATTTTGACATAATCCGTATATGATGAGACGTCTTATCAATAATCGTCATCTTTTCTAAATGATACAACACCCTTCTCATCCTGACCTGCTCTCTGATAATCAGTAGTGGTATTGGCCTCTGAAAACTCTTACTGGTCAAACTCCAGTATAACATATTACGATGTCATAAGAAATGGTGCATTAAGTGACAACAATATGAACAGTAATTTGCAGATTTGCAGTGGCTTTTCCAGGGAATACTCTGTAACTCACAGAAAGTACTTATTTCTCACATATAAGATGACTAACATGTAAAGTAAAGGCTGTATTTCTTATATCCTAATTCCTAACTTCCCCTTGCTCCCCTTGGATTACAAAGTAAAATAGTACAATTTTGGACAAAAGGATGCTTCACCTTCATAATCTTTGCTCTGTCAGATCACATCATCCTGTCAGGATCATCACAATAAGTAAAAACATGGAGCGTGTAGGGGAGAAAGGGCAAACATCACAATCCTCCACTGACGTTTTAGTTGTTCCTCTCTCCTGTCCATCATATTGATTGGTCCTGCTGTTTATCCATCACTGCACTCATGGGCTTTTATCCCAGTCAATCAGAATTTCACATTTCAGTAAGAAAACACTATGAGATGTGAAACATCACGTCCCTGTTGGTTTTCTCAGCTATGGAGATTTTTTTATCATCCATTCAGAGAGGAAAATGTTTGCTTCCCAGAGCATTAAATTAAAAATAGATACCATGAGGAAACATTATTGTTGAGCTTCCTAAAATGCTGCTTTGAGACGTCCACAATCACCGGCTCGTTTTATGTGATGAACAATAACTGTCACTCTAGCTGCATTGAGTGTAGATTAAAAAACTCCATTAGGAAAAAAAGCTTAAATTAGATTTTATTCCTTGTTTACAAACCAGGCGCTGAGGCTATAATATTTCACAGATATACAGCCTGAGTGCAGCAGCTTCTCACTTTCATATATCACCGCACCTGATAAGAGCAGCAACAAGGAACACTTCCCATCATCCTCTGGGGCTCCTTCTCTCTGTCACCGCTCTCTTTTGTCATCCTCTTACTCAATCTTTTTGAGTTACTTTGACTTTAAAATCTGGAGGCTGGTCATAGAGGCTGTTGAACAGTATCTCTTTGGAAGTATCACATCACGAGAGCTGCATTTGATAAGAGCACCGCAGTGATTTCTAAGAGTGGATATGTGTATTTCTGAATGTGGGACTTATATCTACCTGTTTTGTTCTGCAAAGGATGGGTTTGAAAAGTTTTAGGATTGCAAATGTTTACCAGGAGGAAAGTCTGCAGTGAAATGGCAAACGCGTCTGATCTTAGCACATTCAAAGTTTTGCTTTTGCCAGTGCCAGGTTCAGGTTATTGGTATTGAAGTTTGACGATATAACAAACAAGATTTCTAACCAAAAAAAGGCATTTCTACTCAGGGTTGAGTAAACTTTTACTTTTTGATCCATGAAGAAAACAATGATCAAGAGCTGAAAGTCAAACTTTTACTGTTGAAAAAAAGATGAAATGAAACTAAAACAAGTGTTTCACAAATTCTTGCAGCCTCCATTAAATTGTTGAATATATCTCAGTTACATCATGCATTTAATTTATTTAATAGCTGATCATTGGATCACAGACTATGTTGTTAAATGGCGTCAAATTGGTTTGCCAAGATTGACTAACATTAGCAGAGCAAGCACCGCCAGTCCTCCCTGCAGGTTCAAATTGAAGGGATATTCTGGTTTAAAATTAATTTAGGGTCAAACACACCATAACACCGAGACACCATAACACATCATTTCTTCATGGAAATGCAATCAGACCGGGACGCCAAGGCAGAAGAATTACAGTGTCTGCAGTGCAAAATAATTAATATGGTAAGGTCTCATTACAAACAGGCGGCTGCTGGAAGAGAGTAGGTGAGTTGTGTTTAGTCCCTTTGCTTAAGAAATTAGGCAAAGTAAAAAAGATGTTTGGTGGCTAGTGCAGTGGCTGGGACCCTAAATGTACTGTTGATGAAGTAAGGTGCTGTTCTGAACATTATTTGTGGCTATAGAGTGGAGTTTTTTTGTTGAGGTTTGTTTATGGCTCCTCAGACTGCTGTGTATTGCTATCGTGCGGTCGTTACTAAAGTTGGTATAACAAGAGAGGCAAGTGATTGGCAACATTAGTCTCTCAAGGGGATTTCTAACTTGGTGTGTTTGACCCTAAATGAATTAATACTGAAAAACTCCACCGGCCACCTGTAATCTGTGCTTGTTTACATCATAGTAGTAGAGCGTTGTGGGATTATGTATGCCAGTGGGAAAACTAGCCAGCCAACCATCACAGAAAATTTTTGGCTCTATATACATTTGGAAGAATAAAGAAGAAAAAAAAACTCTTATTGTTTGCTTGTTAGGAACTTGAAGCTTCAGTGAGAAACATGAGTGTTGTGCTGATTTTGATGCCCCAATTAACAAAGCAGATTTAGTCCTGCACAAAAAAGAAAAATCTCATCCTGCCTTCTCTCCTGTTAAGCTGATTGCAGTTAAAGGCCTCGGCTGCTTCCTACCCCCTATCAGCTATTTCAGACACTAGAAATAACTATAAAGAAATAGTTATTCTCCTATTTGACCTGTAAGACTTTGTCTTTTTTTTCCTTTCAGAGAGACATAGAGACACATCAGTATTAATTCTAAATATTTGTACCAATTACTCACTTGATAATAAAGTTAAGGCTGCCAGCTACAATCTTTGGAGCTTTTTTAAAAACCTCTTTTGGACACAAGTTATTCAGATGCAGTGATGTATAAAAATGAGGCCCAGGTTTATAACAGCTGGAATTCCCTGTTAATATTTAATACAAAAGGTGATGCAGAGTATAATGCCAGGTATCAAGTCTATGCAGTGTTGAGCTGAGACTGGTAATATGGAGGTGATATATGAAGGTAACACACGGGCTCCCCTGTATTGTGTACAATAAGAAGTCTGGCAGAAATGCAATCAAAAGGTTGAATTGATTTTCAGCTCTGAGAGAAAAGCCGCCAGAGGCGAATGAGAGTTAAGCTGTGAATAGGTATCGAAATGTTTCTGGATTGAGCACAAAGTTGGGCTCTGGAGGGGCAGGAAAGGTGTTCCTTTTTTCGTTCACAAAAGGTTTAAATAAAGGTCAGTGTGGTGGAAATGAGTGCCGGAGTCAGTGGAGGATTAAGAGGACACATCTCAGCCGTGATGTTTATTATCTGTGTCCAAGTGTTTCTGATTGAACGCGACACAACCTTTTACAAGTCTTATTGAGCAAACCTCATCTTTGGACAGTGACTCATTCAATTCATGTCACTGTAACTGAATTACATTTAATGTCAGTCTGATGCAGTCTGTGGTGATTTCATAATCATCAAAGGTGACTGTGCAACACTTCAGGGATGTTTTTTTAGACTCAGCTTCTTCTTCTTCTGTCACACTGCACGAGTGTACTGAGATAACTAACATTTTCTTTGGTGACCAGAAGTGTTGCTGAAAAAAAAAGTAAGACACTGCCACTCTGTGATGATTCAGATAAAAAGGTTTTAGTTTCCTCTTCTGCTAAGTGTTCCTGCAGTTACATGTATGTTAATAGATTCATTAAATATTATGTACTTTTTTTATCCTCTATAAATCCTTTACACTCCAGGGGGAGGGCGGTGATGGTTCTCAGAGGACTGGTGCTTGTTGGAATGATTTTATGTTTTTTTTTCTTACCCAAATAGTTCAATTCTGGAAATCACACGATAAAAATTCTAGTTTATATAAAATACATTTGTATTTTTCAATCAAAGATCAAAACATTGCAACAAGTGGCCATTTAAATAAAAGCCAAAATGGTAAGAAGAGACAGCTCCCCGCTGCGCGTTGAGCTGTATGATTTGGATCCCTGAAAAGAGCCAGAATTCCCATCACTAATCTCAATAATTTTCCCTCTTTTGTCAAACGTACACCTGTAGAGGCAAAACCTGCTAAATATTAAGTTTATCAACCTGAAATGCAACATCCAGTCCTTTTAAAAGTAGCATTTTGTTGCGTATCGCTGTCTCTCAAGTACAACCCAAATTTCCGAAAAAGTTGCGGCAATGCTATTTGTAACTAGGGTTGTATCTTTGGTTCTAACCAGACTATATAAAACCCAAACCTGATCTCTATGAAGTAATTTGTCACCATATTAGAAATTTGACACATCCTAACTTTTGGTCAAACTTGAAAGGGTTAAGAGTCTCCTGGCTCCTTCTCTGTAGCAGAAATAACTTCACAGAAACTTTGAATCTAGATGGTTTTGTTTGCTTTTATAGCTCATAGAAATGTATCATTATTGACTTAAATCTTCCCTGCAACCATCTTAAAGCTTCTAAGACGAGCTTTAAATTTTAATATTTTTTAAAAAGATAAAAGATTTAACATGCGAAAAGAAAGAAATGCATATCAAAAAACCATCTTCTTTTTCCACAACAGAAGCTGTGATGGATGATCGTTCAACTGACTTTTTCACTGGGTCAAGATGAGGTCAAATTACTTTGCTTCTTTTACCATTACGGCTTTCATCAGCTCAGAGCCGCCATAAGATGGTTCACCTGAAAACATCAATACAACATGATGGCTTTAAGATGCCTGCAGTTGGTCATGTTCAGCTAAACTTCTTTCCGTGATCCAGAGGAGCAAATAAACCCCCTTCTAGTCTGATGTCCATATCACATCTGCTCCCTGGAGGATCAATTATCTTTTCAATCTCTGACAGAACTGGTGAAGCAGTTCGCTGCAGCAAAGTTACCTGATAAAACTGAGTACATGGGTTTATTTTTAAGAGCAGACAGCAGCAGGAGTGACAGTGTCTGCTGGAGTGCTGTGGGTGTGATTAGACGATGATCCTTCATTAAGAGGTTCATTGGTATCAGTGCAGCTCCGACTCCTCCAACTACAGTCTTTACAAAGAGATCAGTGATGTATGAAATCACTCTGCTGCTAGCATGAAGAGAAAGACGTCCCTGAGAGACTTGGAGAAACTGCAGAACAGCTCATCTATTTTCTTATCGGATCAAGAAATTCAAGGTCTTGTGCATCCAGTAATAATTACACATGAATAGTTTTTTTGGCCATTACAGTACAGTACAATGTCACGCTCCTTTAGAAAACTCACCTTATCCCACTGTCTCTCTCTGTCCAGAGTGATGATTATCATGGCTGGGTTCACCAGGTAACCATTGCTGTTGAAGGAGAAGTCGTTGTGTTCCCAGGTGACATTCAACATGTGCCTGAAGAGAAAAAAAGACAAAGAGTAAAAATGACTTCAGCTCACAAAGGCATCATGTTATTTCAACACTCCTTAAAACACACTCATTCAGCATGTTTGTCTGTGAATTTAAAGCGTTTAAAGTATTTTAAGGTCTGTTTTTTGTCTTTCACATTGAGGATTTGCCTCAGTGTGGTTTGGGAAAAAATAACCTGGTAAAGTTTAAGTAGTTTTTGCAGTGTTGGCTAAAATCATTGGCTCTAATATATGGATGGACGACCTTAACCTATCTCCTCCTTGGTCCAAATTTGAAGCCAAAATACCCAACCCTACAAATTCCTTTGTAGATTTGATATATTTATATAAAAACTACAAGTAATTTGTAGACAGAAATTTAAAGTGTTTTTCAGCATCATTGTTTTATTGGTTAAAATTCATTGGAAAAAAAAAACTATTATGTCAAAAACATATATACAGTAATGTTTTAAGTGAATCGGAGGCAGCTGGCCTAAACCTTTGGTTACAATAACATTTATTTTTAAAAGTGTGTAATCTGATTGTCTTGTTCTTAACATGCATCTTGTATTTTTACCAGTCTCTGAAAATTTTAAGGCTCTAGAAAAGCTTTTTTTTTTTTTTGCAAACTTAGCACAAAACAAATCTCGTATTTTCCATATTTTCCTGTTGTGTCATATAATAATCACAGCAAACTGAAAAGGCACCTCTTTGTAACAGAAACAGAGACAGAAATAGATCTTTTACAGGAATTGAAGCTTGAGGAACCAAATTAAAATCCTGAGATACTGAAAGAGTTGCAACCCCCCCGCTTGCGATGTTGACACGTAGTTATTGTAAGACTGGTTTGTGCTCAAGTCCTCTTTTTTCTGTACAGCTCCATTTTCAAAAGTTATTAGGGGGTTCATGTTTTCTATGATTGGCACTTGATATAGCCTATGGACGTACAAGATTGCATAGCTCACCCGGGGGATACACTGTTTTGAGCCGAGCGTCATAACAGTGACTCTCGGCGACTCTCCCGCCAAATGCGTACAATGCTACTGCACAATGTTGGTTTCAGGAAGTGGAGGAAAAACACAGAATTACCGAGAGCTTTTTGGCTTCAAATCCGTATACTGGCAGTAGGCAGAACCAAGTTGTCCATAGTATATACAGTCTATAGTTACACTCCTATAGCTTTAAATTTCTGACCCCTTTTGTGGGAAAGCACTGCATGTTTTTGACCAGGTCACCAAGCCTTTTTTTGAACTGAGCGTATACTGTCACAAACGCCTTGAACAGAAAGAGCAGCTGCGTCCATCAGTTTCCAAAGAAATGACACAATAGGGACAGAGAACAGTTCTCCGCCTCCTTTGATTTCAGCGTTTCATCCCTCACATCCTGTTTTATTAAACCTGTGGAGCTGCTCTCTCACCTCGCCTGTCATACCGACCGAGGTGATGAAAGCCTGCTGGGAGGAGAATAGCCTTCAGCTCCGTCTGTGTGAAAAGCCTATTTAATCTGGTAATCTGCAATAATCCCATTAACAGGTGAGCTGACTCATTATCAAAGCTTGTTTCAAAAGATCTCCAATCAAGAGCGGCCGAGTCTGAGAACGGAAGGGGATGTTAATGTTTGAAGTGAAGAAAGAGAGGAGATAGCCGACTATAAAGTTAATGGAAGTGCTCTGTTCTATCAGGCTGACCTTCATTGTGCTGAAAAAAGAGCGGCTTCTGCTTAAATCATGCCTGCTGGGTTTAAAAAGTCTAAAAGGAGGAGGTTTTACTGTATCAAAGGCAGAGATAATGTCTCAAGTCCTTCCTTTTTCATGAAACATTTTGGGCTCACAGAAAGGAAAAGTTGTCCCTCCCACAGCTTTGGAGGGTGCAAAAGAAGAATCGCTTGTCAAGAAAAATATCTGATAATGCTTTGTCCATAGATTGGTGACATGGCAGCTTCTCAAAAGAGAAGCAAAAACATTTGAAGCTCATCCTGACTGGCTGCAGCATACTGGTGCATTCTATTCAGTCCTACAAGATTCAAGCTACAATGGCTTTGGAGCGTAGCTGATCACTGGCAACAGATTACTCACTCCAGAACTCCCACCAAGCCTGCAGTGTGCCTACCACCAGATCTTTGGCTGGGGGAAAGGGGTAGATGGGGGGGAATCTGCAGCAGAATAAGGGAACCTCCCTTTAGACCACTTCTTCCCTAAACGGTCAAATGTAGGTTCTCTCTGCAACAAAATGGACTTCTTACATGCCCAGTGGCCATCCGACAAAGGCCTTCAAAAATACCTGAATCATCACCCTGCCCAAGCCATGATGGTGAGGTCAGCCGCAGACCCCAGGGCCAGTCTGGACAGCTTCACAGAAGTGGTCAATCAGCATTACCCCCAATTTCCACCGCCGATTGAAGCTGATCGTAACCATCCAAGTTAATGTGTCAATTTCCATCGGGTTCTTTCGGTTTCGCTGCAGATCGCCGGACTGCGCAGCTGATCGCAGGAGTTCTATTTTTTCCGAATGCTGGAGCATGCCGGATAAATTCAGCTCAGATTAAATTGTGCTGGAAAGGAAGTTGGCATAGACACAAAATAAAGCATCCAGCTTCTTTTCAAAATAAAACACTACGTGTTTCAGGCGGATCGTATTTCACACTATGCAAACAGGCGGGGACAAACAAGTGGAAGGTTTTTAGACAGCATTTCACCCGATGACACCATGGATGAGGAGATGCTGATTCTAAAAGTCTAGAAGTGGATTTCCTCCTCTAAGGACACAATCGACTGCTTATATGGTTATGTGGCTGTCTTTTAAATGACGATTCGTTATTGCGCGATTGCACGTGAATCTGCAGGTTCTTGTGAGTTCTCGCGCCACGAATCCGCCATGAAATTCACCTCACAAACGGATCTGGTAGGAATTGGCAGACAGCGAAAATCACCACTGTTCCGTATCAGAGCTGTTCTGGATGCGGTGGAAATTCGGAGTTAGTCTTTACATCAATGTCAAGTAGTGTACTGATATCAAAATCCTTGTCAACTGGCCCCCACTGCAACCCTCTCGAAGTCCCAATGTGCTTGCAGAAGCAGCGCAACAGTATCCCCACAGTGATAACTTGGGCAAAGCTGTTGGTGCACAAGTGTGAGTGTCTGCTTTAAACCAACTCAAGAACCTCTTCTGGTGCTGAGGGACATTTTACCTGTGAGTGAAATTTGTGACTTGTTCAGGCAGAACAATGTCTCATGGCTTGTTGTAAAGGGTATTCTGGATTCTAGCTTGATCACTTGCATGAAATAAAAAAATGTGGTCAGTTTCTTTCATACACTGCCAGCTCTTTATCCTGTTTTCACTCTGTCCTCTATTACACATTCCCATATCTGCTCACAACACTTCCAGTCTCCCTTAGTGACCTTCCTTCATGTGGGCCATAACCTAAATCTGGAGCACTTTCATTCTGGCTTTTCTCTTTGCTGTTTGAAAAGAAAAAAATGATTTGCTCACATGCCATGTGACACTGATTGCTCTTTTGGGCATGCTCTGAATCAGAGGAGTCCCACCCTCACACTCGTTTACTGACAGTCTGCAGGAGATTAAGTGCAGAGCAGAGTGGGAGATCGATGGCAGCTAGCAGAGGACACAGTTTTTGCCATAAAATGCTTTTCAAAACACCCAACAGATGGGAAGTCATGAATAAATAAATGACCGTTAACCTCTTTTGGACAGAAAGTGAAACCTTTACTGTTATCGGTGGGATTTATCAGTCATTAGAGACAACAGTTGTTCCTGTTTTGATACCTGCCTTTTCAAAACATGAGCAGGCTTTGCAGAAGAATACATCTTTACTGAAACAATAAAAAGACTTTTCCCCTGCAGAAAAAGCAATAACATCGGTTACTCAATACTTGGAACAATCTGTTATGACTGTTCCTGACACCTTAATGTCGAACATTTTTGTGCAACTCCAGTCATAACTATCTCCACAAAGCAAAGGTTGACGTATGCTGCAATTGAACTTTGCTAGATGAAGGTTGGAAAGCAAAGTTGGGAATACAGAGTGTCAGCCTTTATATCAAGAAGCTCCTGTTAGTCGTGAAAAGGACACCACAAGCGATGAGCACATTAGCCACGTTGACATGTGCAAAATTTCTTGATCTGATTGAAATTTGAGGGATCGTAAAATCTGAATATACTGTTTATATGGACGCAAAATCAAATAATGCAATCATGACGTGAGTGTACATGAACCAAGCTTTATTTGGATTAGAAACATTTGGACATGCGCAGAGTTGTCTGATTTCGCTAAAACAGCTGCAGAAGAAGAGTTGTATCTACGCCTGTGCTGTCAACGAATCAACAAACGCGGTAGTGGCTCACTTCATTCGATTCAGGATTTTTCCCTCTACTCAGAATGGACCTGAGCCAGGTTCTGAGAGTGGTTGTATTGCTAGCATACATGATCAAGCGGGCCCAGCAGCACATACTGATCCTGTCTTACAAGAGGAGAATGTATCCAGCAAGGAAGTTGTATTAGACACAAACCAGTTGCTCTTGGCTACTGCCCTTTTTAGGTCTTGTCACTAACAGCAGAAATGCGCCACGTTAAGTCAGGTTAGTTTTGCCCCAACAGACTCCAGTCGGAATAAGTGTTTACATGGATGTGTTTCGGAATAACAATCGGCAGAAACCACCCCTCTTGATCAGAATACAATTTCTTTCCAATTGAGCCGAATTGGATCAGAATCTTCCAGTCAACATGTTTACATAACATATTTTTACTCCTTTGTCCTTTGAGCAGACATACTCTGATTTGGTCCATTTGTGCCAAACGATTACATATAGCTATATTCTTGTATATGTAAGAGGACTTGGTCGTTTATAGAACAAAAACTGTAATATGTGTCATTCCTATAGTGTTCGTCCTTTTGTTGGATTCGGCTCATCTTGCTAAGCTGTAGTCAGGGTGAGTTTTTTTTAATTCTCTGGAGTCTTAATTCAAGCTACACATTATCCTCTGTATGTACTTAAACAAAACTAATGAGACACCATTATCTATACATAAGAAAGACTTACAGGGTCCTTCTTCAGTTTTTTTTCCCCTACCATCTGCATCATTAGCATTAAGCCTCTGCAGCTTTTTCCCCATGGGGTGAGCCATCGCCCTGTAACTCACTCTTGTTATAAGCAGTCTCCTTGTCTTTTTAGGTCCCTAAAGGCCATTTTTCTAAATGTGAGCACAGTCCTTGACTAGAGAATAACTCAGTAGCTGTTTTATGCCTCTGCTTGTGCTTTTGCATGTTAAATAGGAACGAGCTCATTTGCTGAAAAAGCATTTACAAAGACAAGATGAGCAAAATCAACAACATTATATTTTAACTTGGTGTTTGCTAGAAAAGCAGCCCTGAAGGGCATGATGCTCACTGCTTATAACACTAAATATTACTATAGGCTGTTATGATTGTTTAGGCTTTATCAATGTGCTTAAGTTGCATCATAAGGTGGGTTTATATTAAGTCTTACTGTTACTTCTTCAATAAAATAATTGTCCAGGACATGACTCCAGAATAAAAGCATCATGTGAAAACAAGCATGGCGTTACAAGGCCATTATTCTGTTTATTAACTTGCAGTAGAAATGTAAGCAAGATTGAGGTTATAGCTGTTGATAGTTTTATTTAAGAAGAAAGCCCAGGTCTGTGAGGGTATAAAACCTTAAACGTCTCTTACCTGAACAGAGTGTCGTTGGAGTTGGTGGGTTTGACGGGGTTGTGACAGTCACTGTGGCCCTCAGGAACAAAACCTCTCTGTTTCCTGAAACTCTGCACACCTTTCACCACGATGGCCACCCCATCCCTCACCCTCTTCCTCAGACTCATCCTCCAGCGGTCTGTGATGATGCTGATCAGCCCCACAGGGAAGCTGTCAGGCGGAGGGATGTCAGGGTTCCCCACTGCCAAACTGGGGATAATCCAGATGTAACCCGGCCCTACTAATCCGGCTTCAGTCGCCATGCTGAAGAGGTACTGAGCCTCTTCGTGGGAGCAGTAGACTAAGAGCACCTGGGCGTCGATCTGCTGCAGTAGCCTCCGCGCTCTGATGTCGTTCATGCCGTCAGCAGACATGTCAAAGGTCAGGATGTCCTGCAGCTCCCACATGAAGTAGCTAGTGTCTGTAAAGGATTTAATGTAATCCACGTAGGTTTCGTAGCCCGGGTAGAGGCTGGTTATGACTACAAAGCTGTCCCAGTTGTACTCCTCCATCACCTTGAACATGCCGTTGATCTGCTGCTCGATGGAGGAGCCCAGCTGGAGGAAGTTGGAGCCTTCACCCTGCAGGAACAGAGACATATTACCATAAACACCTCTGTGAACTAATAACTCATTACATGTAATTTTCTGTGGTTAATAAGCTTGAGTTCAGTTCATTCAAAGTGCAGAACGAACTCTTGGGGACCCTCTTTTTACCTCTGAGGGTTGGAACACACATGCACAGAAACACACACAACTAAAACACAGACGACTTCCTCACAGGGAGGTGAACTGCCCTGCAGGAGGCTCAGTGGTGCAGCTCTGACAGAAGCTAAGTGCTCCTGCTTTCTTGGTTCCTCGGGGGCCTCACACTCATTCATCACTTAAACTCGCATGTCTCACTTCTGCCGTGCAAACACTGGCCGTCATCCATGCTTGCAAATTCAGAGGGATTGCACTATCAGTGTGGCCAGCGCCCGCTCTGTTTTTCATCTCTCTTTTCTGCAAATAAGACGACCTTGAGAGAGGAATGGGGATGCTTTCCTGTTTTATTGTTTTATTAAAAAAAAAAAAAAAAATGGAGAGCAGGTTGAAAAGGCTTTGTAACTGCTTGTCATGTGTTGTTCTTCCCCCTTGAAATCATCATTACAGCAGTGTTGTAAAGTCTACATTTAAAAAGTTTAAGGTTGTGTTTAAACAAGTACTTTTTAATATTTGTCAAAATATTTGTCAGTGCTGAGTTATCCCGGTGAGTTCACATCCCTGTTGTATCAAAAACAATGATGAAACTCAAACATGAAGTAGCTTATGACAATCCTGGCGTAATCCTCATACTTGTTTTCCAGCTTCTCTGAGCAGCCCACTTTACAAGATTTGCAAGCCCTGACCTGGATATGACGTCAGGTTGTTCCATCCTTTTAGAACAATATTAAAGCCCACTTGGCAACTCTAATCCCCCCTGCATTCAAGGTCCATTTCTCTTACTATAACTAACCATATGGACTCCAACTAACTATTTCTTGCAACTAGACCAGTTTTTTTATTATTATTTTTTACCCTAACATGTTTCCACTATAAATTTCTTGCAGTCTTTGAGAGTCACTTGATGTTGTTGTAATGTTGCTGGTCCGGTTTAGTTCCCAGAAATTAAAGATGTCCCGATCTGATATTGATACCGGATATAAGTCTGATATCAGAAAAAAAATGAATACCAGATTATATCAACCTGCATCTTGAATCTTCAATATCATCACCCCAATACAAGTAGTCCATTCCAGACTTCGCTCTAGCCCCTCTGTCTATCAGCACCCGGGTCCAGCATGCAGAGCCCATGTGATTGTGTGTGTACTAAGGTACTAACAAAGTAACAAGAAGTAGGAGTGATGTCAGCCATGTGGCAGTATTTTTCGTTAAAGTCCAAAAAGACATTGCAGGTTGGTGCAAAACTTGTAATGCACAAGTTTGTGCTAACATCAGATCAATATTGGTATCGGCCAATACTGAAGGCTACAATATCGGTATCATATCAGAAGTAAAAACTTTGTATTGGGACACCACTACTAGAAATGTGTCAGCATCAATAAAGAGTTGAACCAAGTGACTCTCTTTTGGATTATATAAATAGAGGGTTAGGGTTAGGGTTAGGTCTAAAATTGAATGTTTTCTAGATGTCTAAATTTAGACCAAGTTTGGACTAGCTGGCTATATCTATACTACACTGTATATTGCTCAATGGCTATCATAATTATTTTGGTTAAGTACTTGGAGATCAGTTCTGTAACTCCCAGTTGCTTTTTTAAATAAATAGTTATCGAATATTGGGTTAAAGTGCAACGTCTCAATACGGTCTAAAAATATACAGAATCTAAACAGTTAAAACTAGATCTAAAAAAGAAAACTAGACGTCTAATAGCCGTCTGTTGCTCAGTGGGTACTGTGCATTTGTAGTCTTTTAGTAGGTTTACTCCATGAGAAACCCATAAGTCTTTATCAGCATTAATCACCAGTAGCTAAAAGCTGAAATACAAACAGCCACTAAAAGCCTTTTTGGGAGCCGTCTGAGCCCTCGCCTTATCTCCTTGCTCTCTCTGCTGTTATTATAACAGCGTATCATAATTAAAGTGACAGTGATGGATTGATGCTCCTCTATCTTTACAGCCATTAGTTTCATCAGAGATTATTTATTCTCCAGCACAGTCCAATTACTCCTCTTTGTCTTCACTGTGCCATGTCTCTCTGCTGAACAAACATCATCATTAAACCGTGAATCATTCGTAGAGCTCAGCATCATTGTGAGGTAATTAGACTGTGATGTGCAAATAAGGTTTATTGTTCTTTGATCGCTTTAACCATAAAAATTACTTATCTTTGACTGACTTTTAAAATTCTGCTCTTCTTCTGATTCGGTTTGAGGTTCATGTTTAGACTTCGGCAGTGTGGAAGCTCTTTCCCACCGTCAGGCTATGTAGGTGGCCCCCCTCCTCACTCTTCCTCCCTCCTTGGAAGAAAGCTCCTCCATCCTGATCCTGATCTGTGGGCCCTCAGAGCGGAGGATTTGAGGGGGTCAGGTACCCTGAGACAGCTAACATGCCTGTGATGTGATTCAGCCTGTCTCTCTGCTGTCCTTGGGAGAAGTTCAGTGCTCTTGTGATGTATGAGCTTCTTACAGTTTCAGACGTCATGGCTAAATCCTCTGACTTTGTGCCTTTGACTGTAACCGAGCTCACGCCCCTGAAAACATTTCCTTTTTTTTCCTGTTGGCTTGTTTCACTCGTCACTGCTCTTGTTCTCTCAGGCTTCTCTTTCATGCTTACAACAGTGAGGCTGCTGATGTATTTGATTTCAACACAGATTTGGCTTTACCATTCATTTATTAAAACCCCAAGAAACCTGCCATTTAAAAGAAACCTCAGTGTTTTCTTTTCTTCTTTTTTTAATGTACGACTATTTTAAACTGCTCTTTATCCCAATGAGCCGTACAACTTCAGCGATGGGGTTGTGCAGCCAAAATAATCATGTTTATTAACCCGTTTTTCTTTAATTTTAACAAATCTACACCTAACATTCGATTTTGAAACATGAACTAAATGCTCCATGTAATTTCAGGAGTTATTTTAACTCTGCACACCCAATAAGTTCAGGATTATGCTTGCTATAAAGGAAAAAGTGCACATACATTTCATGGCACTTAGAAATTGTTATCAAATTGCTCAAAGTGTATTTTCTGGGGCTGCTCGACGATTAATATTTTCAATATCTGAATTTCAAATTTCATAATTTTGCATTTAACAACCGTTTTTACTTAAATCTGAACAATAAACACACGCCAACTTCAGAACAGCCCTTAGATCTTAATCTTCCATAACAGTGACTGGTCTGCTGTCAGCTGCCTCCAGTTTAACTCATTCTGTAGTTAACCTCTTCAGTTTAGTTTCATCCGAAGATCTGTGGCTATTCACAAACTCATATATGACTCCCTGTCATCTTTTCTGATGTGGTTATGAGTCTGATTTCTTGGTCTTTCGGTGATATTTTTAATTTCCTTTGACACAATTGGCGTATTACTTCAAAATCCCATGAAAAGTTGTGTAATGTAAGCCCAGAATTTCTCATTGTGATGTAATGTCAAGTCTCTGAATGAAATGCAATTTTACACTCAGACAAATTTCCAAGGTTGAAATATAATCATGGGAGTTAAGCTGAAGTCAGGGCACGATCCCCTGATTGTGGTCGTTTGGTCAAAGATGGTCTTAAAGCTCAATCAGGACTGATGAAAGGCAGCCTATTCCAGGTAAATATGATAGGAGAAAATTAAACATGTTTAAAGTAATTGTAGGTCTTAAAGTTTGCCAATTTGTTTAATTATTGATGTGGCTTTTTCCATTAACCAGTAGTGCCCTTGCCAGCCTCCTACAAGGAGCAATTCAAAACATGATGGGCTGGCAAACAAAGCCGATCAATACAGTAGATAAACCATTAGCGGGAACTCTTTATCTTTTTTCTCCTCTTTCATGGTACAAACTGGAGGACATGTCAAATCCACAGACATCTTCAACTCCACCAGTTTTTCATGCTCTTCTGTTTTTACCAACATTGTGGATTAAAAAAAAAAACAACAACAAAATGAACTCATCACTGAATTTCTGATTCATTAAATTTAACTCAGAAGCTCAAATCATTAATTTAGTCTTTTCAACAGAATAATATGCTACTCACATACATGTCATGCAGTTATCTGCATCTTTTATGAGAAATCACTCTGGACTCAGTGTACAGGACCAGCTGTGGACTGAGATGGATTAGACTGCAGTGGAGTCCGGGCGGCTGCCTGCATCCATCCATACTGTGTGCAGGGATTTATGCAGGTTAGTCACGGAGAAGCCTGTGAAGATCGTATAAATCTACTCATTTTCTCCTTCCCCTCACTGTCCCACAGCTAATCTGTCAGAGTTATTGCCCTTATTTCTGCTCTTGCTGCTGCCTCCCTGCATCTGCAACAACCCTCAATCGCTTCATTCCCCAGCAGGTGCCAAGGTGTCAGTGTGTTTGCGCAGGTGTGTGTGTGTGTGTGTGCGTTTGTGTTTTTGTATGCCTTAAACATGGGAACTAGCCGGAGGGCATAGTCGGAGTAAAGCCTCCTGCAAACTCCAATCTCAGCAGCTCAATTAGCAGTGAGCGGGCTGATGCACGGTCCAAATGAGCCTTGGGCATTACTAAAGGCTCAGCTGCAGCTCAAAGGCTGGAGTCAGTGTGTGGAGCATGTACAGTCGGAGCAGAGGCATATGTTTACAGGGGTGAAATCAAGACTGCAATTATATTCAGTTACACAGACTGTAAAATGAATTTTGCACAAGTAGTGGTGTGCTTTGTAGGAGCCAAAATCAGAAAGCCTTTAAATGCAAAAACACTAATACCTCCAAATGACCTCTAAGTGGGTGCCATCATAACCTACCCCTGCACGTCCAAAGTCCGTCACTGACAATATAAACTTTAAGTATATAAAGTCCACAAACTTAAGGCCCTGACTGACAAACTTAAAGCTCAGTGCTACTATTCTTTTGTTTTGTTTACATGCATTAGACTTAAAATTTTTAACTTGGGAGGGTCTTGATATTGTGTTACAGAAAGTAGCCCCTTGTTGCTGTTAGCACCGCAAACTTTTCTAGATAATAACAACACAATGTGTGAAAGTTTACATGTTAAAGGAACTTAATTACCATCCATGGATAGAACTTGCACAATACAATCAGTGAAATTACACAAATCAAGACTTAGTCGCAGGTAAACACTACTTAAAATCCAGCTGTTTTGGGTTTAGATGTCCATAGTATATACAGTCTGTGGGAATCACTTACCAGAACCTAATTCAGTAGCATTAAATGTGTCTGTGCTGATGAATGATGACAAGCTTGCTTCCACGTTTTTTCCCACAATTGAAAAACACAAAAGTGTTACGTAATAAAGAATTCACCCAAAGCAAAATCAATCCTTGGGAAAGGTTTATTTTTGTACCTTCAGTGCAAAAATAGTGTAATCTGAGGCATCCCTTCACACACAAATACACACACACACACACACACACACACACACACACACACACACACACACACACACACACACACACACACACACACACACACACACACACACAAAGAGAAATCCTCTAAATCCAAATGACGTAGATGCAGAACAGCCCGGATAAAAAAGAGATTGGAGAAATCTCTGCTGCTTGAAAAATCTCCATCATCTGACAATACAAGATGATCATATTTCTGAATACTATAAATAATACATGTTAGATGATAACCTTTGGTGTTTGAAAAGGGGACCTTTACTCTATCAGGCGGTAAAGCTGTAGATGCACAGTGTTGACCACAGGAATAGTGGACAGTCCCAAAGAAGATTACAACCATTGAGTGAAAAGCTTAGCTACCCAGGGCTGAGATTACATTTACAGGTTGAACCATACAGAGCCCACGCTGCCTTATGAGCACTGATACAGAGGTGCTGCAATGGTCCACTCTGCCAAGTTTAGCTTTTTAAACCTTGAACACTTCTTACATATGTTGGAAACAGTCAACCCTCTCAAATTCCAGTGGACTGACTGACTTTGAAGAGGATGATCAGATTTGAGATGCTCTGAAACTGGTCTGATTTAGATGAGAGTGTAAAGCAGTGATAATCTCTTAAGCACAGCTGTTTATATTAGTGCCGCAGCTATGACACTGAAACCAACACTTTTTTTTGATTCACAGGACAAACACACAAGCAGCCATCTTGCCTGCATTAAAAACGCCTCACTGCATACCTGGAGGTTATCTCAATGACTCGGGACAGTGACTATTCATAGATTTGGGAAACATCCAAAAAGTGATGGAAACTAGGAATGAAGTCACAGTAACATTATGTTTTGTTGTAAATGTGTCATGACAGTGGGGGGAAATTAGCTGTTAAGACACGGAGCTCAGAGTTGTGTACGGTGGCATCAGTCACACGACTGAACTGCAGCCTCTCTGCTGTTTTTTATGAAGAGTGACTTCTGGCCACGGCTCTTTGCTGCGACATATGTCTGCCTCCACCACGCAGCAGGAAATGCCCTGGCACTACCTTCCTGTACTGCTGACGTCACACAGATCCTGCACAGCAACCGAGAACACACTCATAGCTCCCTGGATATTTTCCATTTAAAAGGAAAAATATTACACTATAGGCACAGTGTGAGGTAAGACTGGAGCAACATGTAAATAGGCCAAACCAAAGAAATTTAGGAGAAAATTTAGGAGAAAAGGACAATAAAAAGAAAACATAAACAGAACCTAAGTTGAATTCCAAATTTCATGTTTTTGCAACGGCTGTCAGTGCAATCAAGATAGTGTCCTATTTTGTCCCTTTCGGTGCACCATAGTTAAACTGTTGCAGTGTCTTCCCACAAGAATTTGTAACAGTGGCCAAGGGTGTACCACAAGGGTCCATTTTAGGTCCAGTTTCCTTTTTTTTAATTAATTAATCCCCCTCTAACATAACAAATTTCCATGCACACTTCTATGCAGATGACACAACTTTGTATTGTACTGCTTAACAATACTTTTATGATATTCTCAAGGGCAAAGGGGACTATTTTTCAAGAATTTGTCTTCCTTGTCGATATTGTGATTTACATACATGGATCTGCATCAGCTCTTAAACCTGTACAGACTGTGTGCCATACAGCTATCAGGTTTATCACAGGTTGTAACACTCATCATTGCACTTAATATGAATATGAAATATGTTGGGCGGCTCTTTCTGGCTGAGAGACATAGAGGGCATGTGTGTGTGTTCATCGTGAAGGCCCTGACTGGAAATCTACCAACATATATCTCATCTCTCCTCATTTAGTCCTCTGGACCATGTCAGACATGGTCCAATGACTGTCTTTAGCTCCTGAAGTTTAGACAGAGCGTAGGAGACTAACTTTGAACTTTTTGCACCACTCACTTGAAATTCTTTGCAAAGGATTTGCAAAATGAACACTTTGGTGTTTTTAAACCCTTGATCAAGACTTTAACTAGATCTGTTAGTACCTGTTTCAGCTAATTGTTTGACATCTTGTATACTTGAGTGTTTTTCTTCGTTTTCCTTCCCATTCTTAATAATTTTCTTTCCCATTCTTAAGCCAAATGGTTCCCATTGCTGCCTTCCAGGTAGTTTCACACACCTTGAAAAACAATGACAATATGCATCACATGAAGCAGTCAATGCTTCTAATATGCAAGGATTAGGTCCTTATCGTGGTGGTTAGAAGACAGGAGCAATCCAAACTCTTGTTGATGACACTATTTTGTTGTGTTTACAGTGGCAGCTCTGAAAATACAAATATGACGCACCAATTTTCTGTAAAATCCACCCGCTTCGTTAGACCGACAGCTTTCCTGTTTTGACATCCAGGGATGAAAATGGATGGATATAGTCTAGCTAAGATTGTTTCACATTGTTTTACTCATAGAAATGAGTACGCAGATCCCTCGCATTTTTACATTATTGGTCCCCGGCAGCTTACTTGTGTTGTGGCTTTTTTTATTAGCATCCTTTATTTTTGCAGTAGGTACATTTTTTTTTTTTTTTTTTTTGCATCAGCACTTTTTTTTTGCATCTTTAACATGGCCACCATACATCTTTATCTGTGATAGAAACATAAGTGCAAGAAAAAGGAAATGCTTGATGACTATTTCTCAGGCAGAGATTCACTGGTCATGACATGTAGACTGAGCTACTTTTCTTAAATTGGTGAATGCTCCTTTAACATAAGACTTGGTCCTTTTGGTCTTGTCCAAAAATACTCAAGCTCACATTTGTGGGGCACGAGTTACTCAGCATAAAAATGTGTTAACTGTCTGTTCTTTCCCCCCCTTAGGCTGCTCTGTGTGACTGCTCTCTCCCTGTCTGAGTCTAGACAGGTTACACTCTCACTGTGCTGGTGGTTTTAAAATGCAGCAGGAGCAGCAGGTGGAGACAAGTGAGCTGAGGTTTGTGAACTCAAACAGGAGAAAAAAGGAGCTGCTCTCGTTCTGAGAGAAAGCCCCGGGCTCATGTTCCTGCTCAGACAATCAGGGTCTGCTCTTGTCAGACTCAGATTTTAGCTCGCTCGCTGCGCTCTACCTCAGAGGATGTGATCTGTCGCACTGCACAATGAACGCTTCAATGCATATCTTCAATTTTAGGTCAGAACATTAAGTTTAATACATAACAAGGGAACGTTTATGATACCTTGTTTCTGTTAAGGGACTCAAAAACTACAAGGACATCACTGGATGTCTTTTTTGTTGAAAGTCATACATCTTTCAACAATGATGAAAAAGTTTGACAAAAGTTTGAGCCTCCCCTGCTTTAGTTTTGTCAGTCTCTGTAGTGTCGGACTAGAATCTGGATCTTGAGGTGGTCGGGTTTTATTGCAGTTTTGCAGTCTTGTCTGCTTTTGGTTCATCCCGAATTACCCTTTTCTCAGTACATAATCTTTCTTAATTCACAAGTTGCTCATCCAGCTGTAAATGATGTCATTGCATGGAAACAAAAATCATGGTTTGAAGTCTTTTGGCCCAAACAACTACATCAAGACTCTTGGAAAAAAATGCTGTCAGGGTTCACGCTGCAAGATAATCAGGCTGAGTATGAGCCTGATTCCCTCCCTATGACCAAAGTCAACAAAGGCCTGACTTTTGATGGTACATAAGATTATCTCGCCTGATTCTCCTGTAGTGTGTTGTTTGTGAAAACCACTGTAGTATGCAGTAAAATCAGAATTCATAAACATTAGTCGTGTTCAGTATTTACAGTCAGATATCCAGCAGTGTAGGGGAAACCTCAGTGAAAGCCAAACATGCTCTCTGTGGATTGTCATGTGGATGTCGGAAACAGAGAGCCAACTTGTTGTCCACCATATTTTTTTTTTACTCTAAAGCCACATTTCACCTCGAGATTGTTTTTGAGCCTCAGATTTGAGAATGCACTCATTGGTGAATGGGCTCTACTATATGTGTGGTGAGCTGTGTCAGTCATCTCGTTGCACTTTAAACACTTTAAAGACAAATCTGTTAAACCTGTGTGGGATGTCTCACATTTTGGTGTCTGCTAAAACTTTGTCTTTTTTCCTGGGCTTGGCCTTCTCTGAATGTTTAACCAAGTGTAGAGGTTAGAAAACACTCATAAGTCCAGTATCAAGTACAACGGATTTCTCCCAAAAGCAGTGGTAAATCCTTCAAGGACTTTGTATTTCACTGTCCTGGCAAAGACAGGCCTATTTTGTAGCTTGTAAACCAGGTACAGGCTCAGCTTTCTCGGGGCTTTGCAAACATTTCAGTCTTTTATGTCAGCCATAATTGCTGCCATTGATTTACCCACTGTTTGCAAGTTAAACCGATCCATGGGAACTGATTGATCTGTGGGCGGTAGTGAAGTACGGAGCTTTGATTTCTTTTCCACCTGAAGTTGACATATGGCTGCTAGCTTGAATGAGTTTTCAGTCCATACATGCATAAATAAGCAATTCTCTCCGAGGACTGAGCTCTGTTTAATACTCCTTGGTCTTTATCTTAACATTCGTTTAGGACTGCCTGGACCTTTGCTTGTGGTTATATCCCTTTTTCAGGAATAAAGATGATAATGGCACCTCTGCTCTGCACTCAATCAACAAACTCAAATGTCATGGGGACAGGAATTGGTTTATCACCTTTCTCAGGGCTGTCACTTTCAGGCAGATCAAACTCGGCTTTCAGTAATATGAATGAAAAATGAATGAGCTCCATTGCCTCGTTGACTACCTCTGACAGGGTCCCATAAATCAACCAACGGGCGGTGTTCCTGTTTACCGAGGAGAGGATTTAAAGAGGGTTGGGCTAAAATCATTCCTGAGTATCGGACAAAGTACTGTCATTTGTTTCCTCATACATTTACAGCCACTGAATATTAATATAGCTGGTCTAAATCCACAGTGTGTACAAGTTAAAAGAGGCGAGACAAGAAAACCACAGGGGGCATTAACAGCATGGGGGTCAGATATTAGAAATTGTCACACATCAGGTAAGGCAGGAAGGTGAGGTGTCCATCAGAGGTCTCTTAACTCTGTGTGCCGAAGAAGATTACAGTTGGTCTCCAACTGTGACTGCCGCATTAATTATGTATGCTCTCACTGTCCTATAAGGCTTTCTTAATGTGTTCACCACTCAGCATATATTAATGGTCTTAACTTCCTTCACTGGCTAATTGCTGATGAAAAGCAGTCATTCATCCTATCGCTTGTCAGCCTTTGTAATTATTCTCGTTTCTTATAACATCTGTTTATTGGGAAATTTATGATGATTGAGTTGCCATTACTGTCCTCGCGTTCAAACAGACGGGGTGTAAATGAGCAGCAGGAGGCTTTAACTGCTGAATGACATCTCTTTTATTACCTCCGAGAAGCCATGCTGATGGCACTATCACCCAGCACGCTCTCTGAAATGGGTGCAGTTGACAAGCGAGCCGGCCACAAATCATATGACCTTTGGAAAGTCTAACCAGTGTTTCCTTGTCCTTGCAAGATATTAACTCCAAAAATGAAAACCCCTTCTTCTTACACATATTCAAATTCAATATGTGTAGATTATAGTACTTGCATATTGGTGAAAGATATTTGTATATATAATGATTTTATCACTGACAAAATCCACAGATAGGATCTACAGCTTATGGAAAAGTTTGCCATTCTTTTTCAAGAAGTATTAGGAGAAAATTTTAGCTCTAGATTGCCAAACAGATGTTCAAATAAGTCTCAAAGGAAGTCGCAATAATTAAATGTAAATTGATATACATCCGGATCTTTTCTAGTGTCCCCAGGGGGATCAATCAGTTTTTTTTTCTTCTATCCCTGGATCCCTTCTGTTTCTAATAGGCTGCCATCCTTTGCTGACGATACTATCTCGTTTCTTTCAGATTGCACTTGATATTTACATCTGCACATCTTAAATTGGATACTATTTTAGTGTCGTGTTCACACCAGGCTTGTGTAAAATCATTTGCACAAGTGAATTACATGTAAAGTCAACGCAAGACGCCCGTTGTACTCAGGCAACGAAAAATTACGTGGCGTAATTAGTGCGAATTGAGCAGATGAAAAGCACAAATGACATGAATCCATATTGCGTCCAATTTGCTACTTGCTTCAAACGCCTATAAAAATATCTGAACTTATAACCAATCAGCATGGAGACACCCCAGTGATGTATGTCAACAACAGACCTGCAGAGATTTGTTTATGTGGAAATTGGAGGATTAATCGATCGTGACAGTATGCAGCTACCTGAGCTATTGGATACAGGTTTTTCTGTGACACCAAGACAGGAATAAAAGATAGCTCGGCTGGAGGAAAGAGAGTGTGGAGGTCTGATTATCTGGTAAGTTGTTTAAACTCAACAAATCCTCACAGTGTGGTCAACCTCTGCTATGTTTGATGTAAACAAACTGACCTGACCTGCAGGAACACCTCCTCTCCTTCTCTCCTCTCCCATAATCACACTTGTGTTTGGGCTCTCTGCAGATGCGATGCAAACACAAGAACTAAGCAAGTAATTTGTGCAAATGAAGCAAGTAAATACACAACAGTCATGCATCCTGAGGCAAGTGAATGAAGTGAGTATAGATGGTTTATTTGTGCTTCATGTGAACACGACATTACATGGTTAAAATTAGAATAAAATTCTATCTAAATGTAAATAGACAAAAATGTATTATTTTTACTGCCTCGACAAACTCAACATCACGTCATTATTTGCTGTCCATGTTATAGCACCTGTTTGGACACCTGCTTTTCTCTGTTCATGTTATTTCTTTGAAGAGAAACCTCTACTTTGTAGTAAACAAATTTAAAGACCATGAAAAGCGAGGATGCATTTCTCAACATGTGATGTTGTTTTTGCTCTGAGAACATGGTCCTCCGCAGAAAGAGCTGAAATGTCACCAATAAAAAGCTTTCCTCAAAGGATTATGGTGGGGCTCTGTGGCTGAGCCTTTTGTAGTGGATGGTGATGCACTTATAGATGGATCATTGCCACCAAATCCGACAACTACAACTTTGAAGGCTATTTGTTGGTTTATGTGTCACAAAGGTCTCCTGAGCTGTTTATTTTACCTGAGAGGTAACACTGCATCACTACTCATATTCAAGGAACTTCCATCAAGTTTCCTGAATATTTTCATTTTTCTTTTTCACTAAATGATCAGTTATTTTATTTTATAATGACAAATGGGTGGATCCATCTTTCTGTCGCTCATTGTTGCTGATGTGGGTTTGTGTCTGATTATTTGACTGCTCCCTAAGCATGAATCTAAAGTTCTTGATTGGAATCATATAATTCTTGCTCTAAGGGTTGTGATTATTACTGACGTTGCTGCCAAATCTGCTCAAGCAGATTAATTGAGCCTCTAAAAGACAGACTAAACCATCTGTCTACCTTTAGTGGAAGTATGCAGTCTTTGAACAAACGGTCCAAAACAAGATCTGTGTGGCATCCTTCTCTTTTATGTTATGTTTCTCTGTAATGACTGTAGGGTATTCATCTTTATGATTGCACCTGACAAATTTTCACAAATTTTGCATTTACCTGTTTAGTATACTGTTCAAGAACCATTTTTTGTGTCTTCTCAGCAGTATATCAAACCCACAGCCAGCCTGGTTAAGTCTGGCTGATTATCAATGAGTTGCACTCTTATCAGTTTACCATAAACAGTACCTGTTATCCAGATTACACATTACCAACCAAACTTCTATGAGTTTATTGTTTGTTGCTTTATTGTTGTTTTTAAATTATTCTGTTAATCCAATAACAAAGCTCAGTCAGTGGACAAATCTTACTGGGAACAAAGCAAATGTTTCGAGCAGCTCAGCTTGCAGCCTCTCCTGCACCATATATCCAGCTACTCCTTTCCTGTGTAGAATCATTTAATTGTAATTTCAAGTTATTGTTTTTTATTAATTCAATCAAGAAGGTCAGTCATTTGACAAAGACATCAGGTAGACATGCAGGAGCTCAGCTTACAGCCCCCAAAATGTATCTGCAGTGTTTTTCAAATTAGCTGGTGTTTTTAATAATCAAAAGGAAGAGCTTGGCATCTTATAGGATACAGAGCTAATGTTAGAGGCAACTCAGCTTGCAGCCTTTCCTGACATCCTGTACTATTCAACCACTTCTCAGAGTGCTGAATCAGCATTTCCGTTTAAAAAAACTGAGCATCTAATAAGAGGTAGAGCTAACTTAGACGGCAGCTCAGTTTGCGGCCCTCTTGACCCACTGTGGCTGTAATTAGGAGCCAAATAAACTTAAGTGTTTTGATGATTAACCACTTACTTGAGTATTTCTGACAGTTTCAAAACCCTAGTCTGTCTTTTTTTTTAAGAAAAGATCATGGAAAATCTTTTGACACACTATCATCAGCAAATATTACTGTGGTTTCAAAAGGGTAAGTTTTTAGACATATTTCACATTTTCACAAAGTCTTGGTGGCCAAATACTTGGTACAGCCTCACTCAAACTGTGTTTTGATAGATATTATTTTTACACCATTAACAAAAATCTTCTTTGACCTGTAAGACTGTAGATTGGATGAAGAAATGATCAAACCTTAATGATCTTTTTATGGCATATGCAACAGTAATAAAAAAAAAAGAACTTGGCACATAAACAAAACTACTTAAATGCAAATCAGAAGTACCTCTACTCTCTTCAGGCATTTCCATCCACTGCCACTTCATCGTTTTACTCTGCCTCATTTGGGAGGCAGCTAATTAAAGTAAAGATGTGACATCTGACATATGTTTCTAGAATATGATGCAGTGTTGTAAATTAAAATGATAAACAGGATATAAAACACATAAATTGGCTTCACCTTGATAGAAAAGTAAATTAGATCTTCTAATTTGTCCATTAGTGTACGGATAAAAAGCTGTCCCTCAGCCTTATGGCTCTGTTTCACACTTGTGTACCTCCTGCCAGAGGGCAGAAGTGTAAAAAACACAGTCTGTGATAATGCTGCCGGCTCTTTTATGGATTCCCTGATGGTAGCTGTTCTGCAGAGCCTTCCTGATTTAAATAACCGATCTGAATACAAACTGCAGGACCTGCTCTTTCTCAGATGTCTTATTAATCAGGTTTCTATTTGTATGGCACAATACTCTGCAGGTTTTTCCTGATGCTCTGAGACCGGTGTGTTTGCATGCATTAGATCCTGCCTGTAACTCCAAAAACTCTGAATTTACAGCAGATACAAACAATGATGACGGGCACAAAAGATTAAGAGCTCTTGGCTGCCCTGCTCAGTGCATGACTGTGAGCCTGTCATTCAGCCTATATATTAGGAGAATTACATGTGATTTACAACCCAGAGGTTCACTTTAGCTGGTGGCATCTCCACTGTCGCTTTAACAGCAGATAATCTGTATTCATACTGTCATTTCTCGTGTGTATTACTTGCAGCCTTCTGTTTAGCTACAGAGAGATGCTGACTGTGAATGATATCAATAAAAATGATCTGAAGATTTAATCAGGCTCCTCGGGCTTCCGAGAGGCATTATTTACCCAAAGTGCTTCTCTCTCATTTCAAGCCTCTGACTCACTGCGCTCAATTTTATGATCCAGAACAAAAGAGCAGCTTGAATGCTTGAACTGTTCTTTCAGAGCATGTGTTATGCTCAAGGAAAAAGTTGAGAGGTTATTCCAATAGTTCATGTTTTGCCACAGTTAGACTTTTGTTGTTTATTAAGTGTCAATCAACTTCTACAGATCGTGTTAAATAGGGGTGACCATATTCTGAAGCCCCAAAAAGAGGACACGTCTACGCGGGGGCAGAGTCACAGAGTCACGGGGTCGGCCATAGTAAATTTTGAGAGTTTTTCATGTCGGGTCAAGTGTTTTTTACGCGCTTCTACTCAGTGAGTCCACGTGACACAAACTCAAAACTTCCATACAAAACCTCGGACATTTGAAGGATTTTATTAACTCCCCCTGACAAGGATGGACAGCCCCCCAAAGAGAGGACATGTCCTGGTAAAAGAGGACGTATGGTCACCCTCCTGTCAAAGGACTGGTCTTCACCAAGTCAACAGTTCTTTATGCTGATTTTTCACTGAAATGAATCCCTTTGGGCTTATGTTTTTGTAGTATGGCTCTGTTCTTGGAGTAGTGCATTGAATACCAAAGCCTGAGGTAGGGAGAGCAGCAGCAAAGACCTACAGTGTACTTAGCAGATCAGGCATCAGTGACCATCCATATGACCTTGGTAAAATCAGACATCATGGAAAGCAAGAGCTGGAGTGGAAGCAGGTTTGCAGTGGAAGCACAGGGAGGCTAAAATGTCTGTTTTGATGTCTGCGCTATGAACAGATACAGGTTGGTGTGAGTGGAAACAGGGCCTAGATTTCAACGATCAAGACTCTTCAACTGTGTGTCTTAGTTTGAACAGACTGAATTAAGATTATCCAATACGAGTTCAACAATTAGAGGATGACGATAAATCCCCGACCAGCTCTTGACTTGTTCTCCATCCCCCATCCCTGACCGTGTCCCTTCACTGACCTTGTAAGGCAGGACGACAGCGGATCCTCCACTGATGCCAACAATGGGCACAGCTGTCTGAGTGGAAATGAAGTCCAAGATCTGTGCAACCGCCTCTGAGCCAACATTGTCCTCAAACACCACGCCATGGACTCGGTTGGTGGAAAGGGTGTCGCAGATCCGGGTGAGCAGCGCACGCGGGTTTGTGTTGTTGACAAGCACTGTGATGGGGTTCACTTCCAGAGGCAGGTCCATAAAGTTCTCCCGGCTTAACCTGCCTTTAATCTCCGTCTGGTAGGCCGAGCCGCTGAACACCACCGCCACGTTCACGGAGGGCATCGGGTTCCCGAATGGCCTTCCTGAACAGCCGGGGAGGTTGCAGAACAGCAGCAGCAGTAGCAGCGGCGGCGGCGGCCACCACGGGGAGTCGCTCAAGTGGCCTAGACGAACGCCCATCTCAGTCACCTACTGCCTGGAAAAACAGGAGAAACAGGAGAGGGAGGGATCAGAGAAACGGAGTGAAACATCAGACACACAGGATCAGGTGCTGCTTTTTTTTTTTTTTTTTTTTTACGAAATGTGAAAATACTCAGATGTCCCAACTTGGCAGGCAACCCAACTGCCTTTCGCTTAGTAATGGCTTATTTTGATTAATGATGTTTTAGCCTCATCTCTGCTCAGTGTGCTGGTCCGCTTGCCATAACTAAGACAGTGTAAGAGCCCATTAACTGAGGCCAGAGTTGTATTTTTAGAGTGTGTCAGCGTGCGACATGAGGCTGTGGCCAGGCTGTTGCGTCTTAGGGTGGCAGCTGCCACCCTGCTGCTGTTGTATTATGCCATCCAAACCAACAGATGGTGTCCAGTGTTTAATGCAACAAATGGAGAACAAGAGGATTTATAATTTTCCTCTCGTGACATTACTTTTGATGCTGTTGCTTAATTTTTTCAGCGGCCCAAAGCATTCAGACATAATCTGCCAAAGTTCTGCCTGCATGGTCTTTGGCTATGATTAATTGACATGCATAGTCTCATAATTGTGATTTGTAAGCCGTTTGGGAAATTGTTCTTTTCTAGTTTTGACATTTCAATTATGCAAACAGAAAATTCTGTATTTACAAAGGCATTCAAATCCCGGAGTCAGCCTTTGAAGAAATTCAAAGCTTTTTGTATTACATTGCATCACTAATGGACTGGACAGCAACCAGCACCTCTCAGCCAAACTATCTTAATTTCTCCCTAAAACCTCTAATTGCTTTGCTTTCTGCCCTGCAGGAGGTAATGGAGGAGAAACTTCATGGCGGAGCTCGCCAGTGTCAAACCCCGTAGCGTCAGTTAAACATTCATATTGTAGCCAGACACTGGTTCGTGTTGAGCTGTCAGACAGACTTAGGCTCTTTGTCAAATCTGTCACAGTTGTGTTAGTGGCCCTGAGGGAGAGCTGCGCACTGGTCCCCTGTCAAAGAGATCTGATCCACCATGTGATGGAATCCCAGTGGGGTGAATATATTGTAATCCCTTGGTAATCCCTGCCAGGCGTCATGGCCTACGGCTTGATTGTAGTGTATAAACTTATCAAGAGATTTGGATACTGCACGGGGCTCAGTGGAGCTGTGTGCTGCAGCTCGCTCCCTGCCCTGCTCAACACTGAGCTCCATTTGTGACATCTGACAAAAAAGGGCATGGAACCCTGTATTACAAATGGTCTGACAATGGCCCCATAGTTATTTTGAGGTCACTGTTGGCCATTTTTTGGAGCATTTACCAATGCTTCACATTCCTCAAGTCTGCAAGGTTATGTAAGTTGATTATGTCTACCAAGACTGAAAAGAACTGGCATGAAGAAGACACGATATAATGAGCATGATTTTTGCTCTTAACTTGTTTAATAAACACAAAACACTTAATGTAAAAAAAAGAAAAAGAATGAATATATCTGGAAACAACTTCCTCTCATGCATATAATCCTGCAACACTGCTGGTGTTGCAAAAAAAAAAAAAGTTTAGTGATCACAACACCTTTGACCTACACATTGCACTTGGACACAGTGTTACACTGGTGTCATAGTGTGTGATTTTATATCACAATAAAGCATTGCTTAGAGGGGTATTCCGGCATAAAATTAAGTTAGGGTCAAACACACTGTAACACCGAGTTAGACACCTAGTTGAGAGATGAATGTTGCTAACCGCTTGCTTTTCTAGTTTTACCAACTTTAGTAACAACCACACGATAGCAACGGGGTGTCTAACTCGGTGTTACGGTGTGTTTGACCCTAACTTAATTTTATGCCAGAATACCCCTTTAAGCATGAAAAGCACAGCAGTTAGGGCCTCACAAACACACATTGGGACATGCACACACACATCCCTTTATTACAATGCCAATTTCCTTTTTTAGCAGGACTTAGCACCTGCCCACGATGGCAAAACTCTCACTCCCAAAAAGTTGGATATTTCTTGGGTATTTGTCAAAAGGTAGATGAGAAACAGCTTCTACTTACCCAATCACAGTTTGTTTTCTACAGTAAGTTTTGACCCTATGCGGGTTCTCCCACTGATGCATTATGGCATGCAAAAGAAGTCACTTGTGCAAATCAAGCAAGTTACCACAAAATATTCAGTCATTAAATTATGTACAAATTATGTGAGTAAATAATTGCTTTAGTGTCCGGTATCAACACAACAGTGAGACTCTTAATTGGTTGACTTCCTGAATACTGATCTTGTGATTGTTGTCTCATTGACGCCACATACTAAAACCAAACAAAAGGCACAGACATGCATGTGAAGCTGTACGTGCTGTGTCTTACATGTGGATCCCCAGGCAGGAAGTGCCTCATCAATCACATTAAAAATTGATTAGTTCCCACTGTGAGAGGGCATTCGCCACATTCCTCTCAATGACATTAGCCATGTTTCAGCAGTGACAGCAGCGGCGTAGTTTAGGGTTAATGTCTTTGACGGGGAGAAATGTACGTGGTCAAAATGCTTAAAAGCTTCGACCTTCCGTGTGTTTAATCAAGGCTTGGAAACAGCTGAGGCAGATATATGAAGGTCAAAGCCTGGATACAGAATTAAAGCAAACGGAGTGAGTCATCAATAACCGTGGAAAGGCTTTGTATTGTCAACATGCCTGCTAATACCAAGGCGAGGAAATAACGACAGAAAACCACTTAGGATTACAGGAGCTTCCAATACACCTTATCTGATGTGAAGACTGCGGACAGTGCCGTTAGCTTTGTGACGCAGCTGAATTGCAGATTGGCTCCGAAGATTTGTTTGGCACTGACCCCTCAAATTCTGAAAGTCAGCACAAGATACGTAAAAGAAAGAGGCTTTTTATCTGAGTTTGTGTTAATCCTCTGAAAATGTATCTGTGTGTACAACAGCTGAAGGCATCACTCTGATGTTGAGGATCAAAAGTCACGGTGGACATCTTCTGGTTGGAGACATTTGGCAACAGGAGAATGCATGAGTGGATACATCCATCCTGAATTATCACGCCACAGTCTGTTTGGCTCTGAAGTTTATTGTAGCTCAGAAAAGGTACATCCTGTCTTCGCCACTGGCAAGAGGCAGGTTTCTGTTTGCGTCATGACCCCGCCATAAACTGAAGTCGGTGTGAGTCACAATGGACCTGATGATGAACTGAGAGAAATCAATTAAGACCAGAACTCAGTTTTTTATGTCATAAGTGATCAAATATACTCTTATGACCCATTTGATGAAAGCTCTTACAGAAAGTACACCTTTTTTTTCATATCGCTCAAATAAAAATTGATGGAGCTCATTACTTAATATTTCCTGGGATTTTGCATTTTACATTTTACATTCAGAATTGACTGTTTCACGTTGTTGAGACAGACTGATGCTCAATTAGTGGAAATATTTAGCAAATAGTGGGAGAATTGGTGAAAATTCAAGCTGCAAAAGTTGCATAGCTTTTTTGAAACTTAATTCTTTGCAATAATATGGCCATGCAAAGATAACTTTGTCGAAAGGAAAACCTTTGTACAATATTTTGCTGTAACTGTGATAACATGCAGCATTAAGTTGAGATGGTTATGGCTCGATTAGGTGTTTTAAGTTGTCTACTTTCCTTATCCCAGTCTAAAAGTACCAGATGAGAATTGATTTATTGACAATTATCAATTCGAGAGTGACACCTTTTCAAAGGTATATAATAGCCTTTTAGTGCTTTTAAACCTGTTTTACCTCGGAGAGTTAACACTTTACTCCAGCTACTACTGTCTCTCAACAACTTCTCCGAACCAAAAGCTCAAGAAGCCTCCGTCACTGTTGCCATGCTAGAAAAGCCATTAGTTTGAGCCGACTCGTGTTTCTCTTTCTATATTGACAATTCTGTTTGGTGAGTGTTCTGTTTATCAAGCTCTTTTTAGAAGGAAAGTTGGCAGACTGATGTTGTGATTTCTATATATGGGGGAAAGTTCAAAACATTCCCCACATATAGAATTAACACAACATTTTTACCCAGAAAGCATCTTCATAGTAAAGAAACAAAACAAAACAAAATCCACCTCTTTAAGTTGACATTGTGTGAGGATTTTAGTCCTCATGCTGTGCTGTTTTGACAAAGCCTTACCCCCACATCATTATTATTTAAATACATGCACACTGCTCTGTTTTATCTCTTAGTGACTGATTATTTGTGGGGTTGAAGTATTTTTATAGCCACTTTTGAAAGTCTTTATTCAACTTGTTCAAAGAAACAAAAAGTGATATGACAGAGAAATGATGATGATGATATTAAGAGTAGTTCGCTTAAGAGGCTACATTCAATCAGACATAATGAGAGACAACATTTATGAATCTGTCAGCGACTGTCTTTGTGTTCTCTCTCTGCAGTGTTGTTTGACTAACAAACATTTAAGAAGTGCTTATCCCCCTCTAGTGGGTGACATATGGAGGAAGCACTTCCTCTTCAGAATTAGCTTCATTCAAATGCTGCAGATAGGGCCTGCATTCAAAATACCTCCTCAGGCTTTATCACAGTATCACCTAATTTTCTTTCCTGTGCTTTCTTCACATTACTGACGCATTGATGGTTTGATAAGGTGACCAGGTAATAATGCAAATATCCGGCGCTGCATGTTCAGCCTGTTATCTGCTGCTGTAAGACCAATATTGTTGATAAGGTGAATTGAATCTTCAGCACACAGTGACACCTCCTGCTCTGTATGTATTGCGTTTGCAGGTATGGTGATGAGACTAACACACACCTGCCGGGGAGTATAATAAATGGTGTAAACTCACATATTGTTTTTTTATTTTTATTTATTTTCTTATTTTGTGCTGTATTATCTTTTTTTCAGGGAATTGAAATCCTGCATTTGCCTGTTGGCAGCCTGTCAGCTCTGATAAATTTATTGAAATGAAGGATTTTCTTCATTCTTATTGCACTGGCAGTTATTTACTGTGTTAAAGGAGCATTCTGGTGTTTCTAACCTTGGCCTTATTTTTACATACTTCAGGTCTGAATGATAAATCACCCATTGCTGCTTTTTCATCAGGCAGTGCAGCAAGGCTGTAATCCCTTTGGGCGAATGTGCCTGATCAAAGTACAAAGACCGTAAGAGCTTTTTTTTTTTTTCCGCCACTGGCAGGCTCAGTTTATTACTCCAAGTGATGACAACATTATCAGGGGTTCCCAAGTGAGATAAGCTTTTTTGTTCGCGTATAAGCCATTTTTAACCACAGGGGATTCTTCTTTCAAACAACCATCTCACCTGGTGGGTACAGGAGTAGTCGTTGGTGGTTGGGGAGTACCTCATTGAGAATGAGATGATCCATATTAAGAGGTTATTTCCAAATTATCATCATTTACTTTATCGAGATACTGTTTTCTTTTGTAAGCAAATTCATACATTTGATAACTTTTCAACTAAATTACTTGCTCACTTTAGCGCTCTATTTCTTGTTTGTTACCTACCTATTTATTACTTGCATATATATTTGTATTTTATTCAATTACTTATTTATCTACTAATTTTATTATTTTTTACTTAATTTCATTTATCTTGTATTTACTTAAGTAACTTTTTAACTTATGTAATTTATTTAGTACTTGTATTTACTTACGTCCTATGTTTATTCATTTTTCTGTACCTACCTACTTTATCGTTTTACTTAAGCATTTACTTATCAACTAACTTTGTCAACTAACTTACTCTATTGTTTTCTTATTTACTTACCTAATTGGCTAATAATTTTATTTATTTACATTTTATTTTCTCTACTAATTAAACGACCTATTTTCATTCTTGTTTACTTACCACTTTTTGCATGTTTAATTATTAATTTAATTTACTTACTACTTACTTACCTACACTTTTTAATTAATCATGTTCATTCGGTTACTTAATTATTTACATACATGCTTACTTACTGAACTCCTTTATTCAGGTTTTTATTTGTTTTACATTTTTATTAAGTTATTCATGCATGTTTATATTTGTTTACTTTTTAAAATTATCTAACTTCTTTATTATCTTTTTACTCATGTACTTATTTCTTTAAGTATGTTTTTTTTTTTATTATATTCAATAAATGAAATACTGACTTACTGACTCACTCATTAACCAACCCATCAAATAATAAATCTTTTAAGACCTTCTGCCTTTTATAAGATAGGACATCTCTGGAGATGTAAAATGATGGAGAGTGGGGAGAGAGACACATTGAATGACATTGGGATCCTTTGATGGGTATGGCATGGACCACAGCCTCTTTACTTGGGGTGCCTCCTCTACTAATTCAACCAAACCAGCACTGCAGCCTGTCCCTGAATGCAGCCATTACAGCCAGTTTTTAAGCAATCTGCTGGCACAAAACCCTCTTTACCTACCGGTCATGTGGACCCTTGAGTATGTTAAACCAGGGCCAAGGTTGAAAAATGCTGCAATTATTCTCTAAGATTACTCTTACAACAGCCAAGCTCAGAATTTTATGGTCCCATGTTATTGTTTCCTGCAGATTGGATTTGTTAAGCTCTATGTTTTCATATTTAAAGCATTTAAAAACCACATAAGAGAGAAAACTAACTGTCCTCCAGTTGCTGCAGAGGTGTTGAACCCACAGACTGATTTCCTGATCTAGCTCATTAGCGTGACACCGCAGTGTTAAATACATCAGGCATAGAGTGAGGACTCCTCGTTGCAGTGTTTAATGACAGCTTTTATATTCTGGGCATGACGCCTCTGCTGCAGCTGTTCGACACTGTGCACCTGTCCAGTATTCTGCCACATGATCACTAAAACAATGCATGCATGCATGTACAGTCTGCTGTGTCTGTGGCTCACATACTGATTAAGTCGTCCTCCTATGTGCCTTTTTATAAACTTTTTTGCAAAGTGCTTTCAATCAGTTTCTGATATTACTCAATGCTCTAATAGAGATTTATAAGTTTGTGACCTGAATTGATTTGAATCGTTAAATGTTTCCCTAAACTCATACAATACAGGACTGTTAAGTCAACAAGCCTTTAGAGGAGAGACTTTATATTAACTATGTAAACAGGTGAAGGAGTTTATTGATCCCAAACTAGGCCCCTATTAAGATCTGCTGCATCAACATACAGTCAAATTGCTGCATCAATATTTGCTTGAATTCTTGGCTCAAAAACTGAGACATACTTTGTCCTCCTACTCTATCCTTCATCCTCCTGGCTAAAAACATCAGTCTGTTATCTGTAATACCTAAAAACACCAGGTTAACTGACAAAGACCCCCCCAGCTGCCCCATGTATCAAGACTCTTGTCATGTTACATCCCAAAAAGTATCAGTGAGAGAGAGGCAGATGATACAGATGGATTGGTGGACAGAGAGTTGGTACTGGAGACAGTTTATTTATTGTCTTTTATCAAAAACCCCTCAGCTGTTTTATCACTGGGTGTGAAAAAGAGCTGTGCTTGTTCAAGATAAATAAAATGGCTATTTGCCAAAGTTGCTGTTTATGTAATTACTTAGTTTGTTTAGTTTGTGCATATTAACAGTGGAGTTGGTGCATTTTACTGATGGGTTGTAGTTGGCTCAAAAAGTACATATTTGCAGTGATTTAATGAATATGAGCAGATGAACATCCTGCAATAAAAACAAAACAAAACCAAAAAACTAGCTAATAATTCATTCTGGTAAGTCTCTGTGCTTGGAGAGGAGGTCACTGCCGATGTGACACTTCACAACACTAATAAAAGCATCAGTTAAAAAAACATATTTTCAGTACTGCTTTTCAAAATCAGTACTGAAAATCAGATTCATGTTCAAAGTATTATAGAAGTGGGATTTAAATCACAACTGTTGAGTTATTAAAAATGAGGGCACTGAAGAGACCCCATGTCCTTTGACTGAACTTGATTATTTCTGGAACAAAACGGTTTCATTATATTTAGAATAATGTGTTTCTCTCCATCAAATTACCAAGAGTAAGAGTCATATACTCCTTTCTGCTTCCACCTGTATGAATCTGCTTGACTGAGCTGTGGTTAAAATAAAATACAGCCCTGCTAAGCTCCTTAAATCCACGAGCATTTAACTAATCGGAATCATCGGCATCACAGAGGCTAGAGCGACCAAAAAGAGTCAATGAGCCAAAAAAATCTGCATCCAAAAATACACGAGGTTTGGCACAGTTGGAGAGTGTCCACAGGTCACAGATAATGTCAAAACAAACTTTTTCTGTGTTTTTACTTTCCCTCACAGCTGAAATACAAGCACAGCCTCTCTGCACTGGTTTAAATATGATTTATCTCCGGAATCTCTGACCCATCTCTGATAAACACACCAATATCTGCAGCTGTAATCATAGATCATAGACATATCCACAGCTCAGCATCTGCTTGCTGACCCTCCCTGCAGATCCTGACCGATCACTCAGGGAATGATGAGTCAGAGCATCTAAAGATGGATTATGATTATGAATAAAACTGCATCAATTCCAATCCCTGGTGTCATGGACATTTGATCAAACCCAATGACACATCTAGTCTTCAGGTTTTCAGTGTATCTGTGAGTATTTGGGATGCTTTAAGCTAAAGGTTGGACTAACTTACAAAGAAATACACCCCAGATTTAAATCATCCCTGACCCGGTGTTGAAGTGGTCAAAGCTGTCGCCTAAGAGGTTGATTGGTGTTTTGGTGAGTTTGCATGTTATCCTTGAGCTTGGGTGTTCTCTCTGTGCTCCATTTACCTCTTGTAGACCATACTCGTTGGGTTTTATAGCCACTCTAAATCGCCTGTCAGTGTGAGTGTTGGTGTAAATGGTTGTCTGTCTCCATATATCAGCACTGACTGGTGATCTTCCCAAGGTGTTCAACACATCTCACCCATTGTCAGCTGAGGTCTTGCCCTCCAGTGACCCTATCAAAGTATGGCGATGTGGACTGCAGGAAGGCCTCAACTAAAACATTTGAGGGTACTGTCTACAAATAACAGGGATACATTATTGGTATTAATGGTTGATTGTTTGTAGTTGTTGCCATAGTTTTCATCTGTTAAATCAGTCAGTATGTTTTCATGCACAACTGAGTAGAGCCACATCCAAGGCTTGATTAAAAAGAAACAACTAGAATTGGTGGAAGACGTTTTGCCCTTCTTCTGATGGGCCATTGGAGGAAGGGCCAAACATCTTCAAGAACTTCCACCAAGTTCAGTCTATGATAGATCTGTGCTTGATCGGTCAACCAACTTGCGCTAGCCTGAACCCCTTGGAAAATCTTCTCAGAGGACGCATAGATGAAGTAAAGGCCGAAGTGTTCAGTGTACAAATGAACATAATATTCAGAATACAGTTGTTTGTGTGGTGCAGAAACAAAACTTTAACTTCCCTTTGATATTTGAGTAAACCTGATGTCATTCTTCTGTATGTTCTCTTATTAGTAGTAGAGCTGCAGTTATCATGGTACTCTTCAGAAACAATCTGGCCATAGTTTGGCTTATCTCTGTTGCTGTCAATGTTAAGGCTGACCCTCACAATGTGATTTAACATATTGGTCAAGGAAAGCTGTTCCACAATACACAGAGACCCTGATTGCAAATGACAGAAAAATAAACTCCTGCTGTGATTTGATCAGTGTTGGAGCAGCACAGAACAAACTCATTCCAGAAAACAAACAAGCCATCTTGGACATTCAGGAAATGTTGTAGCCATAAAAAAGTTTAATGCTTCTAATACACTGTGAAACAGACTCACAGCACAAAAGTGTGTATGCATACATAAACAGCTAATACTGAGTCTCTGAAGGTCAAAGTGTCCAGCTGCTTTACAACATCTAAATGAACTTTAAACCTTTTGCATAAAACAGAATCCTAAGGCTTATAGTGCATGACATAAACAGCGTTTTATATTAGAAATTTTTCAGTATTTATTTCACTTTTTTCGGTGTAGTATGGCTGACATTTTGGGAACGTGTTGATTCATAATAACATAATTAATACCACTATTTTATGAATATATTATTTGAAAAAAGCAATGAATTGGCAAAATCAATCTGTCAATCTCTAGTAAAAAACTGCCTTTATTTTGAAATGAAGTCTACAGCTCTTTTGTAAGTTTCATAACTGAATGAAAACAAAGAATAGTTAGAAAGTAACTGTGTTTAATTGTTGAGCACCACTTGAATAAGGTCCAGAATTAATTCCTGTATAAACCTTGACCAGCATGGCAGAGAGAGTCCCCTTGTGGACCGCCTCTAAAACTGCCTGTTGATTTATTACTTTTTTGTGGTATTTTTCAACATCATGGTCATGTGATAAATGGCGGCATCACACCTTTGTATTAAACAGCCTCAGACTGAGCTGGAGAAGTAGCAGCTTTTCTGATGGAGGTGAACAAAAGTGATCCAACAAAAGAGGCTTTTCTGTGATTTATCTGTTTGTTTGGACCCCTGAGGGCAGAGGTATATCAGGACCAAGGCAGTGATTGGTTTCTGTCACAGACCTCCAGCAAATGACACTGCAGACATATTTAATACATGTACACCTTTACATTAACTGTACAGGACAAGTGATTGATCTGCTGAGGGATGAAAACCTGTCCGAGTGAAATCCCAATAAATCAGATTTGATCTTTACGGCTGCCGCTGAAAGATGACTGCAGGGGGAGGAGCTATAAGTGAAGAGGGGCTGCAAACACCTTGTAAATTTTCATATACCATAAGAGGAATCAATTGAAGGGTATTCAAGCTCGGACTGGTGTCTGTATGCATTAAAGGATTTAAATATTCAAGAGTGAAGTGGAGCTGAACTGAGCAGTTGGATTTTCCGACTCTATAGAATCAGAAGCGCCGCGATCAGCAGGTTTTAAATGCCACGGCAGATGGAAAGTAATGTAGTTGTACTTTATTGCTGTTCTGTCATTGAAATGCTATCTGACGTGAAGCTCCTATGCGGCATGCGTAGCAACACCTTGATCACACAACACGATGAGAGTCTTTTACCTCAAAACAATCAAAGAACGTCTATAATGCAGCGATAAAATCCGAACAGCTCTTACAAGATTCACATGCAGGACAGGGGTTTTCTTATTCAAGGACACCTTGCATGTGCTGGCTCGCCATTGGACAGATGTTTGATATATTTCGCTCCTGTTTTATTACATTTATGGTGAGTGCATCACTTAATCAGACGTGTTAGCTTTGTCAGCCTGCCGTGCAGAGATTGAACAGATTGTATGTGCAAGTGTTTGGAGGGTAATAATCTTGAGGAGGCTGTAGATTACAATAGCGTTGTGTATATAATCCATTTTGCTATAACACATGGATCGCATGCTTACCTGAGGCTTACAGGCCTGGACAGAACTTCCTGATTTAATAGTATGGCTTTGACCCAGCAGGTTGACCTGGCTTTCAACCGGTGTGACAGGTGACATTGAGGGTAGAAAAAAGTCAGACTCTCGGTCTTTGCAACCTTAGCTTCATGTGTATCTGTATGTGGAGCAGGGATCAGTATAAGACCCTGTTTAAGCTGAAACCATGGCTGCCTGTGCAGAACCAGACCACCCCCCTCTCCACCCTGCCACCAGTCCAGCTGTCACCAGCCTGCTCTCCCTGTAGACCCAGCGGCTGCCCACACGTACAGCTGATCTCTGACATACACACACACATACACATGCTCTAATCCACATATGAGCATACCACTTTGTTTTTAATCTATCCTCTGTGTGTGTGTGTGTATGTGTGTGTGTTTGTGTTTTCCTATCAGCGCTTTAAATCACTCTGACGATGTTTTCTTCCTCAGTCTCTGCTGCTAATGCGGTTAAAGCAGGCATGAATTAAGTCGAACCAACAAATCAATTTAAACTCACTCTGTGTCTTTTAGGAGCCAAATTTCAGCAAGTTCATCCAAGGTAAATACACTTATAGTGTGCACAGCTGGGCTATGCAGTTGGCATGCTCTGGGCCAAAGCTTCAGGCAACCTTCAAGTGGTGTCAACCCAACCAGCACCTTTGAATCCCACATATGAATAAAAACAAACAATGTGCTCAAAAGTAGCTCTCAAGAATCATCTGAATTCATGACTGTCTTTGCTGAGAGTTACACATGTGTGGTGTGGACTGATATGAAGTTTCAGATGTTTCTGAGTATCCTGATTTTTGAAACCATTATAAAATAAGAGCTAGACACAGTAAGGCCAAGTATTTATATGCTTTAAGCCTAGTTTATGCTTCAGCCTTGAACCAATGCCATAGTCACACCATAGTATAGTGTCCAACGCCACTATGAGCACTACATATTCTGTGTTGGAGTGTCCGCATCACTCTGCAATACCCCGCCCAAACACTAGTCAGCAGCGTGATGTTAATCACCAGCTCCTGGTCCTGCTACTTTTCCTACTAACCCCCAATTTCCACTGCATCTGGATTGGCTCCGATTCAGAACTGCAGCGATTTTTGCTGTCAGCCAATTCCTACTGGATCTGTTTGTGAGATGAATTTCGTGGTAGATTACGGACAGTGGGAATCGCGAGAACTCACAAGAACCTGTGGACTCACATGCAATCGCATGATAAAGAATTGTCTCTATAAAGACAGCCACTTAACTGTAAAAGTAGTAGATTGCGTCCTTCCAGAGAAGGAAATCCACTTATTGACCTCTACAATCAGCATTTCCTCATCTGTGGTGTCATTGGGGTGAAATGCTGTCTAATAACATTTCACTTGTTCGTCCCCGCCCTCTTTGCATAGCGTGAAATACGATCCACCTGAAACATGTAGAAACAAAATATCAAGCAGACCAATCACAGAGCTTAAAGTCCACATTGTTTTGTTGTTCGCATTGGGCTACATATGTAGACCTATGCAGACCTATGACGTATGCTACAGCGTTGGTCCGTCACAGATAAATCAGGCTTTACCGCCAACCTCAAAAGTAAAACCTACATGACTTATTTGCAAAGATTGCACTGCAGTGATTTAAGAGTTTAACATTCAGAAGCAACGCTTGAATCAAAAACAAAAAACACAAACAGAATTTGGACCAACTTTTTCCAACAGTGTACAGGAGAGAGAGGCTAAAGTACTGAGTCTGGCTGCAGATGGATAAGCACCACAGCAGCTTTCCCCTGTGTGCGAGGGATCTTGGTCAAGAAGTATTCATTTAGACTTTGGAGTAGTGGGCGGACGCATGCTAGTTATTGAAGGTTGAGTCTTAATTTCTGACTTTATTGCAGACATTTATGATATTACTCTTTGTACATTCACAACTTTATTATCACAAATCTACTTTTTATTCTTGTCACTTTACAGATTTTACAGCTCTGACTTTATCATCCAGATCCATTTTTCAAGTTATACACGTGGCCTTAATCCTTGGTTGCAAACTATAAAAAAGAAGCACTTGGAAAAAAAATTGGGGAAGAAAAAAGTTCTCATTCTCTATCTGCTAACATGTTTCCTGACATTGAATCTCATCCTGCTGTAGTTTTGCTCTTACTCACCTCCTGACACCTACACTTTATCTGAGTTACATTCATAAAAAATAACTACAAAGAAAAACTGAATTTCCTCTCTGATGGTTTTGTTTGATTTAACAGATCATAAAAAGGAAAATCTTTTATTTCAGACAGTTTTATTACCTGCTACAAACCCCTTACAGGAGCTTTAAAACAAGCATCACAAAAACTTTGATGCGGGAAATTCTTAGCTGGAAATCAGATAAAAATAAATTAAGAATGAATTTGCACTTAGACTAATATATAGTTTTTGATGGTTTTATTGGCTGCTTTACTGGCAGGTCTTGAAACTATAAAAACAGAGTGTAGACAGGCCCGGTTCCTCTAATTGCAGCTCAGAGATGTAAAACTTCTCCATAGAAAGCAATCAGAGCACGTCATAAACAACTGTGACTTTTATATTTTTCTCTGTAGATGATGTATTGATCTTTGCTGCAACAGAAAGTGAAAACTATTCCTCAGTTTTGGACGGGTTGTTTATGCTGCTCCCGAAACCATGCTGGTGCCAAAGGTTGTTGTCTGTCACTTGAGCATCTTTCTGGGTCTGCTGAGCATTTTGGCTGAATTCGTTGGGTGTCAGGAGGGAGTGACAAGAGTCACAGGAAAGTGGGGGAAATGGAGGAAATGTGTGAGCCAGAAAAAAAGCTAAGGGTGAGCAGTCGGATTTCTTCAGATTCATCACGCAAGTCAAACGCTGAGAGATGTCTCCTCATTCAAAACCATTGCAGGTTTGTTTTAGCGTCATCATCTTTCATAGAGATCCTCTCTACCCTACACTACCATGTCTCCACTCAGGGTTAATTGGAGAAAATTAAACGGTGCACATGCAGCTTTGAATAGAAAGCGATTAGGCTCATCAATTCCCTGTTTTACAAATTGCACATGCTCTTAGGAATGCTGCACATGCACAGGTTAGCGTCAGTATCCACAAGAGGCAGAAGAATGACAAGAGAGGAAAGACGGCCCCCACCAGCCTACGGCGTGTCAGTTTTCCTTCTCAATAGGGACAGGACGCAAGACGAGGTGCAAGCGATGCCGCGCCATGAATATAAATGGGCCTCTAGTCTCTGTTGTGCCCGTGAGCGCAGCCATAAACTCAGAGAGAGAGAGCAACACATCCTGTCAGAGTTCTTCTGCCCCGAGTTTAAGATCTCATCAGATACCTTGCATACTAGGAGAGCACCCCCAGGATCTGTGTGCCTTCAGAATCGCAGCACAGATCTGTGCTCCAACTTGAAAGGTGGCCCTGTCAGATGTCCATAAATTGGCGGGAGAAAGGATCACATGGTGATGCAGCATTGCCTGATTCAGAGGGAAATTTACTACTCCTCTCTCCTGACCTTGGATAAATTGCTCAGATATCCTGCAGGCTCCGCCACTCCCCCTACCGTAAATGTTTTACAGCCCTGCATGCTTGTGACTGGCTGTCAATCAGTGCAATATCCATCTGAAACAGTCGTCTGAGTGAGCATGACTGCTTGTTTCTGTTGTCTAATCTCTTTGCCCCATTCTCCCATCCTTTATTTCCCTCCTTCCGTCTGTCCTGTCGTCCTCTTCACTCTCTCCTCTCTCTTTCTGCAGAGGTGGGGATGATGGCGTGAGGTCTGATTTTTTAACAATTGATTAAGCAGATCGCCTCCAAGTGCCCATGGAAGAGCTGGACAGCTGACAAGGCAGCCGCTCACCCTGAGATATAAAACCCAGAGGTCATTTCTGCCCGACTGCAGGCTACAAATACACGCAAAGATGCTCCGGCTCTGGCCTCACGTGCACCAGCAGAAAGGGCCCCTCAATTTCCTAAAGAACCCTAAAAATAGATCAATCATCCTAATGGGTGGCTTTGGCTTTATTAAGAATGACATGATATGTTCTGTATTTGCTACAGATCTCTCAGTCAAACTGCTGCTTTCTGCTCATGTTTCTGAACCAGCAGGGCAAGAACCAACCATTAGTTCACAGCGCTCATTTCCACAGTTAGAATCTATACCAATATAACATAATGTAATGTGATTTGTGACCATTTCAGATCAAAGGAACCAAAGTGCTCAGAGAAACCACGCTAGGGATTCACAGGGGGGAAAGGAAAATGTCCTCAAAGGAAAAGGACAGAGGCTCAGAAGCAGGACTTTAAACCAGGGTTTGAATCTTGAGTCTGAGCAAGAGCCCTGAAGTTTTTTCAACATTATACCAATAACCATGAGCATACAGAACTTGGTATGATACATGTGCCACCTCAGCTTGCCACCTCTTACTTTCTCACATTACCCTGTGTTCTTCTTTCTGGATTGGCTTGCATGTTTCCTTGTACACTTTCTAAGATGTCTCCCTGTTTGCCTCCTCTTGAGCCGTGCCCTGCGTGATGACTTCGTTTAATCATCAACATTTCCTTGAGTTTATTAGTTGGTTTAGTTTATTAGTCATCTTTAGGGTTACCTTGTTTGGTACCTGTGCTTCATCTCTATGCCACCTTGTATACCACTTCGTACACAACCTTGTATGCTGCATTTCATGCCATTGTGTGTGCCACCATTTATGCCTTCATTTAAGCCACCTTGAACACTACCTTATGTACCAGCTTGTATCTTACCTTGTATACTTCCTTGTCTTCTTTCTTGTATACTACCTTGTATTTTACCTTGTAATCTACCTTGTGTACTATCTTGTATTCTACCTTGTGTACTACCTTGTATTCTACTTTGTATACTACCTTGTATGCCACCTTTAAGCCACCTGGATTATAAATTTAAACGTCCAATTTTTCAATCAATCAATCAATCAATCAATCAATCAATCAATCAATCAATCAATCAATCAATCAATCAATCAATCAATCAATACACTAGTACACCAGTTAGCATATCATACTGGTCACTTCCTCTTAGCTTCCTTTACCTTGCTGTACACGACTTGGACACTTCCCTCTACTACACTGTTTTGTACATTACCTTAAATGCTACCCTCATAACCTCCCTTGTACCCTTCCTTGTATGCTTCTTCAGATACTACTTTTAATGCATCCTTGCATGTTTCCTTAAGCAATCTCGAATGCGATGAGATGCTTCTTGTAACTGCCCATCTAATACTCACCACAGCAATTTTTGTAAATACTCACGACCGTTTGCATTTTCACATCACTGATTTTTCTTTTTTTTTGCTAAATCAAATTTGTCAGAGAGGGTAAAACTGTTGTTATGACTTATTTTGTTTATTCTGTGATAGATTTTGTAATGTAACCATAAATCACAAACTATTTCAATATCATAGTAACAACACTTCAACTTGTATTTTGTAGGCTTTATCAATACAGTTTGATTTGTACAGAGACAGTGCGTTGTAAACTCCTGGGGTGATGCAGGGAGGAAGTGCCCCCCAGATTAAAGGCCGAGCTATGAGGGAGACCCCTGATGTTTTAGGGGGATTTTTGGAACATTACATTGATTAAAAACAGATCACATCTCTGATAAAGCACAATATGACACAGCAGATCAGCAAATAAGGACTTAAAACAAATCACATCAGCCTGCACGCTACAGTTAAGCAGTTTGGCTTGTGATCTAAAAGGAGAAAAAGATGGACAGACACAGAGGAGTGAGGAGTGGATGTAGGGCAGAAGCTTTGTTTCTAACTATAAGTACGATTAGCGACGCCTCCTTCTGCACGAACATGTCCGGTAGTACAAATGTTTCAGCTGTTCTGTGCAGTTTCAAAGGCTTAGGCATATTAAGAACCTATATGGGCATTTTTCACTAATTTAGGTGTCATTTCTTGCTGGATTTCAGATGGATTATTCTGAAATGTGTGCAAACAAAATCAAGCAGCCACCTATAAACCATAAAAAGGATTCAATCATCTATATTGTGTTAGTAATACGCTCCTATCTTTATGCTGATTTTATTAGTTAATATTTGCTTAATCACTTCCTTTGTCTTTTCTTTATCGCTACATGTCAGTAAGCTTAATCACCCAAAGTAAGATAAGCTGTAGAAAGAAGATAAGAAAAACAGACATCTATGGGAAAACATAAGCCCTGAGTTGGCGATGGCATTGGTGAGACGGTGAATATGAATGTCCCAATAGCAAAGAAGGTTCACTATTTTTAAGTTAATAGCCAAATGCCCTGTATCCACTGTAGACCATGTAGGATGAAGCATGCAGGTAACACTCGTCACAGAAACTATGACTTTTAGGCGCTTTAGCTCAAATAACACGCATAGTTCTGAATTCCTATGTATTTTTTTTTAAGATTTTTTTTTTGGGGGGGGGGCTTGCGTTTGTTTGACAAAACAGCTTGACAGAGACACGAAACATGGGCAAAGAGAGAGGAAATGTCATGCAACAAACCAAACCGGGACCAGGTTATTATCCTGTAACCAAAGAGATGAAGACATTGAACATTCACTTAGATCTCTTGGCCAACAGTGCCCCCTAAATTCTTGCTGGTGCTTGAAAATTGGTGTACTACTGCTACCAAGTAAAAAGACTAATTCGCTTCTTGGTTTTCGCAAGTTTTTTGTTCTTACTGCAGTATTTTTTTGTTCTCATTGTAATGCAGTGTTTAGTTTGGCAGTTTTTGCAAATACTCAATTTTTTACCATTGGTATAACTTACTTATGCTTTAGATATATCAGATCATTCATACAAACAGTACCTCCTGCTGCTAGATTTTGTTTTTCTCTAAGAATCTACCAGCTGTCTAATAACACAACAGCAGCATGATTGGGATGGACTCAACTTTGGTGAAATAAACTCTGAATAAAACACAGGTGGCACAAAAGATTGAAGTCTGATTGAGGTCTCTGGGTATAGTGATTTTCATGTAAAATAGTTTAAACAGGATTATGTATGAATAACAATTGCTTTTTCATTTTTATCAGGGTAAACATATCAAATGCAACAGCTTCTCAACAACTTGGGAAATACAAAATAAAATTGATTTATAATAATTCAAGAGACGCAAACCGCAGCAAAATGTTGAACTTGCACAATTATATTTAGTAAGTAGTAATAACTAACAATTTTTCTCCACCAGATCTTGTCCCTGCTGATAAAATTGTTTTTTCCTGTTCTTTTTTACGCACAAATACTTTCTCAAGAAAACACTGACAACACTTTTTAGATTTGAAGACTGTCCTCACATGGTCAGTAAATGTATCAGGTCCTTACATGGACATAAAATCAGCACACATGTGTTTGTATGTGTAAGTATTGGGCCGGGGTGAGTGGAGGATTAGTAGAGCATCTGTTTAAACCAAAATAAATCTGCTTAATCAGAGAATAGATCAGTTGTGTTATTGATCAGGCTCGTCCCTCAGCATGTCCAGCTCAGCATGGTTGTACAAGTGTTACCCCGTGTTATCCTGTGTGTGTGTCTGTGTGTGTCTGTGTGTGTCACATGTTCCCTTGGCATGCACACACTCACGTACGTGCATGCAGATAGGAATATATCACGTGCACGTGCATACCAGTACATCCAATTACTGAGCTAGATATGGTTGGCATAACATAATGAACAGCCATTTTTCAGCTGCCTAACTGGTGCCGCACTGTTCACACTGACTCGGTCTGCGCTCTTATACATCCTCAGGTGGAGCATGTGGAGAAAAACATACTTATCTGTATAGAGTTATAGAGAGTAGATAATTCTTTCTAATTCAAACCCATAAGGGATGTTTATGATCCCAGCCAGTGCTAAATTTGTTTTACAGGCAAACAGCTGGGATAAATGACCTTCATTATAACCAAAGGTCTCTGTTAAAAGGCTTTTTAAACCAAGATACTACATTAAAGTAGACTTACAGGTGAATGATAACTCAGTTATTTGCCATCAGAGTTTATAGACAGCCTAAAATCCCAAAACTCTACACAAGAAAGCATGGCTAAAACACTGATTTGTTATCCTGAGTTGGTGAACTGACTGATAAAAAATGTGGGGACAGGAGGAAGAAGAAGAGAAGGCCAAAGGAAAGGATCGGAGAATTTTTTGTTGAACTCTCCAACCCCCAAACTTGTGATTTAGGGCTCATAAATGGGTATTGCTTGGACTTGGAACCACTGTTTTAAGTCAATATCAGTTTTTAACTATCTATAGACGATCTGACTGATTAATATGATGAGAAAATTCAAAACAAATTTCTTTTCTAGTTGTTCTCAGCTCTGAAAAAGCCCCTTTATCTAAAATGTATCTCCTATTTTTCTAAGCTTCCTCCTGAAATTCAATAACTGTTGCCAGTCAAAGAGGTGTGAAACAGACAGACTCTGCTCTGTAGGACCGGTCCCGGTAGATCCCATGTCTCACTGCACCCTTGTCACCTCTGATTTGAACCGATCGCATCCAGGAACTTGTGCTGTACTGTGCCATGCGACCCCATTTTCACTTTCATTCCTCCGTCCAATGAGTTTCAGTGTGGAAGACCTTTGCAGCTCATGACAGAATAATCTAACAGGTGCTCTGACATACAGAGACAGCCACACAGTCAGATACAGACAAGTATTATAGATGACTTCCTTCCTGTATTCAGAGGGATTCTTGACACTTTATGAGGAAACATGTCGCTGATAAGCAGCTGTTCCAGCTTGATGTGATAGTTTGCAGCTGATGTTTCAGGGCAGCGTTTTGGGAGCATTAAAATGAAATATGACTGTTGTTTCTCAACTCTTCTGATCCTGGTCTATGTTATTCATTGATTTATTGCCTTTCTGTGTGGTTGTTTCTCTGGGTTAACATACATGGGAGTTTCAGTTTTTCTCTTTAACCTTGGACCTATTTTTTTATACTGTTTTTTAAGTAAAATTCTGGGTGTAAATGACTTATAGATGCAAACACTTTACTTGAAGACATAACACAAAATAATTTTTTAAGACCAGTGACTTCTAAATTCTTTTATACAGCTGCTTATGTACATATCTATACACACGCACATATATAAGAAATTTTGGGATTTGCTGGTCAACACTGCGTGATAACAAATATTTCTCTGGTGTAGTCAATTAAATTCAATAAAGAGCTTTTTCTGAGCTGAATGAACTTGCCATTTCTCAAGTGGACCCTGGTTTGACTCAAAGGACTTGTCAGAAAAAGTTAAAAATCATTAACAGTTTTAAATATCAAAGTCCATGCTCTCATGGTTGAAAATGGAGGCGGGAGAAGCAGAACAAAACATTTGCATTGCTAAATTCCATCACCAAAGCCTCTGAGTAAACTAATCCCTCATAAATGAGCAGCTCTAATTTTTCCGCCTGTCACAGGAATGATAAGAAAGGCTGTTTCATTCATGTTTGGCTGATCAGGTCCAAGTTCTTTAGCCCTCAGCTTTTCCTGCAAAGATGTTTTCTCAAACTGCAATGTTTTCAGCCTCACTTGCACAGATCTTTTCAAAAGCAGTGCTGTTTTCTGTAAAGATCTCTCAAACAACATATACTGCAAAGATAACCTTTTAGTCCTACTATTTTGAATATTTCCTGCAAAGATCTCTTGTCAAATGTCAACATTCTCAGTTTCCCCTGCAATATTTTCCTCTCAAATGGCATAATTTTCGGTTTCTGCAACTGAAATCTTCCATCATCCAGTTATGTTTTAAGATTTTCCTGTAAAGATCTTCTCTTGTTCGGTGTTTTCAGCTGCTTTACAAAATATTGTTTCAAACATTTTCAGATTCTCCCACAAAGATCTCATATTTCCAGCAGAAGTCTTCTCTCAAACGACACTGTTTAACCTGCAGAGATTTATTCTCACACAGCATTACTTTCAGATTCTCCCCTCAGTCTTATTTTTCTCTTGGAAAGACCACCTCTTAAACAGCTTTCTTTTCTATTTCACCTGTATAGACCTCTAAAACAGCCTTATTTTCAGTTTCTACCTCAGCAATTTCCCCAATCAGTAGTTCTATTCAAAGTAGCTGAAGTAAGTTTTCTCTCCACATTTTGAAAATTCATTTCAAAATGTGGAAATCAGTCTTGCACAATGAACACAAATTCACCGTCACAACATATGCCTTGTTTTTTATGTATTAAAAGACTTTGGTTTTTGTGCTGCCACCTGCTGGATGGTGGTGTGCAATTGATCTTAGGTGCAAACTATTTAGCCACAAGTAGCCATTTCTTATTGTATTGACGAGGAGCACATGTGCATGTGCAACATATGACATCAGTTTGAAGAGCCCTGTAAACAGATGTACGTGACCGATCGATAACGTTTCATCAAACATTTTCAATCTTCATTTTATCCCTGCTCGCTGGTTTTCATCTACATTTCAATCTGATCAACCCTGTTCAATAATGTGTCATTGTACTTGTTGTAATTGGTGCCTGGGCGCCCTCGGTCAAACATCCATTACTGGTTCCAACAGAAACATAACAATACAACAGTTTTGGCAGACCAGCAACTCTTGTGTTTTTGGAGGTTGCTGCTTTCAGAGTTTGGTGTCCTTTAAAAACAGGGAAAGATATTATTTGTTTATGGAAAAAGGACAAGAAAATACTGTAAATAAAAGGGTCTACATTTTTCGAGATCCTCTGTATGATAACTTAAGATGCTTGTAGTGTCAATCTGAGTGAGTCATCGGCAAAAACCCACTTTTGGGGCTTTTCCCCTCAAGGATTTGGCAACTTTGCAGCTGTTACAGCCTGTTCTGTGGCTCCTGGATAAAGCCACTGACAGGAATAAACTTTTGTACTTATTAGTAAACAGACACCAAAAAATGTTTTTAAAGTGTATAAAAGACCCATGTCTAAGAAGCAAAAAAGAAAATCACCTTGAAAGGTCATGCAGCTTTTACTTCACTTCGAGCATTGTCTTCTTTCATTTGATTCACTTACTCCACCTGTCAGTCACTGTCAGCTCCTCTATAACCGATCTCACACAGACCTGAACTCTCACTTTACTGATTCAAGTCTCATTCTCCACATAAAAAAAGCGCTGCTCTGTATTCGAGCTGCGAAAGTGCAGAACGGATCCTCCAATAATTACAGGAACCACCTTTTCTCCCTCATCCTGAAGAGTCTCTCGTTCAATTTCCCACTCAGCACCAGCATCGGCATCTCGGCTCCTGTGGGCAGGTATCAAAGCCCCTCTCAGCTGCTCTATAACTATTTACAATGACGCATCGATCTGCTCTGTTTAATCCTGCTGGCAGCATACTGAGTTAAAGCAACAGTTACAGCAACCACACACCTACAACAGGCGCAAAAACCAAACACAGCGTGCCGTCTGATCCCCCCCTAACAAGGATGCTGCTTTTGATCTGATCCTCTGCGCTCTGATTATTTCAGTATTGACAGTTAGAGGAGAGCAGGAGGAGGAAGAAGAGGGAGGGTGAGTTTAAAACTAATAAAAGAAAACACTAAAAGAAAGGGCAGAAAGCAGGATCAGACTTTGCCCTGCAAGTTTAAAAGAAGACTTTTGCGTTGAGCCAGAGAAAGCAGGATCAAAAATGTGGTCATGTGGACTGATGGGAAATCTAGGTGACAGATGAAGGTGATTCGTTACCTGTGTCGGCAATCCACATCCAGCCCTGGCTCGTCACCACTCATCCCGTGTCCACAGCTTCAGCCGTCCTCTTCCTGTTTTCTTTTTTTTCCCCCTCTTTCTCTTCCTTTCTCTCTCTCCTCTTTTAGCCCTCTTCTTCTCTTTTTCCCTTCCTCTCCCTCCTCCCTTCCTCTTCCTCTCCCCTGCACTTGTTTGAGTCTATTTCAGTGGCAGCAACAGAGGAGCCCGCTGCGACTGTGGCATGGTTTCCAGCACTTTGGCAGAAGGTCACATTATCACTCGCTGGTAAGAAAAAAGGGGGGAGGGAGGAAGAAGAAGAGGAGGAGGAGGATGGACAGAGTGATCGAGGGTGAGTGAAGTGAGCAGGTGCCAAAAGGAGGAGAAAACAGGTTATCAGATGGTGGCTGTTTGCTGCTGCTGCTCTCGTGCTCTGGGCTAAATGTTCCAGGTGAGTTAAAGTTGAGACAGCTCCATCAGTGGAGGGTTTTCAGGTAAGACGTCCCAGAATGCTTTGAGGTGACGCCTGTGAGTTTGCATATTTGGTGCATGTTGTTTTGAGGTCTTCAGCAGATGCTCACCTCTGGGGAAAAGATAAATCCTTTCTTGGCTGCAGAATGAGACTTCCGAAAAGCTGCCAGAAACTTACAGCTTGTAATACATCAGCGTTAAAAAACAAATCCTCAAGCATTCAGCTCTTCAGTTTGTCGCTCTAACACTTACACAGACACACAAGTACTCCATCTTTGGCTGAGACACCTGTCCACTCTGTGAGTCCCATCAATCACAGATCCTGCAGGGTGACCCTCGTCTTCTTCTCCCAGCCTCCTGTCTTTGCCCTCCTCTGATTTGAGCCGCGATCTTGTGGCCGCTCCATGAAAATGAGACGGAGGATGTGATCCAGCTGCCCAGGACGAGAGTATCAGCGGGCGGCGACAGATGGTGGGACAGATGCGAGTCAGCGGTCGGAGTTAGTGTTTCCTAAAATGTCTGTTTTTAGTGCTCGCCTCCCCTTGAATTACACCTTGTTTGTTGTTTCCTTCAGTTATCTGCACTTGTTGTTATCTGTTTTGTTTCCTTTCCTACCTGTGCCCCTCCTTCCTTCTTTCCTTCCTCCCTTCATCAGCAGAGCTCTCACTCTGGATCCTCTGACCGGCTGTAATCCTGATTCCTCCACTCAGTGTCACAGGAAGGGCTTGTGAGCTCTAATCATTATGTAGTAAGGATTTATCCTCTCATTCTCCCTCACTCCCTCCCTCTCGCTCACCCTTCCTCCCTCCCTCCGCCCCTCCCGTTTATTTCCCTCCCTCTGCTGCTGGTGCGCCGGCCGCCTTACAACTCTCCCCGTACTACAGCCCCTGTTTCTTTTCTTTTTTATGATTTTTTTCCCACCCCAACAGCGTGATGCATCATCCCTCCTCACTCCCCCCAGAGACTCTTTCATTTGTCAACTCATTCTCTGGTGTTTTTGGCGGCTCTCGTTCCGCTCCATATCTTGTCAGTCTTGCTGCAGCTCACATCAACAGGTTTGTCCTTGAAATGCTCTCTGGGACAAGCAGAGTCAGTGCTCGCCTTTTCCTTCCTATTATCTCTCTGAAAAATGAGCTCAGTGCGTCTCTGAACAGACGGCACAGATAAATGGTTGTGTATACATCCATATCCAGTATTTATTCACTGTAAATGTGCGAGACTACATGATGTTCTTTGAAACCCGGGCCTCGTTTCTTCTCTTTTAGCTCACAGGAACAGAAGAGTTGAGGTATTCCTCAGGTTAAAAGCATTTTCTTGACGCCTTAAATCATCCCGAATGAGAACCAGACCACTGAAATATCTGCAGTGAATGAGGGGAAATCCATTTTGCATGTAAAAAAAATCCCCAAATAAGAGGTCAAAGCTTTCACACTGGCACATTGATTCTTAAGGGTTTTGAAGGACGTGTTTTAACTCTGCTTTAAACTTAATACCATGCAGTATAAGAACTGAACAAGACAACCAAAGTTAAAGGTGGGGTAGGCAGGATCTGAGGAAGTGTCAGTTTTTTGGAGAAATCTTGAATGTAAACTCTACCCCTCCCAACAAGTTTTCCCCTCAGCTCCTCCTCTCCTCTCCGTCTCTGTTCCAGCAAGCCCCGCCCACAAACAGACGCTCCTGCTCACTTGTTTCCTTTTCAATTAAATTCAGATATAATGCAGATAAATACTTCAGATAATTACAAATGGGGCCCAGTCAACGTGAAAGTAAAAAGCATTGGTGCTACTGTAGATGCCAACAGACTACCAGCAAACACAATGTTTGCAGGACTTCTACAACTAGGATAAAGTGACATAGTCCAGGACCCGAGGTAAACAGGTTAGCGACGCGACAACATGCAGCAGGTCCCGTTTGACAAGAAACACTTCTGTTACAGACACTTGGCTTACTTTGTTAAAGCGGTTTACCTGTCCAGCAGAAAGGTTACAGGGTCCATCAGATCCTCCTGTCCGGTCTACCTCTGTTTTAATCGCCCATTATTTCGCCAGAGTCTCTAGGATTTACTGTGTTATCTTGCTTGTGTTGGCAAAACAAGGAGTCAGACAATTTTCCGTACTTTCTGGTTGGTTTCTACTGTCCGATATTTTAGCAGGCTAACTTTTGTTTGGGCTCGTGAACGACACAGGGGGAGCAGCGTCTGCCTCACAACCAATCAGATTGGGGGAGGCAGAGAACAGCTTTGTTTACTGTCAGAAAGAGCGGGTCACTTAATAAATTTATATATAATAATATATATTCCCAAATGTTATCAATGACTAATAGCTATTGACTGATATTAAAAGCTTTTTTGTGTATACACCACAAAAACAGATTCTCCTTTAACGGAATCCTGCCTACCCCACTTTTAAAACACTTTGGCCCACAGGTGAACTCAAAGCCCAATCTAGCATACATACTGTACATGTAGAGTCTCACAGTGAGCAACAGCAAGACTGCATTTTTAGTTTTTCTTTCTATGGTGTGTTCAGCGATGTTGCCACAAAATCAGCACATGAGACTATGAGGCAGAGGAAAAGTTTGAAATGCTCCGACAACAGAAACTGCCTTTATGATGGAGGGATAACCAAGACAGACTGAAAAAAGAGAAATGTCAGGGGGAAATATCAGACACACTTCAGACACTTGGTGAATAACTGCTGTTAGCATTTCCAAGTGTCATCTTGCTAACTCCTCTTATTTCCAGCATCATCACACGAGTATTGGTAATTGGTATGATAGCACCATGTCAATTTTCATGTCTGTTGGTCAATATCACAGATTTATTACTCTATGATTGCTGAATTTGATGAGTAACAATTGCTGCAGACAAAAAGATTGTGTGACCTTGGCATGAGGCACGTGTATTTGAAATTTCTTCTCCCATTAGAAGACATGAATAAAATCGTTAAACAATGTTATGATTATAGGGCAGAAATACAGGTAATTTGTCCTTGTTGTAATGCAGCAGCCTGAGTAACCAACACAGGTATATGTGGATGTTAAGCTGCAAGGTGGACTAAAAGCTTGGGGTGCTAGCTCTGCTATTGTTAGCCACACTCAGTAGACAAAAAAGGCAATGTTTACCAGCAGATTTTTAAGTAACGGTAAAATAAACTGGATTTTGACTGTTTTCTAAGTATGTTCTCAACTCACAACCTATCTTTAAATGTCAATTTCTGATTAAGAAACAAAGGAGGATCAGTTTTCCTGGAAAAGTCAGGGACAAACAGCCTGAAGCTGTACCAGTGTGAATGTCAACAATATTTTTGTTGTATATCAGGCCACAAGGATCTTACTGTTGTAAAACGCAAAACAAAAATGAGGAACATTTTAAAGGTCATTTCATTTTATAGTACATGTGTCAAAGTAACTGCCAGTATCAACCTAAAACCCCCTTTTTTAGTCAGAGATGGGAGTACTGTATTTGCATCGCTGAGTTTTAAATGTGTTTGTGGGTCATATCTCCCTCTACATACCCTCCTCCTTAATGTGAGCCTGCTGTATTACTCCTAATTAGGCCTGTTAGGAAAAGATGATTACCAACAAAGGTGACAGATTGTTGTTTTGTTTCGGGAGCATAATGATTTAAGAATCAATAATCTACTTGGCTTCATGACTGCAGTACAGGAGCCAAGTAACTCAAACTGGTGACTCTCCAGCTGCAGTTTGATGCTAATTAGGATCTGGAAAAGTTGAGAAAACAGATCACAGAAGAGATTTGCAGACTGCTAAAACAAATTGGTCATAATGCAGGGAGTCATGATTTCAGGAAATTAAATAAATGCTGAATCACTCAATAGAATAAAACCTTAGCCTCTTATGTATGTGCAAAATTAACTCTTTTGAGCTATGTAGAAGTTTCTGTAATTGTCCTCTCAAGATTGCTGAAGAGGTAAGGCTGTTAAATTGTAGGAGCAGACATCTGCAAACAGGAATCCTTGATATAAAGTCATCCTCTGTTGGATAAAACCCAATTGCATGTCATTTTATAACTTCATAAGCAAAAATAAAGTTTCCATTTTTGCTTTACTTAAGAGGTCTAACAAAGAGTGAAAAATCAAGCCACTTTGATTGCAATTCATAGTCAAATATACGATAGAAAACCTTGAATCTAAAGTAGTTTTCTGGGAAATGCAACAATGTTGGACACCTCTGCTGCCATTTAATGTTCCTTCCCAGCCTTTAAAAGTGATGACCAACTTTCTAAAGGGCCTACTTTGAAGTTGTCAAATAGGGACTCCTCATGCATTGATACAGCACTACGAGCTACATTTAAAATTATGATACAGTTAGTATAGACCTCCTGCATGCAAAGTCCTCCTTTGAAGCTAAAATGTGGTCGGGTAACTGTTTGAAGTTGTTGTTCCCAACTTCAAACAGTTAGGAGAACCAAAAATGTAGAAGCACCAAAACTACTACAATCCAGTCGAGATGAGCTCTTTGTTGTTGACCTAGGTGGTGTTAAATTTCATATTCAGCTCTGCTGATTGAGTGAAATGGCCAGCAGCATCCTGATGAATAGAAGCTCTAAGAATTGAATCCCTTTTTGTCACACCGATTGTCCCAGTATTTCCTGTATTTGACTCTCTCTGATGCTGTAAAGGCTTTGACTCTGTGGTGAGTGGTTACCTGCAACCTCAATTTGGGGTTCAAGCCTGGTGTGCACACTGTAGAGCATGTGCAGAGCTACTATTTTCAGTCCAGAGTTATTCAGTTCAGAGTTATTTTGAGAGTTTAGTTTTCAGACTGTGTGAACCTTCTTTGCTGTTAAACACATACTGAGATACACATGAGATACTAAATCGCACGTGCAAATAAAAAAAAAAAAAGTGAATGTCACCTCCAGGGTTCCGTACCATCACCATCTTCAGGAGTATCATTTCCTGCAACTTTGACGTGCATTACTAATCAACCACTGGTCATTGCTCTGGCAAACATTTTATGATGAAAGGAAAGAAAAAAAGTCTCACCACAAAAAATAAACATATTTTGAGATTGCACACCTCAAATGTTAAGAGCATGTTTACCCTGAAATCCTGGCAGTCAATACAACTAGTGGACTAGTGGATTCAGAGTTTGCAGACTCTGAATCTGTAAATCACCCTCAGTGAACTTGCCGCCACAAACCCTGTATGTTGCACCACCTCACAGTGTGTTAGAGATAAGCAGTTTCCATTGAACATGCGCAAAAACCGATGATAGTTTCATCAGTGGTAATGTTGGTGTATTCAGTTATTGAAGAAAATAGAAATCTTGGAACTGCATGTACATTCAATCTGAATGATTGCATGAAAACAAATTTGTTTCCCACACTTTCTCTGCATGAGACCTGTTGTCTCACTATACAACCTAAGTCTGAATGCAATACTATCTGAACTACTTGGAAAACTAGAACACTTCTAACACAACGGTATAAAAGTAAGTGCATAGTTTCTTTAACAACCTCCTTTTTCTGATCTGTCCTTGCTCATTGTTCAGAGAAATGTCGTTTTGACTGCTAATATAAGTCTCCTCTCATCGTAAAAAAAGACTCAGGGTTGTCGTCTCAGACTGTTGAATGCATAAAGTTGTGTTTTGTGAAAGGTCAGGCTGGTATCGAGGACATGAAGCAGCACTGAGACACTCAGCTGTAACAGAGCAGTGCAGGCTGTCTGCAGGTGACTCATTTCTGTCCTTTCTTTTCTCAAACTCACTACAAACTGCCTGAAGCTGTTTTAGCTCAGTTCTTCTATTTAGGTCAGGACATGAGCCCCCCCTGGAGTTTGAGGACCAGAAATACGTCTGCTGACCTGCAGGATTAATCATCGATAAAAAGCAATTATAGCTGCTCTTTTAAACGCCTTTACCCTCATTTTGAACATTTCAGTGCTGCAGCCTGAGCTCTGATTTCACCTCCTACCTGAGACTGAGCAGATCAGTTTGTGAGCACTTCCAGGCCACATTTGCATATATATCATTGTCGGGCTGCAAACAATCCCCCCCTCACAAAGACAATTGCAAACTGTAGCAGAGCACATGGAGCCATTAATCTTAATTTCTGCCCCTCTGGATGAACCCCTGAAAAATGAATCCCCTCTCTCAGGCAGGAGGACATCAGCAGGATTTTATGAGCCTGTCAGGGCTGAACTGAGAGATGTCGTATTTGTTTCTCTGCGGCCAATGGCGGAGGCAGGTCTGCATGACCCTGGTCGATGACCGTACCATAATAAATGTCCATGAGCCCCCTGCTTGAGATCAACAGCATATAGAGTTGGCTTTCCTGGATCAATGGATGATCGATAAGGCAAACAGATAGGGCTGTAAAGCACGAGATAATTACATGTCGGCTGCTGCTGCTGGGACGGTGTCAGGTTTGTGCGTTACAAGATAACA